TTCTAAACAAAAGGCAAGTAGATCTCAGAAAACTGAAGTCTACTTACCCCTACCCTCTGTAACAATCCACTACGTTGCAAGCACTTGGATCTCTGTTTATTGTTAATCAAAAGCAAGTTATTTTGAACCCAAAACGATGCTTCCCCTCTCCATCTAATTTCAGAAGGCTCAGAACATCTTCATTTTAACCTCAAGTGGTGCATTGTAGCATGGTTCCTGGAGAGAACTTAATGAGCTGTTTGTTTAGCGGTAATAGGTATTAATCATGCAGTTGTCTGGCTACCACAGAGATAATTTCTCCCCTGAACACATCCTGCCACAATAGCTTCTAACAGGAATCTATCAAAATAAAAGCAATGGCAAATTGCAGCACTGGCAGGGCACACTCTTGCAACTGGGCAGTATCTGGAACCCTGACTCTACAACTTGAGATTCTATAGCATCACGTTATTATATGGATCACCGCAGGTGAAGTATGAGCCTATAGTGTGACCCACTTCTCCCATTTCCATTTACCTTGCTGTAGGGATAGTGAATCCAGCTCCTATGCTACACACGCTTAGCTAAATACACAGTTGGGCTTACTTCCACATAAACATGTACCGTATATGTTTGCAGTTGCTTCGTGTGGTCATCAGGCAGGGCCCTGAAGCCTCATTCCCAACCTCTTGATCCCAAGACTGCAATGAGTATTATCCCTCTCCGTATACTTTCAAGCATATATTTTTGGCATAAAGACAAAAAAATTGCTTTCGGATGTGTCTGTATACATGCATGCACACTATCAAGAATGTGACTGCCATAGCTAGCACTATGTTCTACGTTTCTTCTGCACACTTCCAGAATCATTGCATGCACGCAGTCTGCTCATTACAGACCAGTGGTTCCCAATTAGGGGTCCAGAGATCCCTGGGGGTCCGCAGAACACACCCAGGGGGTCTATGGCCCCATCCCTTGCCTCTCCCCTTAAACTATTTTTGTGGTGTAGCCGTTAAGAGCGGTAGTCTCGTAATCTGGTGAACCGGGTTCGCGTCTCCGCTCCTCCACATGCAGCTGCTGGGTGACCTTGGGCCAGTCACACTTCGCCCAAGTCTCTCAGCCTCACTCACCTCACAGAGTGTTTGTTGTGGGGGAGGAAGGGAAAAGGAGATTGATAGCCGCTTTGAGACTCCTTAGGGTAGTGATAAAGCAGGATACCAAATCCAAACTCTTCTTCTTGCATGGTAATATCACAAATTTTACGGTCTGTTTTTGAGTATACCAAAAATCCTTTGCTTATTCGAGGCTACCCCACATTTTGTTCAAAAAATTGCTTTGCAGAGGCAACTGCCATAGAGTTATCAAAATTTTCAAAAGTAGGGGGTCTGTGGCTTGGATTTTGAAAAATATCTGTAATTAGCTAACTGGGAATCACTGGTTTAGACACCAAGGTGTGGTGGGGGCATTCAAGGTAATGTTTTATTTAAATCTACAACCTGACTTCCTTCCGTTAGCAAAGGCCGAAACGTCAAACCCTGCTCACAAACCTTACGTTTACTGCCACTCAGAAGCCACTGGGGAAGCTGACTCAGAAGCAAAGAAACTTGCACTACTTCCGTATCTTTTTGAGCACTGTAGAAAACAGAAGGTGGGTTGCGGTGTCGTGCTGGAGAAAAAGAGGGGCATGGTAGAATTAGAATGCTGGTGTGACTTTGGCTTCATGGAAGTTAGGAGTAACTAACTCCAGCCTGGATCTGACAAATGCTGCCCACAGCTGTTACCTGGAAGAAAACCTGCAAAGCCCCAAGAATTACAACTGGGGATTTTTTTGAAGGCATTCAAAACTTAGAATAATCAACCTATCTAGGTTGCTAATGGGACTCACACACACATTATCAGATGTACTCGCCGCTTCTAACAGTCCGATCCTATGCCTGTTTACTCCACATTTTTCCACTATGTGGAATCTAATGGGTGTCACTTCGCTGATGGAAGGCATCTGTTAGCAAAAAAAGGAGGGGTGCAAGCTTTCAGCAATTCCCCCAGTTCCCTGCAATCTCTCTCAAAAACTGCTCCAGATGCAATCCTCTGGAGTAGATTTTGGGAAGGGGTGCAGGGGGAGGAATTGCTGAAAATTTCCTCCATCCCTGTTCTGCTGCCAGTTGCTTTCCATCGTCGGAGCGACACCCAGTGAACGCTACCCAATGAGTTGAATAAGACAACCTCCAGCGTGTATGAGTAGGATTGAACCCACCAAACACCACTGCCAGCAACTTATGAGCATCTCAATTTTATCATAGAATCATAGAGTTGGAAGAGACCACAAGGGCCATCGAGTCCAACCCCCTGCCAAGCAGGAAAGTCCAACCCCCTGCCAAGCAATTTGTATCTCAGATTTACGAGTTGTTCCCTCTGATTCCTAAGTCACATATTACACAGACTAATTCTGCCTAATATTAGACAGACGCAGGAACCCCCTTGTGTAAAAAAGAAAAAAAGGTGGAATTGGTGTATTGCTTGTAAGATCAACAGTATAATTCATTCCAAAACAAGACCTGCAAATGGCACCATCAATCAATGCAGCTGTTTCCAGATGTTTTCTGAATGCTGCTACTAGGTATTCCTCGACTTGCATTTTAAAATCATTATAAGAAACCATCTGGAAGATGTACGAAAACTTGCTTCTTTGTACCGTAAGAAAAACCAGACTCAAAAAGTGAATTTTTGAGAAAGCCCTTACTCGTACTCACGCCAGAGTCTTCTGCCAAGAGCTATTTTCTTACCACATTCATCTATCCACTTTTAAAGAACACATACACAGAGACAGCTTCACAGAATATCAGGATCTTCTCTAAAACATTTGGGCAAAGGCAGCTCTTTCAGAGTTCAGGAGGAAGTTGAAAGACTTGTTCCAAAGTACACACGACATAAAAATTAATTTTAAAAACATTTTAAAAATGTGTGTTGATAATTCCCCCCGCCCCCAAAAATGAACATGTTAATACAAGGCAGCCACTGCTTTTATGGCAGCAATAAAATGTGCACCTTATGTATTTGCGCCTCATTTATGTGCACTTTATTTTTTATTGTGTAAACACTAACACTAGCTCACAGGGTACAATAGTTGCCTGTGAGAGCCGTTTCCAAAGATTAATCTACACGTGGCCTGAGAACATGAGGGGTGTGTGCACTTCTCTTCATAACTAAAAGGGGAAATGGCCTGCCTCCTTCCATTTGGATGCAGAACAAAATGTCCCAGGGGCCCTTGACCTCCTCTCAATACCTCTTATGATATACGGCACTGTTCTCTAGCAAAATCCGTCTCCGAGCCACTAGCAGACGCTTGAGTGACCTAGAAACAGGAATGTGTGTCAATTCCCAAGGTAATAAATGACTTGGAAAGGAGTGCAGAAACGTCGATCTCTTTTTGCCAGGCAATCGCTTGAGAGAGTGAGGGCCTTTAACCCTGCCAAATCAGTGAACGTCTAGGTGAACTATTGTGGTGCTTAGGGAAGCACAAATGGTACACTTGTACACAACATCATAAATCAGTTTTCTGAGGGCTTTTATGGTGGAAGAAAAAACTGTGTTTGGTGAAGATTAGTCAGATTAGAGGACAATCAGGGCCAGATTTAGGTTTGATGAGGCCCTAAGCTACTGAAGGTAATGTGGTCTTTTATATTTCCTTTGTCAACAACAAATTGTCGCTGTTTTTTGTGTTGATAAAATGAAGGGGGGGATTTAGATCCTCCTTTCCCCTGCATCTCAATTCCTAGTTGCACTCATTAGAAGCTGCTATTTTTAACACTTTAAAATGACCACCAGACTCCTGCTATATATATATAGTTGCATAACATGTAGCTTGGCCATAAGTTCAATTATTCATGGATCAAAAGTATGTGGTTGCCTAAAAACACAGATGTGGCATATTAATTAAACAGCCAAGCCATTGAAAAGGTATGTAAGGAACTGTAGCAACTGTAGCAATGATTTAAGAGATTTAAGAGATAATAGGTTCTGTTTTCCACGGGACCTGAGCTTTAGGGAAAGTCTAGGTTCTGCTTCTACATCATAGGCAAAAACTAACCTCTGTGGCTGTCTCTGGTAGTTGGACTGCATGTTTCATAAAGGAGATAAACACAGATTAAAGGTAAAGGGACTCCTGACCCTTAGGTCCGGTCGCGGACGACTCTGGGGTTGCGGTGCTCATCTCGCTTTACTGGCCGAGGAAGCCGGCGTACAGCTTCCGGGTCATGTGGCCAGCATGACTATGCTGCTTCTGGCAAACCAGAGCAGCGCACGAAAACGCCGTTCACCTTCACACTGGAGCAGTACCTATTTATCTACTTGCACTTTTTGGCATGCTTTCAAACTGCTAGGTTGGCAAAAGCAGGGACCAAGCAACGGGAGCTCACCCCGTCGCAGGGATTCGAACCACTAACCTTCTGATCAGCAAGCCCTAGGCTCTGTGGTTTAACCCACAGCGCCACCCGCATCCCAATAAACACAGATTAGCGTAATTAAATTACTAGGCCAGAAGGGTAGAAATCACTCCATGCAAGGACATAAGCTGGGACCAGGCTATCTTCGTAATAGTAACCACATATAGAAATCTCATTTGGTCACTAGATGGTGTGTGCAAAAGAGAATATATGCTCACACACTTATCTGAGAGAAAGTGTATTTGAATCTTTTGATCACTACTGTATGTTTAACTCTAACACCCACTCCCAAGGAGTACCTGCCAAAAAGTCAAGACCTATTAACATAAATGGATTATTTGTGCCAAAAGACTGATACTGATGCACTGCAAAGATATGACTGCACTTGCAACTTATGAAAGGATTGCTTATAGACAGAGACGTTGCATGAACAAGTATAAAGATATATGAAAAGCATTTATACAAAATATGGTAGGGGGTAGATAAACAATAATACTTATACATTAGATAAGTATATATGGAATTGTAAGTGTTAACTTTTATAATGCAATAAGTTACCTTTTATTTTATTTTCATTTTCATCAATTAAACTGTTTCATCATTTAAACTTTGCTTATTAGATTTACATACCACCCTTCATCAAGAGGGTGGTTCATCATCATCTTGTTCAAAACTAGTCACATATTGCAGGCACAGCATCAACCCCCTAGACTAGAATTACCACCACCACCAACCCAGCAAAATAAAATAATACAAAATTAAAAAATGATTGCTGATTTTCTTCTTTATGTGCTTGGCCATGCAAAGTGCCAAAGGTAAGCAAATGGAGAGAGACTTCTACTACCCATTTCAACAATGGGCTTAGTAGTTGTAGTAGTAATATCCCTTCTTTAATCCCACTCTCCATCCTTTGTCAGAAGAAAATAGGTACACTTGTCTCCTGTCAAGATCTGCTTGTTGCAGCAAGAAAACCAGCAAATGATACGTGACGCTGACCTGCTATTCTGGTTAACATCAACTTTAAAAAATCAAAACATAACAAAATACTAGGTTGTAAATTGGTTTAACTAAATTGCAAACTCCAGTTAACACTGGTGATGTGACTTACAGCTGCTTCTAAGTATGTTTACTCACACAGGAGAACTGCTCGGTTAAATGGGACCCTTTTCCTGAGAAGAGTGCTCAGGACTGCAGCCCTAGTTTCTACTGTGTTGTGTCCTTCATAAGACTTTACAAACTTGAACATATTTATTCCACTCCCCTGCTGTTGATTTTAACATTTTCCACTTGGCAAACATTAATTTTCTTTTGTCTGGGGGCAGCTGAAATCAACACGTCTCTTGTTATTTCCTTGTCATTACTTCCTGGTACACTTAATTGACCCATTATTGTGGTTAATGGTAGAGTTCTGGGAATGACGTTTTGAAGCTAAAGTGCTGTTAGAAAGCTTGCCAAAGGAGCAGGGCAAAACAAAAATAGTACTACCTGATTATTCCTGCTTTATCTTTGCAATTTAAAGACAAGGTACAATCCTGCCCGTTAAAATCAGCAGGACGCTTGCCACTCATTTAGTGGGAGATTAGATTCTTAATCTTTTGTCAAGGCAAGACAAAAACAAAAAAAAACCACAATCATTTTGAAGATAAACTGTGTGGTGGCCAAATTTGGGGCACAAACAACTTGCAAGCAATCAGCTGCACAAAGTTGCTGCTCCCTATCTTTTTTCAATATGCCTACGTATAGTATTAAAATAAGGGTTGGACTTTTCTAAATGTCATCACTGTGAGGCCAAAAATGAACACATGCAGGCAACATGAACAAAATGCTTGTGCCTTCAGAGTGCAGAATTGCTGCATCTTGTGTGTTTAACCTCAGGATTTTGTATATTCCACAATTCTGAACATGGCAAAGGTCACATAATTCTGTAGATTTTAACCATTCAATGAGGAATAATGAAGTTTACAATAATCGGGTTTCATTGCCTTTCAGAGACATGTGTGGTTCAAAGACAATCACTGTCTTACATTAACACAGAAGCACTGTGTACAGAAGAACTGGAAAGAAATGTGTGTGTCTGTCTCTTCAGCAATGGTCACAGTCTTATCTGCAGTACTGACTTCAGTTCTAGATACTGCCATGTTGAAAAGTTAAATCGCATTCCAAGAATGACATAGGCAAAGCAAGAAAGATACAGGATGTTTGAAACCTAACCACTTGCCTTGATAATCTACTTCTGCAGCCTTAGGGGCCTCAATTGCCCTGACTGTGGCCTGGGGCCAAAAGTGGCAGACCTGCACAAACCAGGCAAGACAGCTAATGCTTGCCAACTGCCTATAAATGGACTCCCTATTATGGATCACCTGTGCTCAGGCACAACATTACATAAAAGTATTATGTCTTACATCTGAGCTGAAGGAGTGTGGAATCTTTTTCTTAGGAAACACAAATGGAAATCTCATTCAGCAGCAAGGAAATACGTAAGTTGGGATGCATATTAATAAAAAAGCAGTAAACTACAAAGTTTATAGATTCATTTCCTAAGTTATTTAGAAAAATTTTAAGAGGACAGCCAAATGGCTATTCTAAGACAAATGTACATGATGCAGAGAAGCTAGTGTTGATGTATTTGCAATTGGCAAATTGGACTGAAAGGCAGGGTGTTGTCTATGTTGTAAGAATCCTGATCATTAAGACTTTATTGAGGATATTACATATACAACACACATTTGGTTGTTGTATATGAAGTGATCAACGTACATTTGTTCAGAGAGGTTCTTTGTGGCCATTAGGCTGCTTTTCTTTTTTATTGTTAGAAAATCTACTTAAGTTTGTGAACTTCCCAGTGTTCTACAATGAGAACTATACATCCCAGCTTATGCTTTTTCACCTCGTTCTGAGAGCTTGAAAGTTTCCCACCTTGAGAAAACTATGGCATTAACATTTTGCTATACCTTAATGAGTGTTTGAGGGCACATCAGCAGCCAAACACATTTAGATCTAATAAATAAAATAGCACCTGCAGCTGGATGTAGCCTGCCCAAGCAAACCCTGAACTAGACCTTATACAAGAATTTAGGCACCAATTAATTACAAATTATCTCCAGTTTCTGTGATAAGAGCAATCTCGGATCAGTTCCTTGCAGACTAAAGTTCTGTTTTACCTGGACAGTACTACAATAACTGACAGTTGAAAATTGGGCCATAATTTGGGCTAATTGCTTTCCCTATTTTCTCCCCTTGTTAAAGAGTTACAGTTTTTCCTTAATTCACAGTTGTGTGCCTGATTAATAGAGCCGATGTTCAAGCATACAGGGATACATTCATTTAGAAGAGAATCTGTGTGGCACTATGACAGGCTAAAACAATGGCTGCTTAATATAAGCAAGAGTAATGAACAAGGGTTTTGTTCTCCTTGGCACGCAGGGGGTCACTAACCAATGAAGCCATGTTCAATTAGTAATTCATCACTAATGTAGGATGCCCTAGCTGAACCAAATATGGTGTTTTCTCTCTCTACCAACACCAGTGTTTGCCTCCCTTATGTAATAAATGTTTCATAAACTGATGCATTGCTGAACCTTCTCGTTTTACAAACGTGTGTCAGAATAAACTTCTGAAACTATACTGTGGGTTTTTCCCCCTTTAGCTAGTGAACAAAAGAAAGGAAAAGTCCACAACCACCTGAACAGATGGCTAGAAGAAGAAACAAAACCCCAAATCCCAATTTCAGCAAAGATTTGTTCTTTCAAACTACCTTCTTCCTTTGGGTAAAGGCTCCCCCTCCTGGATTAACATTGCTACTGATGTATCTGATGAAGCCAGCTCACATTCACCAAAGCTTGAAATAAACACTTTGGTCCATATTGGCATAAGGGTTTTCATAGTTTTTGTTGCAGCAGACGAATATGGCTACCTCTATGGAAATCAGTCCTATGGTAGGTTAGGAACATTTGACACTGATAAACATGGGGAGGGGAAAACCCAAAAGACTTTATTTACATTGCCAACAGCTTTTTACAGCATGGTCTATTAATATAAAACACATGATATGTTAGCCTCAATGAGGCCAATATTTCTTTTGCATTTTTACACCAAAAACTGGTGAAGAGCCTGCAATTCTTCCATGGCAACCATGGATAAAACACACAGTTGATCACTGCACAAGCTGAGGTGCCCGGAAATGTTGAACTTAAACTTGCACCCGGTTTTGCAGGATGGCAGCTGCCTTGCAGTTCTGAAAAGCTTTACACAGGTTGTGTCTATTTTGCAGTTACATACCATTGCAGCCTGCATACTATGCTTGCTCAGAGACATTGTTTGCGGCAGTTCCCAGCGCTTTGCTGGATGCTGGAGTTTCAGCTGCCCGCGGAGCCTGCTTTGGGAGACGGATGGGCACATAGACGTTGGAAGTACAGTGCTCCTTAAGGTATTCTCCACCCTTTTCTTCATAATCTTTCCTTGTAATCCAGCCTTCATCGCGGTTCATGTACTCCAGGGCCCACTCTCGAGCTCCATACCATGCATCTAAAACAGGATTGGAAGCAAGATGCACCTGGATGGCAGCAAGACAATAAAGGGATCTGTTTAGTGGAAGTCAAAGGCCACAGAATAAGAATGACAACAAGCAAAGCTACATGGTGCAAACATCTGACAATCCTATTTGGTATGAAACAACCTGTTCCTTACGGTTACCTTCTGAGGCTGTCTCTGGATGGCCCTGACCTCTGACGCTGGCAATGTAACAACCAGAGCGAAAGTCTTTTCTATTCTGCTAGCTCTTGTATAGAACGCATTCCCCAGAAAGGTTTGCTGGGTGTCAGTTCTTCTTTCTTAGATACCAATCTAGAATGCTTTTCTTTTCCTCAAGTCTTTAAGGAGTGCTTCTTTTGCTTTTTGGATTTAACGTTTTCATATTCTATGGTCTGCCCCTTGCAGTGCATTCTCAGAACTTGTTCCTTTGATCATTTGTAACCTGCCTTGTATGCTGAAAAACGGGAAGGAGGATTACCTTTATAAAGACACAAAGCAGAATGCAGCAACCATGTCCCCCGTTTGTTGTTCTACTGCCAGAATATGAAAGCCAAAAGCTTCCTCTTAGCCAGCATCCTGTTCCTCAGTGATGAACCAAGAAAGTACTCAAACAAAGCAGGGCTATCAGTAGCTCTCCCCCACTGCTGCTTCCCAACAAGCAAATTGGAGGTCATACTGTCCCTGAACATAAGGGTTCAAGTGCTGGACAATATTTTTGCCTGGGTGGCGCTGTGGGTTAAACCACAGAGTCTAGGAAGGTCGGCGGTTCGAATTCCCGTGACGGGGTGAGCTCCCGTTGCTTGGTCCCTGCTTCTGCCAACCTAGCAGCTCAAAAGCACGTCAAAGTGCAAGTAGATAAATAGGTACCGCTCCGGCGGGAAGGTAAACGGTGTTTCTGTGTGTTGCTGTGGTTCGCCAGAAGTGGCTTAGTCATGCTGGCCACATGACCCGGAAGCTGTACGCCGGCTCCCTCGGCCATTAAAGCGAGATGAGCGCTGCAACCCCAGAGTTGACCACGACTGGACCTAATGGTCGGGGGTCCCTTTACCTTTACCATACTTTATGCTGCCCAGTATGGTTACCAATGTATTCTATAAATTTACATCCCTCTTTAAGCTTGCTGCCCAATTCAGTAGATTTTTTACATCAGTTCAAATGCCCCCCTTAGCTTCACATGTGCAATAAAGTTTGGTCATCATTGCCATGTACAGTATTTGGATGCTGCATGTAGCCATTGCATTGCTAAAGCCAATACTACACCTGAAAAGACGACTGGAACGGCCTCATTTCAAGCAGCTCCTTGTAGATTCTGGCTTTCATTCCAGGATACATCATGTTCCCACCAGTAAGGAAGACATTCTGGACAAGTTTTTCCTGCTGCTCTTTAGGATACCTGAAGAAATAAAACTGCCTTAACAGATTCATAGTGCTTCTAGCTGACTGGGATTGAGGACAGAGAATGAAAGGTAAAATTCGTTTGTTGTTCTGCCCTCTTTTGCCTCTGGCCCTACCCACCACTGGCATATGGCCCTCAGAAGGTGGCCCAGAGAAGAATGTGGCCCCTGGACTGAAAAACATTCCCCACCCCTGTGCTAAGGGTGGATGGGAAGGGTAAATCCCTGTAGTAGTAGAGGCTGATTTAATGTTTAAACTTTTTCAAGGATTAAAGCACAAATCTGATTTTAGTTTGTTCCAATTCAAAAGATCCTTCCAGTAAAAAGCTCCTCTCTTCAGACTGCCTGTTAATTTACATTTTAACAGTGAGACACAGGGGGACCGTGTGTGTACATGGCTTTCAAATGTGTCTCTCAACCATCTTCTTTTATATAATTTGTGCCCTGCATCATGCACTATGTTCAAGGCAGCTAACAAAATGTATAATCACACAATGCCTTATTTAATGTGGTGGCATCCCCCATAATCTTGCAAAACTGAGGGTTTTTTATATAAAAAAAGTGAGGAGACTAATTATTTGGGTTCTACAGGAGAAAAAACAAGTACTCTCTGAACAGTGACAGCTTGTTCTTAAATACACAGAGGCTGCAATGCTACCCACATTTACCTAAGAGTACCATTTAATTCAACTAGGCTTATTTCCAGATACACATGTACAGGATTGCACTGTCATTTAAATAGGAGTTCACTTTTGAAAACTAACCTGTCCAGGACAAACTGTATGGTTTCTGCCATCCCAGCCTGCTCTTCTCCTATTAAGGATGGCTGGAAGATAATTTCAGGAACCCGGATTCTTTCTGTGCCAATAAAGAGCTGGTGATACTCTGCCAGCTTAAACACGGGCTGTAAAAATATCAGAGTCAGAAATGTACTGCTATTTGTCAGAACCTTTTATGTAATGCTCGACATTTTATTGAAAATATGTTGTAAATATGAATTAAGCTCTATCACCACCAGAATCTGTATTGTCTGCCCTCATCCAGAGAGAGACTTCAACTTTTCAACACATTCTGTTATGAGATGTTATAGGTAGTTGCAGCAGCAGGAGAGATGAGATAGCATAAGATACTTTATCAGCTGGGACTGAAAGCCTTTTGGCTTCTCCCCTCCCAGAACCATTTTGGCTTCTCCCCTCCCAAAACCATTTCCCACAACCACGCTACCTGGTCATTAAACATTTGCGTAACTTTTCAAAGAATTAGTTCCTGAATTTACTTCCCCAGTTCTTTTCCTATGCCTTGTTCCTTTTGTACTGCGTTTACTAGATTGTAAGCCCTCAGGCATGGACTCATATTTTTAATGTTTGGTGTAGTATCTAGAAAACGTTAGGTGCTTACAGTTTACATTATGTCTGCCATGTGAGATATAACTGGTATAAACTGTGATCAAGGTGACTGCAGATTGGGGATGTTTCTTCCTATTGCTACAAGCATTTTTGGGGAGGGGAAATTAACACTACTCCTGTAGGTCAACCATATGTATGTATACTTGAAAGCACGTTTCACAGAGTTACTCCCAAATATACACAAAATTACAGCCATGGGTTGAAGCCAATGGGATTTGGTAGTCACTGTCTGAAACATGAGTTTACAATCTTCATTTTTCAATGCCATGGGTTTAAGTCACTATTATTATTATTATTGACAGATAATAAAACTTCAGCCAAGGGATAGATCCTCTTCCAAGGACTTACTCAGTGAGGCCAGGGTTCAAAATCCATGCCCAGGGTAGCTGACTGAATGCAAAAATTGTTGTTGTTGTTTAGTTGTGTCTGACTCTTCATGCATAGCTGTCAACATTTCCCTTTTTTAAAGGGAAATTCCCTTATTCCGAATAGGATTCCTCACAAGGGAAAAGTTGACAGCTATGCTCTTCGTGACCCAATGGACCAGAGCACGCCAGGCACTCCTGTCTTCCACTGCCTCCCACAGTTTGGTCAAACTCATGTTAGTAGCTTCCAGAACACTGTCCAACCATCTCGTCCTCTGTCGTCCCCCTTCTCCTTGTGCCCCCCATCTTTCCCAACATCAGGGTCTTTTCCAGGGAGTCTTCTCTTCTCATGAGGTGGCCAAAATATTGGAGTCTCAGCTTCAAGATCTGTACTTCAGAATGGATAGGTTTGATCTTCTTGCAGTCCATGGGACTCTCAAGAGTCTCCTCCAGCACCATAATGTCGCGAATTCCTCGTGACGCTTTTAGCAGAAACGCTCAGAGTCCCAGGTTTCTTTTCAGTGCAGTATTTTTAATGTGAGCTATATACAGGTATTTACAAAAACAGTCCATACAGAGTACCTGCTCCTTAAGGCAAACGAATACTCTCCACCACAGCACCACCATACCACAGCACAACCACCACAACCACAGTTACTGTTGAACAGGCTTTCCTTTTTAAAAACAGGTGGTAGCCAATCACATTAATCACACTCCTGCTGAGTCACTCTGACCCAGCACTTCACAGAGTATTGCATCAGCCTGTTGAAGCCTGCAGACTTACTCAGTATCCTGCGAATCCCAACACATAATTCAAAAGCATCAATTCTTCGGCGATCAGCCTTCTTTATGGTCCAGCTCTCACTTCCATACATCACTACTGGGAAAACCATAGCTTTAACTATACGGACCTTTGTCGGCAAGGTGATGTTTCTGCTTTTTAAGATGCTGTCTAGGTTTGTCATTGCTTTTCTTCCAAGAAGCAGGCATCTTTTAATTTCATGACTGCTGTCACCATCTGCAGTGATCATGGAACCTAAGAAAGTAAAATCTCTCACTGCCTCCATTTCTTCCCCTTCTATTTGCCAGGAGGTGATGGGATCAGTGGCCATGATCTTCGTTTTTTTGATGTTGAGCTTCAGACCATATTTTGCACTCTCCTCTTTCACCCTCATTAAAATGTTCTTTAATTCCTCCTCACTTTCTGCCATCAAGGTTGTGCAAAACCTTGCAAAAATATATACCGTAAAGTAGACTAAGAGACAGGATGTGTATAAAGACAAACCTGTACTGTAGTAACTGGCTTTTCAACTTCAGGTTGCTCCTCAGCAAATAAGGGCTCAAATTCATTCATGCTTTCTACGTCTTCCATTGATTGTTCACTGCCCATTGGATCCAGATCAGGCATCTTGAAAACGAAAGAGACCACAGGTTCTTATATTAAAACAGGGAAGCCACAGAAGCTGGCTTGCCAATGCCAAGGTCTAAAACCAGTTATGACCAGAATGAACAAGCCTTTCCTGCTGGCTGAATGCCAGCTATGCAGTTCTAAGATGATGCAATTAATCATAAAGTCCCACCAAATTCAAGGGGGCTACTAAATGTGCTTGGGAGTACAGCCTTAGTAAACATTTCTCCCCCTCAATTTTATTGTTTTATCTTTTTGTAAACTGCTTTGAGGGGTTTTCAATAAATAATAATAATAATAATAATAATAATAATAATAGTAATTTATTATTTATACTCTGCCCACCTGGCTGAGTTTCCCCAGCCACTCTGGGCGGCTCCCAATCGAGTGTTAAAAACAATACAGCATTAAATATTAAAAACTTCCTTAAACAGGGATGCCTTCAGATGTCTTTTAAAAATAGGATAGCTGCTTATTTCCTTGACATCTGATGGGAGGGCGTTCCACAGGGTGGGCGCCACTGCTGAGAAGGCCCTCTGTCTGGTTTCCTGTAACCTCACTCTTGCAATGAGGGAACCACCAGAAGGCCCTCGGCGCTGGATCTCAGAGTCTGGGTTGAACGATGGTGGTAGAGATGCTCCTTCAGGTATACAGGACTAAGGCCGTTTAGGGCTTTAAAGGTCAGCACCCACACTTAGAATTGTGCTCAGAAATGTACTGGAAGCCAGTGCAGATCTCTCAGGACCGGTGTTATGTGTATAAATTTTATGAGATAATAAAATCAAGCAATATATTTATATACATCCAATTAGTTTAACACAGTTATCCACTTTTTTAAAACCCTCTGTTCAGAAGCATGCCTAATCCACATAAATATATAATTGACACCAAAAGACTAGAGTAAGTTTAAATGTTCAGGATGGCACAAACTTGGTACATTTAAGACTCATCAACAGGTTTATGAAGTATTTTTGTCTGTTCATGTGAAACTGGTAAACCAATATTTGCAGTCTAAATAAGTGGATTGTAAATAGTAGAAAATTGCTACTTTCAGGCAGCAAAGTTCAGTGAAAGTAAGTATTATGCCAGAAGGGGCAACAAAGACCAGGCTGCTAAAATGACTGAATCAGGATGCCTCCATAGCTCTTGCCAGTGCTGGCTGAAGATTTTTTTTTTTAAAAAAAACTATTTACTGAGTGAGGTTTCAAACCTGAGGTAGGCTACTTTACTTAGAGCTGTGATGCTAAGCAACTGGGGTTTGGGAATTTCATGCCAAGAATTTGGTTTTGCCAGCTGTAAACCAAAAAAGGCTATTTTTGAATTTAGCAAATATGAGAAAGTTTACAGAACTTATAAATAAAGGCTTACATAACGATAAAGATTAAACATTTTTCTGCATGGAAGTAAAAATGTATCCTCAAATAACTCTTGCTTAGAAGATGTCACTGATTTCAGTCCATGGTTCTCCTTTGCCCTACGCATCCTAGACAAATGCTCATGAAAACAAAGCCATTACATGACCAGTATTCATTTTCATAGTTTATGGAAATCATAGGCTCAGAATGTGGTATGCAATGCCAACAGCTTTCAATTAACTTTCACACACCCTTTTCTATCATTCCCCTCATACTTGACATTAACGTTTCACCAGTTTCATTACTTTATGACCCATGATCAGGGCTTTTTTTGGTGAGTTCTGGCTGAAAAAAGCCCTGCCCATGATATTGGTAAGTGGCTCAGTCAATAGGCATCTTCACTTTTGAGATGAGTAGTTTGGAGCAATACATAGTTGCTTCAAATGTATCCAGAAGAGGATACATTTTAGTAAAAAAACACACTGAAAAGTAGGATATATTCTTGGCATCTACCCAATTCTGATATGTGAAGCTGACCCTAATTTCATACTCCATTTTTCAACTTTTTTTGTAACAGGGCACGAGAAATGCTCAAGAAAGATGCCAAATGCCAACGAGGAACCTTTGCATAATTCCAACTTGAATATCCACCGTTTTCCTATCCTCAACCTCCAATAGGCCATATTTTTTTAAAATTTAAAACAGGCTATGGTCTGTCTCAAGAGTGCTCAAAACAAATGGCAGCTCAGTTTTCTGCAAGGAGATGAGGCTACTAAGCTCTGAGAACAGCAAATATTAGCATAGACTCACAGAGCTCTTGGGGGAAGATTTTCCTCCATGTTTTTATATTTTGCATTTCTGCATACCTTGAGATACACCAGGACCCACTCCTACTTCTCAGCAGCTCCACTGGAGAGTGGAGTGGCTCCTGTTCAGTCTTTGATGTCCTTCTTTCATGCCAGCCATGTCCTTCTTCAAGACACTTTGTTCCTCTGCACCCATCCATTTCCCATTTTCTTCCCTAGACATTAAGCATTCTGTGACCCCAGACCATGCTCAGTCTTCATTGGGCAATTTTCTTTTCATAGGTGGAGGGGACTCTTTAGGCTCCCCCCCCATCTTTTCCTACTTCTGCAACCCTTTGGATTCTCTCAAGCAATGCAATACTTCCCTTTTGTTTCTCAGTGGCCCTATTTTTGCTGCAGTCCTGTTAGCACTCACCGAGTTCACTATGAGACAGACGGATGGTGATGGATGGCAAGACAAAAAGGAGACAGCTGCAGGAGAATATAGCAATAGACAACTTTGCAGGAAGTTGTAACACAGCCAATAAAATACAGTCTTAGAACTGTTTTGCATATACTTATGGTTATGTGCTGACAGAATTAATGCAACCTTACTGCAGTACCTCTGGCTTGCTATCAACAACGTCCACTTCAACGCTCACTTCTGCCTGTAGGATTTTCTGCTTGGTTTGCTCAATGGCCATACTCAGCTTATGAATGTAAGACTGAAGTTCCTCAGCAGAGTCCATGTTCAGTTCCATCAAGCCTTTGTGAAACTGATCCATATGACCTTCCTCCAGTAGTTCCTGCGCACAAAACACAACGCCATGTGATTTCTATTGGCTGCAATATAACTAAGGGGAATATAGCAGAAAAGCCCAGGGTGGGAGAACATTTCCAAATGAGCAAAAAACTTGCTCTTATTTTCTGGCGACTATTGTGGTATCTGCAATTCTCTCACTGAGATGATATCAAAGTGATCCCATGACATGAAGTATTTTCCCCAAGAATGAAATCTGGTATTTTCATATCATGTTCTTCTGTCATCAGCTTCTCCTTTTCAACTTCCCCAAAGCTGCATCTCAAACATTGTGCAGGGTTACCTGAACATAAAGCAGCCTGTCCAACCTCTCTTGATCAAGCTGCAGCTTTTCCTCTCTTCGGCGAGCATTGAGCTCCTGGAGCCGTCGAAGTTGTTGCTGCCGCCTCTCCTGCTTCTCTTCAGATGTGAGGGTGCTCCCAAGCAGCTTATTTGAAAAGGGCAGCTGCATCTTATGCACATGGTTCTCATAATATTCAGGTGACCTCCACTTCTGCATTTCTGCTCAGAAGTTTCAGAAGCACAATAATGAGTTTTGCAGTCACAACTCTACAGGGTTTCTGTGCTGCTAAACAAACGCCTTTGGCAAGTTTGGATATTTGGAAATTACAGGGAAAGCCGTCTGATAATCTATAACAAAATGTTCTCTTAAAAAAAATGTTGTGAGCCACCTTGGGAGGTTAACTCTCAAAGGTAGCTTATAAACAATGAAACAAACAGCCTGCACTATTACTGTTCTTGTTTACTTTTCAAATTGAAGCTGCTATTGTCTGTTAGATGCACATATTTTTCCCGACAGTTTGCACCAAGTAGAAGGAGACATGAATGAAAAGGAAAGGAGCAAAAGGTACTCAGGTCCCAGACCCTTGTTCCAAGCAGTAGCTATGCTTCAGAAGAATGAGCAAGAAGAATCCCAAGAGCCAACTCTCCCTAATGCAAACCTAGAGGGAGAAAGTGTGCAAATGACATGATGCAATGACTTGCTGACAGTCTGGAGTAGGATGGAGAATAGGCATACAGTCTTTTATTGTGTCTGCCAAATGGACCTCCTAAAACCAGTTGCTGACCAGATTCAACAAGGTAATTCAGCCCCTTTAATATACTTTATTATTTATAAGTGCACATAATAAATAAGTTTGCTCAAAGCAATCTGCATCACTAGATACTGCTTGGGACAAGCTGCTGCATCTGAGGGATTATTCACCATACAAAAGCTTAATAAGGTAAAATCAGGTTAACTTTCCAGCACTGACCATAGCTCACATTAGTATTTTAAGATATGAATAATTTAGATCCCAAATATCTGAAAGATTGCCTCCATCCCACTAACCTTCTTAGGTGTTCAGATCTACAGAGAGGACGCCCATGGTAGTCTCACCACTCTCATAAGTAAAGAGGATGGTGGCCCCGTGAGGGGTCCAGCTAGCCTGTTCACTGTTCAGATTTTGCTGTATGCTAAAGATGCATGACTTTACCCTTTGACAATTAAGGTATTTTGTTTGGTGGGACCTACCTCTTTTCTTGAATGCATACGGTTCCTATAATTGCAATGGTTGTCATTGTTATTATAACTGCATATTTTATTGTTGGACCTTATGTTGAAGGGTGTCTAATCAATCTTATAAATTAAGTTTTACATCTGCAATATACTTAATATTAACCATATTTTTAAAGCAGGTTTGCAAATCAAATCTGAACTCAGGTTTAAAACTAACCATGACTAGCATTTTAACATTTACGATATTTTCATACCTCTTTAGCAATATAAAATTACTTCTTAAGATTTTTTTCTCTCCTGGGATTGCCAGAACCCTAAGAGAAAAAATATTTTTACCAAACCATGATGGAATAGTATGTAACTTTAAAGCTGCATGACAGCCATTAATAGCAATGCTTACCATCCTTATAATCTTCTGCAACATAGCTGTGCTCATGCAGTATTTCCTCTACACGGCTGAGAGTAATGGCAGCAAAATGCCCAGGATATTTTAGCTGCAGGAGACGCTGAAGGTACAGAGCAGCCTGGCACCCTCCAATATTTATACGCTTACAGTTTCTAGCATCCAACCTACCAATCCATAGAAACAAAGTAAATGTGAGTTGGTACACAATATAGGAATGGTTCATTAAGTTCTTTCTACTAGAGTTCTCAATAGCAGACTATCATCTAAGTTAAAAAAACACACGCCAGAATTCTGAGCAGCTTAAAACAAATGCTCCAACATAATTCAGTGTCCATGTTTTAGATATACATTTCCACACTTCATTATTATTAAATTTATGTCACCCTTCCTCCCAAAGAAGCAGAGAAAACCAATACCAATTCATATAGCAACTCTCTTCTGTTGCCTTCAGGAAATATTCATGCAGCACAAGTAAAAACTATTTTCTGGGAACCAGGGATGTCCCACTAGTTACTGCATAAGAGAGTTCACACACTTGAGGGAAACTGAGGGGACAACAACCACCCCATGACTATAAACTATAAACCTAACTAAGCAGAACTAAGGTACCAGCATCTACATATTCTAGCAACTTCTCGCATACAGGATTAGTAAAAGTCAGACACAAAATCAATGGATCAATTGCAGTGGTAAAGATGACAAACAAAATGAAAGACAGTTGCACAGATTCATTTTCCCAATGCCTTTCAAAAACGTTTTTATCAAGGGAGTATACACATTAATTTGATAAAGATGCTCTTTCAGAACATGTTGGTAACACCAAACTGTGCAGCTGCCTTTGTTATATAAATTGATGGTCATCTTTAGAAGAACTTCACAGTATTTTAAAGTATCAAGCAAAAAACTGAATTGCATCCAACTAAATTTTACTCAGAGTTGACCCACTGATAAGTTAGTAATGTCCACTAATGCTTGGATACAGTTTATTGCAGCCAACTCACCGGCCATCCAAGACTGGTAAAATATGTGTACATTGATATCCAGAGGAAACTATGAGACCACTGCAAGGCCAGCCCTGCCTCTTGTTGTGATATAAACTGTACAAACTGTCCACGCCGTAAGAAACCTTGGGAACTTGGTAACATTCAAACAGGAGCTCCGACATCATTTGTCTTGAATACAGAGGGTTGCAGACCGCTTCAGTGACCACAACTGGGTGGTCAACACAGCCCTGTAATGAAATGGCAAGAAATGAAGACCTGGTTAAAACAGTTTACCTAGGTTTGAAAGTTATTTAAAGAGCTACACAAGAAAACAGTCGGGAAGCTGTGGGTTGGACTAGATGACTCTCAGGAGCCCCTTCCAACTCTACAGCTCGATGATCTATGAATCCTGAGAGGCAGTGACTGGCAGGCCAGTCATCAGCACCTGGCGGGGAAGCAGGCTGGGTACCACTGTACTGATGAAACGGAACTATATACGTTGAGTAGCACATGCACAAACTCCTGGGCAGGTCCGTTGGTCAGAGTCTGGTGCTGATCACGCCACAGTTGCAGGTTCGATCCCAGGAATGGGACAGTTGCATATTCCTGCATTGCAGGAGGTTTGGACTAGATCAGTGGTTCCCAAACTTTTTTTGACCATGCCCCACCTAAGCATCTCTAAAAATCCTGATCCCCGCCCCCCATGACATATAATTTTTATTATTCAAAAAATGAACTCCTATTTATGTGGGGGAAGCCTAAAAGGCCATTAACTTGGTCTAAACAAGCTTCCAAAGAACATGGCATCCATGAAAGAGAAAGATAAAAGAAAGAAAGGACAGTTGAAGTGCTGAGGAAGAAATCACTAAAAAATTGTTAAAAAATAATACAATTATATGAAGTGATATGAAAAAATAGTATTTTCTGTTTAGAAAAACTTTTGTTTAGATAACCTCTCCATTGTCACCAGCTGACCGCTGCGTACATTCTGATTTTAATTTTAACAATGTATATGCCACTATATATATTTATATACTTGCCGCTGTTTTATTGATTGTAGTTCAGAAATTATTTATTGTAATTGTTAAGTGTAGATTTCTGTTTAATTTTTATATGCTGATATTTAATATGATTCTATGCTATTCTAATGATTGCTGAATGTTACTTTGTTTGATGTAGGTTGCTTATTTTAAAGTTATGTTTTATTATCACATTTTTGTATTGCGTTAGACTGTTACAAGGTGTACATTCTTTGTTTCTTCAGCTTGTAAATCGCCTTGGGTATAGTAAGATAGAAAGACGGTATGCAAATTAAAAGTGATGATGGTGATATGAGGCCCCTAGAACCATAAGAAATGCAAAATTTTTTTTGAAAAAATTAGTGTTAATAAGTACGCCGGCTCCCTCGGCCAATAAAGCGAGATGAGCACCGCAACGCCAGAGTCGGTCACGACTGGACCTAATGGTCAGGGGTCCCTTTACCTTTACCTCACTCTCGAATTGCCCTTAAAAATCAAATTTTCCCCCGTGGGGCGTGTGTCCCACGCTGGGAACCACAGGACTAGATGGCCCTCAGGCCTCCTACCTGCGAGGCGACCCCGAGGCGCTGGAAGCCGTGGTCGAAGAGCAGCTCCTGCAGCTCCATCTGCACGGGCACGTTGCGGTCGAAGGGCGAGCGCAGCAGCCAGCGGAGGGGCTCGGGGCTGCCCAGGTCGTTGCCCACCTGAGTCTCGGGGCCGGTCCCTCCGCGCGCCCCGCGGCTGCGCGCTACCAGCGACCGGAATCGGAGCAGAGGCTCGCTGGGCACCTCGGAGGCCCGGCAGGCCCAGCCCAGGCGCAGCTGGAAGGAGCCGTTGTCCAGCACCAAGGGAGCCGGAGTAGGCACGCGCACGGCCGGGCTTGGCTCCAGCGCCGGGTCCGGATCCCAGCGGACGTCGCGGAAGGGGAACACCCCTCCGGCCTCCTCCATCGCCCGCCCGGCACGCGTACGGAGGGAGCGAGGTGGGGGGACGCCGCTCCGTAGGACCTGCCTCGGCTGCTTCCGTTCCCTCCGCCGGCTGGAAACCAGAGCGGCGTTTTCGAGGTTCCGCTCTTCAGACTGGCCCCCCATAACGAAAAGCGGGGTTTCCTCGCTCCGTCGCTCAAACATACACACGCATTTGGAGTATTTATACCGTGAAACACGTTTCTTAGCATTCAAGGTGCCGCAGCACTTGCAGTTTACACGCTGCTCCGGTTTCTTGGACTGGTTGGGAGTTTTCCTGGAAGGTTTTCCCCGCGGAGGCGAGATGGAATTAGGCTGAGCTCCAACCCTGTGTTCTTGTATGGCCACATCAACGCCATACAAATTTAAAGCATGGAAGACCCTCACAGCTTCCCTCCCACCCTTCACGTTCCTTTCTTTTTAAATTATTTTTCTTTTGTATGAATGCCATGTCCATCTGTCTTTGGGAATGCAACCCCCATCAGTCCTGTCCATTGGTCACACTGGTTAGGGATGGTGGGAATTGTAGCCCAAAGGTTGGCACGCCTGGCATGTTGTTGAAAACCGTTTATCTGACCCCTTGCCCTGCTCCTGATTTATGTCACTTCTGCACCATGCATTTAAAGGAGTAGTATCATACCAATTTAAACAGGAATCCTGGGAGTTGTAATTTATTAAGGATGCTTAGGGTTGTTAGGAAGCAACTCTGTTCCCCTCAGAGGACTATGATTCTCAGAATGAAGATAATTAGCCGTTTTCACCTCTGCACAGGGATATTGTAATGGCAGGGAAAGCTTGCAGGTTCCTCACTGACAGCTGTTTTTGAGACCCAGTATGCAGCTGCCCCCAACCCCCCATCAACCAGTGAAATACACCAGGCTGCATTTTTGGGCTATATGCTTTTATGCTCTCCACCTGCAAAACAGGCCTAATACTACTTTACAGTGCCCCACAGTATTGGAAAACATTACATGTGAGATGAGATATAACTTAGAAAAAAGTAGGACTATTTGGTGATAACTGTAAAAAGAGAACACAATATAATTATTTTGGGGGCCATTGGTGGGCCTAATAAAGGAATTTGAGGAGCTCTGTTATTTTCCCATTAGTTTGTTGTTTCTAATTACAAGTGCAGGAGGTCTCATTATACCAGGTGTGCTGCAGGTTCTCCAATTAACCTCCATATAATCTTTGTGTTCCTCCCTTAAGGGGATTGCAGCCTTCTTTTAAAATCAGTGGTGTTGGAATGACAGCATAGTTGCTTTGTGAGTCATGTTGTGACGTAATAACAGAGTGTAGTTATCTTAAGGTGCTTAGTGCAGCACAGCAAGTATTAGTAAAACATGTGCACAGTCAGCTGAGGTGGATTTTGGAGCAGAAATGAAGTACCCTCTGGTCCCTTTAATTAATGACCTAACATTTCCTGTCCTTTTCTTTTGGTTTTGTTTGCCTTTTGGAATATTATTGATTCTTTTCATTTTCTGGCTTCAACATCTACTTAATGATGGTAAGTCTTGCTGTGAGACAGCTAAGATGTGCTTGTGTATTAAGGCTTTAGGTATTAGCTTTCCTTTTAAAGCATTGTGTTGCAAAACTATTTTTAGCTTAATGCTGATCTTGTGTGTCAGGCATTTAGGTAGTTTCAAAAAAAAAAAAGACATGGAGAATTTAGTTTTTGACAACATTGTTTTAAATAACTGGTTTTTTTATTCCAGTCTAAAAAGAAACTTTGTATCAGGAAGGTTTGTTAACGATTGTGGTATACCCAAATAAGCCTTGTAATTTGGTTGAAACCTGTACTGTACAGTACTTGCACACCTCACGATTGTTGGTATGAAAGAGAACATATATAGTGGCTGAAAAGGGAGAGTTGATGCAACTGAGAAATTTCTTGTTTGAATTCCTTTGGCTTGTTCTGCCTTGTCTATTTTTATATTTTATTATTTCACTTCACATACACAATACTTGCTTATGTTTTCAAATAACAAACATTGCTACTGCAACTTGCAAGTTCAAAAATCTCAAACTGGAGAGAATAGGAGTTGACTGCAGGCAAGTCATAATCATTCTTGAGATACTCTGCTGTGAAAGGGCTAGCTTCAAACTATTTTTACCTCTAGTGTGTACTGTTTGTCAATGGCAGACTCACTAGTACTGAAAAAGGAATGGGTGCTTAGCCTAGTCATTTGTCTTTTGGCCAAGTTTGAAGGCATAGTGCACCTCTTAACTAGCCTGTGACAGATAAAAAATTAACAGGCTTGACAATCCTAATGGGAACAGAAGCTGCTTTGCTTTGTAATTTGGAAACAGAGGCACTAGAAAAGCTTTAGAATATTTCTTTCTTTCTCCATAACTGTTCATTGTTGAACTGCTATTTTAATAGAAATATCTAGAGCTCATTTGGATAAGAATGCTTTATTATCTCATGTTTCAACTTCAGTTTTGCTTTCTGTTCGATGTATTTTTAATAACTTGTGTCTTGGCATTCTTGAGATTGCAACACCTATAGTGCAAGTACAGTAGGTACGGGGGGCAGCCTAGCTCGTTTCACCACCTGAGGCAAATAGGGAAGGTGCCACCCTTGCGCTGAACCCTTGCTTACTGGGGTTGTGTGGTGGCACCTGCTGGCGCAATCTCACAGAACTCTTCCAAGAGCTTGCTGGAAACTGTCACTGTGTGACTCTGGTAACTGCAGCAGGGGCACCGCCCTGCAGGATCCCACCACTTGAGGCAGGCTGCTTCACTCTGCCTCATGGGTGGGTTGGCCCTGAGTAGGTATCTCTTCAGTGTTTTGCAGCTTGTAAAATTTTAATATGAAAGGAGAGGGTTTCACAGTCTGTTGCCTTTAAATCCATCCTAGATGTTTCCTTTCTATTATGGTGAGGGATTCACCACTTTATTGTCCTGTTAATACAGATTTCTTGAGGCAGAAACCAAAAACTCTTGGGATCCCATGGTTAGATGCTCTGGGGCAAAGGCTACTAAAATGGTACTTTTCTAGTCAAACCATGCCCAGTGAAAGCACACTTGAATGCCTACTAGTTACTAAGTCTGTAAGTAAATCCCGTTATGTTTGCTCTGATACAGTGGTATGTTGGGGGCCAGGAGTCACTGTAGCACAATTATCACTTTGGAGTGGAACTGCTGCTGTTACAACAAAACTGCTTTTTGCAGCATACTATGTTAAAAGATGTCCACTCAAACATGCCACAGCTTCCCCCCCCCAAAAAAAATATATTGGCGCATACCATCAAACATCTATAGAATTTATTTATGCACAAGTGACTAAAAGATACAATCGTATTTGGGAGTAAACTCTGAGACGCTAGGACTTAATTTTGTTCGTATCCATGTGTGTGGCTATGCACAAAGCTTTTTTCCAATTATAGGAATTGGAGTGACATTGCTGAAGTACAGTAAGTCAGCAGCATTTCCACTTGAATAATGGTGAACACTTCTGTTTTTGCCAGTGTAATAGGCAGGTTCACTTACATCACTGGGTTTATTAATGGGTGAAGATCCATTTTGTTTGCAGCAAGGCTTGCACTTAATGGTGAAAAATGATGTTAAACTGTCACTTGCCTTCTCCAAAGCACCACATTTGATAATGAGAAAATTCATTTTTGTTAGGAGTTGGGAGTGTGAGTATGCTACTTTCCATAAACTATTCTATGGATTTTGCAGTTGTTCTCGTCCTGAGAGTATGATCAGTTTTGAAAGCAGTTTGTCACTGGAGTGGGACCAAGTCTTCATTTGTGCCTGGGTAAAGGTGTAATATTGATACTGCAGAGGCAATTTAGCCCTTGACTTTCCTGAATGGCTATCTAAAGGAGAGCATATTCCTGTTACTACAAAGCTGGTGCATTTCTGAACACTTAAACAAAAACAGTTTTGTTCAATGTACTTTCATAGCACAGCTGATGCAGTTTTTCTAATCCGACTAAAATTACCTACCACGTTACTGAAGCTAAACTTTTGTTTTCAGCCCAAGTTTCCATCACTAAAGAGATAAAGATGCCACCCTCTGATAATTCTGATGGGAATGCTGACCTCGAATCAGAAAATGAGTCTAGAGGAAATAACAGTCAAGGCAAGATGCACAGAAGAGCCTCAACAAGTGACATTAGGACAACTCTACCTGTGAAAAAAATGAAACCCAAGCCTGCCTATTTGAGTTCAAAAGAGGCTGTCCAGATAAAAGGGCTTTCTGCCTTTATTTCAGACAGATTGGACCATAATGTAAAACAGTATTGCTTGGACAAAAGTTCATTGTATAACACAGTAATGGTAAGTTGTACTCCTTTTTTTCAGATGAGCACAAAAAGGTTTTTCCCTCTCTGTCTACTTCTCAAAGCAGATTTCTGTAGGCAAGATGGAAAGGACCGAGTTTGTACCAAATTAATCATTCCCAGGTCGTGGAATAATAGGTTTGGGATTAGAATTCTAAATCCTTGTGAGGTTTGCATCTTAGATAATGACCTACAATCCTGAAGAAGCAATGGGTAGCACACGACCACAGGTTTTCACATTTTTTTCCTGTGCTATTTCACAAAACTGCTTCCTAAAATTTCCTTCAATAGAATAAGCTTTTGTACAAGTGCTAGCAGCTCACAATGATGAACACACCTTTTGGTGAAACAGAGCATATGAAGTGTGCACATCTTGGTGTTCTGATAGCTGTGTTAAGATCTGGATCAGTCTTGTGAAATGCTTGTTGCTTTCCTGTTTTGAGTGTTTGCTTTTTTTGGGTGGGGTGGGTGATCAAAGCTAGCTAGCTAAAAGGAATTATAAACTCCTTTTGAGATAAATAAGAGTTACAGAAATCCACAAGTCACAGTAATAGAAGCCAGTTGGTTGAGCAGTGAACACTGGTGCAGTGGGGGCAGGAGACACATGGAAAGACAATTTGTTGGGACTGCAGCCTAAAATATGTGATTCCCTTATCTGTTTGCTTCAGCATTACAGAATAATTGCTTTAGATACTATTAATGCATTTCTAGGCTGCAATCCTATATCCATTACACTGTAAGTGAGCCCTAACCCGCTAAAGGGATTTACTTCTGAGTAAGGTAAAAGGTAAAGGACCCCTGGACGGTTAAGTCCAGTCAAAGGCGACTATGGGGTTGCGGCGCTCATCTTGCTTTCAGGCCGAGGGAGCCGGCATTTGTCCACAGAGTTTCCGGGTCATGTGGCCAGCATGACTAAACCACTACTAGCACACAGAGGACTGTGACGAGTGCCAGAGCGCACTGAAACGCCGTTTACCTTCTCGCCGCAGCAGTACCTATTTATCTACTTGCACTGGCATGCTTTCAAACTGCTGGGTTGGCACGGACGCCGGTGGTGCTGTGGTCTAAACCACTGAGCCTCTTGTGCTTGCTGATCGGAAGGTCGGCAATTCGAATCCCCGTGATGGGGTGAGCTCCAGTTGCACTGTCCCAGCTCCTGCGGACTATGCTACTGATTTGTTCTAAAGATCTCAAGTCAAAGGGGGCGTAGTTGATTCTCCAGTCATATTTTCACAGCAGGTTGGTTAGCCTTAGGAAGAGAGCCAAAAACTAGCCATGATGGGACCAGCCATATTTCTATATGAAGGTAGCCATAAGAATGACAAAATGTGTGTTTGAAAATATGGTCTAAGGTGCACACGTGTAAAGGAAGCTGAACGCTTCTACTTTATTTGTTTATTTAAAATAATTATATACTGCTGTATCATAAAAATATATCACAGCAATTTACAATATAAAAACATAAAACCAATCAAAAACATCATTCAAAGTTAAAAACAAGTTAAAAGCAAAGAGAAATTAAAAACAAACATCAGTAGACCATTGTAGGGAATGTGCTCTTAATTACCTGCATAAACCTGGCAGAATAGAAAAGTTTTCAGCAGACATTTAAAAGTTGGTACAGAAGGCGCCTGCTGAATATCTGTCGGCAGGGTGTTCTGCAGGACTGGGCCAATGACACTAAAGGCTTGATTTCTTGTATTTTTGGTGCTCTTGTCACGAGCCTTTGTCAGAGCCTCAAGATCAAAAAAGGCCACCGCCTAACAGTCTGCAAAGTGAAAAGGATAGCAGAGAAGATCAGATGCGGGTGTAGAGAATTCTGAGTTGGGGTGGGTGGGCAGAAGGTGCTGTATATTACCAGGCCCTGAAGATTCAAGGCAGGTCAAAATTCACACATTTGAGAAAACCTTTTAAAGGAGGGTAATTGTGGCCTTGTAGGTTATACAGGGCCTGGTTTTGATACCTTTATTCAGTGCATAGTGGTACCTCGTGTTACAGACAAGATCCGTTCCAGAGGCCCGTCCGTAACGTGAAATGCCTGCAACTTGAAGTGCTGCATCTGCGCAGGCATGTGGCGTGATTTGGCGCTTCTGCGCAAGCGCAAAGCATGATTGTGCGCATGCAGTGCAACCCGGAAATAACCCGTTCCAGTATTTCCGGGTTGCCACAGGACATAACGCAAAAAGACGCAACACAAGGTATGACTGTATGTATATATATGTGTGTATGTGTATATATATGTGTGTGTGTGTGTGTGTGTGTGTGTGTGTGTGTGTGTATAGAGAGAGAGAGAGAGAGAGCGCACTGTACAGCAGGCCTGCAACAATAGCAGCAGCAGCAAAGGAAACTGCCAAAATCAGTGCTTTAATTTTTTCCTTGTACAGTGGTACCTCAGGTTACAGATGCTTCAGGTTACAGATGCTTCAGGTTACAGACTCCGCTAACGCAGAAATAGTACCTCGGGTTAAGAACTTTGCTTCAGGATGAGAACAGAAATCGTGCGGTGGCAGCAGAAGGCCCCATTAGCTAAAGTGGTACCTCAGCTTAAGAGCAGTTTCATGTTAAGAACGGACCTCCAGAACGAATTAAGTTCTTAACCCGAGGTACCACTGTATTGCCTCTTGAGCCTTATTTAGGCCTTGGGTGGTTGTTGACAGTTTAACAGGTGTATTAAATAGGTTTCTATCTAGTTCTCTGGCAAGGCTTTAAACCCAGCAGGGATTTAAAGAGAGGTGGGTCCAGATGCTGATTTTATTTACAGGGACAGTACCAAGTTAATTCATTATGTCTGAATGCATCCTCAGCATAATTGCATGGGGGAAATGGCCATTATTGTTGCAGTCTTCATTGTTTTGTGCAATGGTGATCTTGTTAACTGCCTGAGCAGATGCGAAAGATGACTTCTTCCTCTGTTCTTTCTTAGCTGATCTGCACTCTGCTGGTCTCTCTCCTCTTCAACCTTCTCTGCCAGTTGCTTGAGGTCTCAAATGTTCTACGAATCCAGCTGCTGCCTTCATCTCTGGCTGTCCGTGTATATCAGCTCTTTGCCTGGGTGACCCAAAAGCTTGCGAAAATAATGATTTCCTTGAAACAAGAAATTTCTGCTCGATCAGCTTTTTTCTTGGGGAAGAGAGAGAAAAGAACTTTTGGGGCTAAAGCGTAATGCTTTGTACAGGGCAGGATTAAAATACAGTGACTCAACAAATTTTGTGTAGTGTATATTTGTAGGAATCACTTTTCTGGCAAGGAAACACTAGAATGCGCTTCATCGCTCAGATTATTAGATTATTTTTTCAGCAAGGAGTAGATGGCGGGTGGGGGAAAGAGTGGTATGCCTTTTCAGTATTTCCATTCAACAATGAGAACCAAAACACAAACTATTATTTGCTTATCTTGAAATAGCAACCCTTCTTCTAGAAAAGAACAATGAGGCTCTGATGTGCACATATTAAACATACAGTGGTGCCTCGCAAGACGAAATTAATTCGTTCCGCGAATTTTTTCGTCTAGCGAATTTTTCGTCTTGCGAAGCACGAAATCCCATAGGAATGCATTGAAAATCAATTAATGCGTTCCTATGGTCAAAAAAAGTCCAAACAAAGCCAAATTTGGTACAACAAGAGTTTATTAAGTGCTCTTTAAAGTCACACATACTGTAAAGAGCATTTCAAAATTCAAACCCAGAATTTTTTTTAAAAAACAGCAGAGTTGCCCAATGGTCACAGAAAATCATAAAAATGCAGAAAAAACACACACAAGCTTCCAGATTCTTGAAAACCCCTCCCCAACACCAAGTTCTTGAATTCCAAACACCCCAACCCAAAATCCAAACCCCCCCAAAAAAGTTTTAAAAGCTTAACTTACCAAATGGCTGCAAAAGAAGTTTTGGAAAAGCTTCAAAAATCACCAAAGTCTTTAAAAACCTCAAAAAGGGCTACTATGTACACTGTGTTCTATGAGTTGCTCCTCGAAGTCAAGTCGCAACTGTATTAACGGTGTTAAGAAAAAGGAAACAAACTTGCAAGACATTTTCGTCTTGCGAAGCAAACCCATAGGGAAATTCGTCTTGCGAAGCAGCTCAAAAAACGGAAAACCCTTTCGTCTAGTGAGTTTTCCATCTTGCGAGGCATTCCTCTTGTGGGGCACCACTGTACTTAAGAGCAATAAATTACTGCAACTTTTATAATAACTTTCTCAAAGGAGTGCTAGTATGGGATAGTGCAGTGGAACATCTCTCCTTCTAGGCCAAAGGATTTTCTGTTCCTTGACTTCTACTCCAGTTGCAAGCTGTCCTCTTCCCCTCCAGCTTGGCCACAGCTCCACCATGGAGTGGTGGGGTGGTTCACATTCATCTGTCTTGAGAGACAATGGAGTGTCTCTACACGCAGGCATGTCCAAAGTCCGTTTCAGGGGCCTAATCTGGCCCGCCAGTCGGTTTAATCCGGCCCCTGTGGCAGTTAATTTCCTGGGGTAAAATCATAAAAAGCTCAACAACTTCAATCCTTTAACAACTTTGGTCTGTCCTCACGGCTCTTCACTTCATCAAATCTGGCCCTCTTTGAAAAAGGTTTGGACACCACTGCAAGGGGTGAAGTCAGATGGATGTGTTAGTAGCACCAAAGTTACCTCCCTGTGCCTCAAGCCTAAGCAGTGTGTATGGAGGTCCTGCCCAGACAACATGACTTCCCAGCTTTCTTATGTGGTCCAAAGGAAAGCAGAGCAATACACTTGGCACCAGCTTGGCTGCAGGCATACAAGGTGCCACCCAACTTACGGACTCTTAAGTCTTAGGGACTCCCCTCCAGATTTGCATAGGATTTACTACTTAGCCTTTTCTTCTCCTGAAGATATCCCACAAGGCAGCTGGGAGGTATGGGCGGAATTGTGCACAAAATAAGGGTAGCCATTCCCATTTTTGCTTTGGCCATGCCCTCAGCTGTCATGTGGTTGACTAACAGTGAACATTCCTTGGGCCAAAATAAGGTTGTTTTCTAGAAAAAACTTTTCTACAAATAATTAATCTAGTAGACATCCCACTGCAGTTTTTAAAGTTAAATCTTTCACAAGCACTTTGAGTGTAGGAACTCTGGAATGTGTGATAATCTTTAAATAAGGTGCAGACATAACATTCCTGATTGTTGCTTTAAAAGAAACCAATTGCTAGAGGAACAAGATCTGTGTACATCCTCATCCTTGCTCCTCGTACATAAAACTATCACCTTTCCATTTATTTTTTTGGAGTTTGTCAGAAGGTAGTGTTGTGTCTGTATGGCTGCTAGTTTCAAACCAGAGCGTGAAACCGAACAACACTGTGCAAAGTACATCTCATAACTCTGATTAAAGCTATACTCTTAAAGAAGCATGGGAGTGTCCCTTTCATTAAGTAGATTGACAAGAAAAAATGTTCTGCCGTTATAAGCTTGTAAAATGATACCTGTCAAGTAAAAAACTTGAAATGCTCTACCTGATGAAGTTTATAGCTGAGACAAATTTCAAACCAATCCAGCTAAAATTGCTGCAAGTACAGCAGCTTTAAAACTGTTAGAAATTAACACACTGACTTTGTTTTTACACAAACATACCATGCTTGTGGGATTTGGAAACCTGAAAAATATGTGCCTTGCAACCACACACAGCAGTCTTTTATTATTCCAAAATGTGATGCCATATACTTACTAGTTTAAATAAACATTGTTTGACTTCAGGCCATCATTTTGTCTAAATTCGTATTGTAACACTTGTGTCTATTGCACTGGAGTCTGCTGTATGCAGCCATTCAACACGTTGCAGTGCAGTGTAGAGCTTGCATGAGCAGAGGACAAAATGTAACTGAAAACTACCACTTATTCAAAAACTAACAAGGTTAGCTTGCAACAGACATGCTAGTAAAAGAGTAGGAAGAAGATAGCTCTGATACAGTGGTGGCCAAACTTGGCCCTCCAGCTGTTTTGGGACTACAATTCCCATCATCCCTGGCCACTGGTCCGGTTAGCTGGGATGATGGGAGTTGTAGTCCCAGAACAGCTGGAGGGCCAAGTATGACCACCACTAGCAGATTTTTATTTTTTTTGCAGGAGTGGATTTTTGCACTGAAGAGCTGGGGGCTCCCTTCAGCTCTGGAACTCCTAACAAATTCCAGAGCACAGAATCCTTTAATTCTAAGTGTTTGGTTGTGTTCACAGAGCAATTTACGGTGTGCTCATTGCATTTCCTGCACTGGGTTTTAATCCATGTCCACACAATGTTGTCCAAAATGCATGTGTATCCTGTACTATATTAATAAATGGTATTGTTTGATGGGTTGTTTCTCAAACCAGCTTCATACAAGCTGGAGTCTTTAAGCAGTTCCTAATTTGCTGAGTGGAGTTGTAGAGCAAGAAACTTCACTACATTTTAAGGTGGTAATGTGAACCCATCCTGTCTTTTGCACCTACTGCAAGATGGTGGATCTTGGGGTTCTGGCATAAAGTAATTCCTCATGCTTGATGTCTTCCCCACCCTGTTTTCTGTATTAAGGGAATTGCTTTGCATGGAGGACTGGAGTATTTTTTTATGCATCTGCAATCTAGAGTGGCAAATGCCAGCAAAAGTTTCAACTATTATGGCCATTTTTGAGAACTAGCCATTTGTGGGGATTTACATCTGTGCAAACATGCAAAAGTTATGTGTAATGCATAACTTACTTACACCACCTAGAAATTATTTTTTATTACGTGGTTTATAAGCATTTCTAATTATGAGATTTGTTTGCAAGCATATCACTGATACTTTTCTGCATCGACCAACGTCTTGCCCCAGCGCTGTTACCAGCGCAGCTTCTACGGCAACCTTTCCCAGTTCTTCAAGGAAGCCTTCCCTAAACAGATAACCGCATTGCTCCGCGCCACTCACATACTTGCAGCGCTTCTTCACCGAAATGTCCTGGGCCAAGACAAACCTCTGATCCTCCTTTCTTTGGAAAGCCTGAGCAACAGGCCAATCCCAGCTTAGAACAAACCAATCCTCTAACGACTCCCTGATGTTTCCAACGGTCTCTTTAAAAAACCCATTTCTATAGCAACCAGGACAGGGTTATGGCAATAGCAAAGAGAGACTGACCGAGGTTTTTCTCCAACGCGCTGCATCGCGTTCCCATTCGCTCGACTACCCAGCCCTGGGGGGAGCTGAGGCTTTCCAGGGGAGTGAGTCAAGACGCCTATCCTTTTCCTCTTGGACATTTCTAACTCAATTCCCCTCTTGCCCTTCCCCCAGTCTGCTTTTATCTCCCATTTGTGAAAGACCCGCTTTGAAAAAGGACAGGGAAACGGCTGAGCGCCGTCTGCAATTGCGTCCTCCTGCAGCGGCTGCGCCCTGGGTAGCAACTAGTTTGCAGCTACTTTGCAGAGGCGCACAAGCTACCATCACGTGCAAAACCCGCGCAAGGTCCGTTGCTTTTGCTCCTCCTTGACCGGACAGGGGCTATTATTCCTCCCCTTCGTCGCCTGCGGGCTCCGCCCTCCCTCCATTCAAACGCTCCCACTCGGCGGCGCTCGCGCACCCGGAGCGCATCTCATCCATCCGAGGAGGCGAGGAGGGGGACGAGGCTCTTTCGCTCGTTTCTCCCCGGTCCGCGCCCACTGGGATCCAGCAGGTAGGGAAAGAGGCGGGTGTCCCTTTGTTCTTGCAGGAGAGGCGCTTTCGAGGGCGGCTGCGGCAGCAAAAGAGAGAGAGGGATGCAGCGAGCGCTTGGAGAGGGTCTCCAAATCCTCGGATCTTGGAGCGGATACAAGGCTGTCGATTCTCGGCTTGCGGGAATATCGAGCAAGGACTTTCAGTGGATTCTCCTGAGACATCCTGGAGAAACGTTACAAATATATATATTCCATAACACTGTCTGCTGAAAGAAAAAAGAAACAAGAAACGGTGCTTTAAATGTGACCTTGTTGCTTCTGCAAAACGGGAGGCGACTTCCCCTTCGCGTGGCTGGGGATAAGGAGGTCGGTTTTTAAAGAACTGATTTAAAATGTAGATCAGGCGCAACCAGAGGGTGTTTTCCCCACCCCCATATTTCGTGGAAAGGATTGGGAGGTTATGAACTGGATGGGGAGGCATCAGTAAGAGGTCTAGGAATGAAGGAGGCTCGTTTAGGGGTGCTAAAATTCCCCTTAATAAAATTTAGAAGCAGGGCTTGCCTGTCGTCCGCCACAGCCCAGGCGTGTCCTCAACTTTTGCCGTTTTGATCTGGCAGCCTCTGGGTGGAATCCGCCACTGCAGACCCGTGTCTACTCGGAGGTAGGCAAGCACCAATGGTGTTGAGCGGGGCTTGCTCTCTCTAGTTAGGATTGCAGCCCAAAGTTCTGGGCTTGCTAATGAGTAAGCATGAACGGCATGTCCCCTGAGGAGGGGACACTTGTATCTCATTGTTTGATACACGTTGCTGCCGCTTTAAATTTTTCGTACTTTCATCTGATCTTGAGCACGATTCATTGAAAAGCGGGATATAGACGTTCGAGACAAATGTCCAAGTCAAGATTTAAATCTGATATGCAAAGCAGAGGGTGACTGTTGTTGTGGAAGAAACTAGATGACTTTTAGAACGGATCCAGTATGATCTATAGAGGTCTGTGTAGCATTTTTACCCTATTCTGTGCCAGCACTTTGGTGGTGTCTGTCAGGCTAACAACTTTATTATCAGTGGGTGGTGTTGCCGGTTGCTCTCTCTTTCTCTCTCTGCCAGGAAAGAAATGAACCGTTAGTTGTGATTGCCGCCTCTCTCCTTACAAGAAACACATGCTGTTGTTGTTTGAATTGAAGCTTTCCTAGTGTTTTCCCATAGGGCGACTCCTTCAAGAAAAAAAGGATGCTTGGAAGAACTGCTTCTTTTTAAGGAAAAAAGCGAAAGTGATTTTGGTATCCCAAAACCAATAAATAAGAAGCAGGACCTGATCCTGCAATTACCAATATTAATGCAACATGTCAATGTTCTTCGAACATGTCATCTGCATGTACCACATTTTGGAGCTATGTTGAAGCTAGGCTATAAAATGCAAGCTGGTGGTCTTCATACTGCGGGATTGAAAAGGGTCTGCAGGAAGCATTTGAGTGCTGTTTCTATACTACACTTTAACACCAGTTTGTTACAAGTGCCTTTTAATAAGGCCACACTTCTGCTTCCCTTTCCCATCAACCAAGCTCTGGTCTAGTTTGTGCCTTCTAGTCTTTGGCAATGGAGAAAGGCTGTAGATTTGAGGCAGAACACAATGCTTTGTGTACAGGAGGTTGCAGGTTCGGTTCCTGGCTGGTAATTGTCCACTTTCTGAAACCCAGGAAGGCCGCCTCTGGTTAGTTTGGACAATGGCTTTTATCTGCAATAGCCATAACAAAGACTCTTCTAATTTTGGGGAGGAGAGTTTGTTTCCAAAGTCTGCTTGTGCAGCAATATTTCCTTCAGAAGTGTTTTATTGCAACTGAAGTTGTTATAAATTGGGGGTCGCAGGATGAAGACCGGATGTCATGCAGGGCTTTGACTTCTTGTGACCTTGTACTGAGCAACGCTCAACACAAACGAGTGTGACCAAAGAACAAAACTCTGGATAGGTTGTGGTAATGAAGCTACGTAGATAAGCATGTATGGTTCTTAATGTAAGTCGATCAATCTGATTTTTTTAGAAACCATTGGTCATTGCAAAAAAATCAAATAGTATTTTCAGTGGTTCCTACTGACTCTTGTGGAACAGCAACATCTGCTTTCCCTGACCTGCACCCACTTTATTTAATCCTAAATGTAAATGATTCCCATTGACGTTTGTAGGGGAAATTAAAGGGATTGATCATGACTTCCAGCCTGTATTGATAGGAATTCATATTGGGTGTGCCTTGTGAGAACCTGACTGATGGTTGAGCCAGCATTCATCAGTAAATGGGAATCAGTGTTTAAGTATCAAGCTAACTGTGAAAGGGGGGGGGGTTAAAGAGCTTTCTATAGACATCTGGTTGGCTGCAATGAGAACAGAATGCTGGACCTTTGGCATTATCAAGCAGGACTCTCCTTGCAGAAGGAGGGCATGTCTGCTGGGAGTGCCTATTCATTGGGTGTTTGAATCTTTGTTTGACTCTGATACATATAACAACTTGCAGTTACTTGTATATTTTGTGAGATGTGTTGTATGATATATATATTGTTTTGTAGTGGCTTATTCATATATTTTGAATGACATCATATGGATTATATATTTACTAACAGTTATTAGCCAGTGTATTGCATTTGCATTTTTGTAGATTATTCCATAGAGCAGGCATAGGCAAACTCTGGCCCTCCAGATGTTTGGGACTACAATTCCCATCATCCCTAGCTAACAAGACCAGTGGTTAGGGATGATGGGAATTGTAGTCCCAAACATCTGGAGGGCCGGAGTTTGCCTATGCCTGCCATAGAGCTTTCTCTTCCCAGTACAGATTTTCACTGCTTGGCAGGCATTTTGCTAATAGAGGGAAAAAATGTGGAAGCAGCAGCCTACTTTTCTGCTTAAGTTGTAAAATCTAAATAAAGATGGGCACACTTTTTCTGTGGGCGTCCCCGCTTTCTCTTTAGGATAATCTCTCAGGGGCCACATGTGGATGAGTCAGCGGTGGGTGGGGCCAGTTAAAAAGTGGGTGGGGCTACAGCTTCTCTCTCCCCCCCGTCCACCCTCTGGTACCTGCATTTCTGGAGGTAGTGGAGAGCCAGTGTGGTGTAGTGGTTAACAGCAGTAGTCTCGTAATCTGGTGAACCGGGTTTGCGTCTCCGCTCCTCCACATGCAGCTGCTGGGTGACCTTGGGCTAGTCACACTTCTTTGAAGTCTGTCAGCCTCACTCACATCACAGAGTGTTTGTTGTGGAGGAAGGGAAAGGAGAATGTTAGCCGCTTTGAGACTCCTTTGGGTAGTGATAAAGCAGGATCTCAAATCCAAACTCCTCTTCTTCTCTCTCGCTTTTCATCCTTGCTGAGTAGGCTGTTGTAGGAGTGACAAATGAGCTTCCAAAACGAGGCCTGGGACCATAGATGACCCATCTGTGATCTAAAATGAAAGGCAACTTGCCTCTAGAGCAGTGCAAGTGGCCACAAGAGGAACTTTACAACCAGTATATTGTCTGTACATGTGATTATCCCTTGTGTTGAGTATAGGTTCGTTAGATCACTGTTCTTTGGAGCATAACTTCGGGAGAACACTTACTACTACTCGTTCAGCCACTCCATTCCCTGTGGTCTAGAGGTGTTCTATCCACATGGCAAGTCTGTGGACTCATTAGCAGACCAGCAAACGCTTTGCTGGTGCGTTAGCCAAGGTGCAATGTCAACAAGACAGCTTCCTTCACTGTACATTTCTTCTGGAAAGTGGGGGGGGGATTTCTCCTTTAGTAATAAACTGAATATGTAGGAGAGCTTGAGTCAGAAGTGCCCTTTAAGCAAGGGACTTGACTGCTTATCTACAGCAGCATTTTGTTTTGCACTAGCTTCGTACCCTGGGTTTTAAGTTCCTTGAAGAAGATGGTATCTAAAATTTAAACAGGAGACACGCTCCTGGTGTTTGGTACTTCTGCTGTTAGCTGTACGAGCACAGGATGTTCAGTGTCCTTCCTCCAAGAATTTTGGTTCTTTCATTGTGTAAACAGCACACTTGATTGCTTGTTTTGCAATGGTTGCAACATCCAATTGCATCAATCCCCCCTCCCCTTTTAAAAATAAGAAGGTGCTTGGGTCAGTGTGTGTGTGTGTGTATAAATTGCCAGAAAAGGGCAACCAAAATAATCGGAGCATCTTGCAACTCATAATATTTGGAGCTTGGTAGTTAAGGGGAAAAGGCAAGAGGGGAAATGGCACTAAGTTATGCATGGAGTGGGGAAAGTGGTTAGAGGGAAGTTTTCCTCCTCCCACAGCACTAGACTCCCAGGGGTATCCAATGAAGATGATTGCTGGGGGATTCCAGGGCAGATCAAATGAAGGATTCATTCATGCGGTGATGTTGCTGCCCCAAGTGGTAGTGATCGCCAACAACTTAGATGCCTTTAAAACAGGGGTAGGCAACCTAAGGCCCATGGGGCGGATGCGGGCCAATCGCCTTCTCAATCCGGCCCATGGACGGTCCAGGAATCAGCGTGTTTTTACATGAGTAGAATGTGTCCTTTTATTTAAAATGCATCTCTGGGTTATTTGTGGGGCATAGGAATTCATTCATTCCCCCCCCCCAAAAAATATAGTCCAGTCTACTGCATGGTCTGAGGGACGGTGGACTGGCCCACGGCAGAAAAAGGCTGCTGACCCCTGCTTTAAAAGGTAACCGGACAGTTTTGTAGGGGATAAAGCTCTATAGTTTTATGGCTACGACTGCGGTGCCTGGAGACAGGCAGTCAAGTCATGGATCCATAGCAGAGGAGAGAAGACCGCTGGGAGGAGCACAGAGAGAAGAAACGCCATGGCGCATCTGCAGCAGCGCAACCAGATGCCTTCATCTGCCCCAGCTGCAACAAAACATGTCTCTCCCGCGTTGGTGCCTACAGCCACAGCACGCATTGCAATCTTCAAATAACTTGACCTCACCCCCAAAGGCGCACTCCTCCATTGTCTCCCTAGACAGACAGATGCCAACCAACCAGTTTTGATGGCTGTATGATACCTCCAGGATCAGGGGTAGCATGGCTCTGAATACCAGTTTCTAGGGGTCCACAGTTGGGGGGGGGGGAGTGTCCTCCTTGTGTGTTTCCCATAAGCATGTGGCTGGCTACTGTGGGATACCACATCTTGTTTCTGGGCTAGACAGGCCTTTGGCCTGATCCAGCAGGGCTGCTCCTATTTTCCAGACTTTCTAAAAATGATTTGAGGAGGTGATGATACCTGAGGCAAATGCTCAGACAATACCTGAATACTTAACCTGCATTTGCTCACTCTTTGAAACCTTTAATGCACAACTAGTCATACTGTTTACTTCCAGTCAGGTTTTCTATGGAAATCAGAAGTTTGCTGAGTGGGTTGCAAGGCACCTCATATTAACTGTAATATTTTCTGTGTGAACCAGAATCCGTTGTGCCATTTTGAATTTATTTATTATTATTATTTCATTGATTACATTTAAATACCACCTTTTCCAAGGAGCTCAAGGTGGCGTACATGGTTATCTTCCCTGTTTCATCAACATCCCTGTGAGGTAGGTTAGGCTAAGAGATGGCGACTGGCCCAAGGTGAGCTGGGTGGGCAGGCGGAATTTGAACCCTAGTCTCCCAGGTCGTAGTCCAACATTCTAATCATGCTGCCTCATTCCTGATGAGAATTTTTGACTCTGAAGAATCCCTTCCTTTTAATTACCACCTGAGCTGGAAACACTGGAGGGTCTGATGCTGCAGGTATTGGAGAGTACAAGGTTGGCAGCGAGAGTTGGCACTCCTAGTGGTTTCTCTGATTTAGAGCTAAAGAGTAGGTTTTCCCTGGGAAAGCAGTGGGGCAAGAGGGAAACCACATCAACCCATGCTTTGTAGGCATTGGACAAACAAAAGTGTGAGCAAGCCCTTAGTGGCCCAGTTTGCAATGTGTTTATGCTATGTGATAGCCCATGGACAAAACTGCCCTACTTTTGTCCTTGGTGAGCACTGCTTGATCTCAAGAGCCCAGTCCAGCATCGTTCCTGTTAAATTGTGAATAAAGCCCCTTTCCTTCCCCTCAGATCTCCTGTCCTGGTGACAAATTTGCATTCACCCCCAGTTTTGTCCTTAACACATATCCTTTCGCACAGTCCATGTGTGCAACACCATTAGAAAAAAATTCAGCAAGGGCATTGAAAACAGAATGGAGAATGGGAGACAGAGGCTTGGTGAACCTGATGACCTGTAAATGTTCCACTTATAGAGGAATAATATCCCACCTACTGTGAACTAAAAGTGTTACATTCAGCTTAGTTACTGGGTGAGCTCCCCTCCTGCCAGGCAACTTCCCCTCCCTCTTGCTGCCTCCCTGCCCCATCCCTAAATCTGCTTTGGAAAGTTGGGGGCAGCGCTAGAGGTGAGAGAGGAGAGGAAGTTGGGTTGCACAAACAGAAGTCCCACTCGTGAAATGACGTAGCTGGATACAACTCACAGACTTACGTCTGTGACACATAGTGTCTCAGACAGCCAATTATGTGAAGCCATTAAAAGCAGCATATGGACAATTATTGCTATTACGTTTTTATTAGCATAGGGCTGCAATTTGGATATTCTGCCTTGAGCGCATTTGTTCCACTCTTTTGGCTGTCGGGCCGTTTGCTGTTTTGAGTCCATCTTGCTCCTTTGCCTCTGTGTGCTCATAAAACGACAATAAAAAGTATTACGGTACCTGAAAGTTCGACTGTTCTTGTTGTGACAGGCTACCTCTGTAGAAATTGTCTGATTCTACTAATCCAAGATAACTGCTCCCTCTGGTGGCTGGTTTCTGCTCTTTTGTTTGTGTTTGGTAAATGTGGAGGAAGTGCAAATATAAACATCTTCCACACCATGAAATCTAGAAACCTTTTTTGATAAGAAATTTAAGGTTCTCAGAATAGTTACAGAAACAATCTGTTTTGTGATGACACTTTTCTTCCAGGTGCAAGTACACTATACCTTGTGGTGGTTTTTTGAAGCCTGACAGCCAAGGCCTACTGTTAAGTGTAGTGAGACAGATGCTAGAGGCATAGCCCATCCATCCATTCCTCTTTTCTCAGGCAGGTGCTTAACTATATGACCCATCAATCGAAACACAACCTGCTAGCTATTTGTGATAACTATCCAGAGGCTCAATTGACCTGTTTTTGCTACCTCTCTGGATCTGTGTAATGGATCTGTGTGGATGGATTTCAAATCCCTTGTGAGCCACAATACAACACCTTGGGGTGGGTGATATTTAGTTTGGTGGATCACAGCTTGTGTAGGCTTCCATAATGTGTATGAAATAATAGAAGTTAATAACTCCATTCTTCTAGGGAACATTCAGGCTGTGGGCCAAACATGGCCCGCTAGGGGTTCAGATTCAGCCCATAAGATTTTCTCCAAACTCTGTTTATCTATCCCACACTGGGTATCACATGTGGGTATTACATGTGACATCTGGTGTGAGACCAGTAGGTAAAGGTAAAGGACCCCTGGATGGTTAAGTCCAGTCAAAGGTGACTATGGGGTTGTGGCGCTCACCTCGCTTTCAGACCAGCGTTTGTCCACAGACAGCTTTCCACGTCTTGTGGCCAGCATGTCTAAACAGCTTCTAGCACAACGGAACACCATGACGGAAACCAGAGCACACAGAAATGCTGTTTACCTTCCTGCCGCAGTGGTGCCTATTTATCTACTTGCACTGGCATGCTTTCGAACTGCTAAGTTGGCAGGAGCTGGGACAGAGCAATGGGATTTGAACCGCCGACCTTCTGCTCAGCAAGCCCAAGAGGCTCAGTGGTTTAGATCAGAGCACCACCCGGGTCTCAGTACAGACCAGTAGAGACATGACTGTCAAGGAGTCAAAAACTACACTTGGCAAGGGAAGATGGGATTTTATTTTTTACTGCCAGATGGACAGTGAAGCTGAAGCCTCAGGCACTTTAAAGGCTCTTTGCAAAGCTCTGCATGGCCCATTTAAGATTGGGGATTGTAAGGCTGTGAAGCAATCGTTTTCATTTCCATATTTTATATTGGAACTTTCATTACTTATGCTATTTTAATTCCTACACTGTTGTGAATTACCATGAGTTTTGGGAAGAGCTGAGAGAGAAATGGGAGTGGGAAGAGAACAGTCATGGCAGGTTTTGACTGGCCTCCGTTCCTACCTTTGTAAAACGATGTCTCATAGATAGGGTGATTTAAATACTTTGAATGAATAACACAGATTGCATGTTTAAATATTACAAGGACTGACTCAGCTCCTCCTTTGAAGTGCTACGCAGCTGAAACATGCTCAGTGTATTTTTGCACTCCCGTGTGGCTGCCTGAATCTCTGTTTGCAGTTAGTGATTCAGAAAAGTGTATTTGCTGTGATGCACCAGGCCAGATATTTCTATTGTGGCTAATAAGTGCCCATACTCCCAGCTGTAGTTTTCACATGACCCTTGTAACTATCCCATGGCAGCTATTCAGTGGAGTCACCCTATGGAGGGACACCTGTTTTGGGTAGCCAGTTATCTAGACGCTGTGTCATTTCATGCATGACAGGCTTATCACACAATAGCTGCCACCTGATTGCATGAACTCGCCCTCTGCGTATCTGTGCTTCTGCAATACCTGAGGTCAACATATCACCCCTCCCAACAAGCCCCTCTTCCTACTGGAAAACTGACTGAGTGAAGCATGGAGGAAATGAGTAGAACAGATCTATGGAGCTGTGGGGGTGGGGGGGTGGCAGCGGGCAGAATCTGTGGTGGAGCTGGACTTAGCTGAGATGGCAAAGGTAATGTGCTTAATTAGAGGGGAAAACATCACTGACATTTATGAAGGATTGGAAACTTCTTGTGGACTTTTTGTGTGAAAGAGAAAATAAACTTGTAATATCTGGATTTGAAGATTAAAAAGATATTGACTTATAGAAAACAGAATAGTTGGATGTTGATGAGTGAATACTGTCATTGGCAGAAAGAGCATCTCTCTAGGGAGACGTCTGTGCTCTTGGAGCTTTCTGCAGGAGTACTTGAAGGATTGGGGACGCAGTGGGTTGGGGTGTGTAGGTGCAGAAATGCTGTCCTGCATTTACTGCAGCTTCCTGTGGCCCAGTTGTTGACCAAATGCTTGTTATAGGGAGTTGGCAAGCTGAGCTGTGATCTCCTAACTTGATTTGAAAGGCATACTGTACTATACTATACTAAATAAGGCACATATACACACATGCATCATGAAGTGGTGTAAAACACTCACGTTTTGAGAGCTGAATTGATTTAACAATACTGTACAGTGGTACCTCGGGTTAAGTACTTAATTCGTTCTGGAGGTCCGTTCTTAACCTGAAACTGTTCTTAACCTGAAGCACCACTTTAGCTAATGGGGCCTCCAGCTGCCGCCGCGCCTCCAGAGCACGATTTCTGTTTTCATCCTGAAGCAAAGTTCTTAACCCAAGGTAATATTTCTGGGTTAGCGGAGTCTGTAACCTGAAGCATATGTAACCTGAAGCGTATGTAACCCAAGGTACCACTGTAGTTAACTCTCTTTCTCTTCCCCCAAACAAGGTTATGGAGTGGCCTGTGTATGTCTAAGGCCCCATCTGTACTATACACTTAAAAGCGGTATTGCACCACTTTCAACAGTCAAGGCTTCCCTCAAAGAATCTTGGGAACTGTAGTTTATTAAGGGTGCTGTTAGGAGGCTCCTATACCCCTCACAGAGCTACAGTTCTCAGAGTGGTTTTTACAAGCAATCCCTTTTCCAAGGGAACTTTAGCTAGTTGAGAGGAATGAGGGGTCTCCTGACAACTCTTAGCAGATTTAACAAGCTATAATTCCCATTATCCTTGGGGAAAACCATGGCTATTTAGGCACCTGATTCAGAATTCCCATCACCTTTCCCAAAGGTTGTTAGCTGCATTGAATGACCACAGGTTCCTCGCTCTTGCTTTAGATTTTTGGAGAAACAAGGACAGCTAAAACCACTATAAAACCAGCACTTTATCTTAGGTTATATCTAAGCGGTAGTCATTTCATCATTATGATGTCTGTCATAGGGAAGTAGTCTGTCCCCCCGTCAGGTGTATGATGCTTTTTTAAAAAACAACAACCAACCAAACAGCATTTTATAATTGAAGCAGCCTGATGGTAAAACTGTGAGGAAGTTATGTTATGAGGAAGAAGCCCTGTGTATTTCCCTCCCATCAATCTTTGCCTCTTAAAAATCCCCTTCTAAGGGTCAAACTAGACGTGACATTAACTGCATTAAACTCTGGATTTTTTTCACCTGAACCCAGGAAGCTGAGCAGTTTGGGGACCATCTGGGATGGGGAGAGGAGTTTAAATATATCTCAGAAGGCTGTTATTTGCATTTCAAGAACCCCCCCATTGGTGCAAAGAGTCTCTTGCGATTCTCCATAATAAATAATTTAGACTGCTAAGATAAGAGTCTGTGAGATGTTGGGTTTATTGTGTTAGTTTTCCTCACCATAATGCTAGCCTTGCTGCCCAGATTTCTAATGTTCCTTTTATACTCCAGTGCCTGTTGTGTTATGGACTTGTGGCTTTTTGCGTGTTCAGACCTTTAAACCTCCACCTTGAATAAATTCAGACAAGACTCAAATTTTGGTTTGGTTTTTGGGCAGAATTTAGGCCCCAGCTTTATTGATTACAGCAAGTGAATGGTTGCATAGGCTCTGGTTTGACTGACTCCCTGCACCATTGCAGGTAGTGCTGACCCTGGGCACCAGCATAGGTCAGCCAAGGGTGAACACCTGGATAAGCAGAAAGCCGGGAACAGGCTATCTCCGCCACCCAAATGCACCCCCTGGACTCAACCCTCACAGGGGTTGACCAAACCACTGAGTCCCTGGATTCCTTTAACGGAATACCCTTCACATAGGGATGGCTAGAGCTTTCTCTTATCCCTGTCACCTGAACCAGAGCCTATCCACAACCTTACAAGTTGTGACGATTTGCTACGCGGCAGGCGAAACCCAAATGGCACCAGCCAAGTGGGGAAAATTCCTGCCATGCCCCTGTCCCAATGACAGACGACACACAACGGCATAGCAAGGTCAAGCACACAGCCCTAAATATAGGGAGAGGTGGGCGGGTGTTCCGATGCACGCACCGAAAGAGGGAGCTCTGGGTCACGTGCATGGGCTTAAATAGGTCCCTCGAACTGTTTAGCTTGCGTCCCATTGGCCTGATTAAACCCGGCATCAAGGGACCTACCAATTGGGTGTTGTGGCTAATCAATCAACCCACCCACAGCACAGGGTTTGGTTGCCAGGTCTCACCGCAACACGTGCCCTCTTTAAGGGAGATCCCAATTTGTTTTGATATACAGTACTGCCATGTTGTGCTAAATTTCATTCACACATGACAGCAAATGTCATATGACATGTTGCCGCCACCCCCACCGCTTTCCACACATCCCCATAATTCACTGTAGAGTGTTCCCAAATACTGCCCAAAATTTCAAAATGTAGCTGTGGGGGTGTGATCCATGAGACCCACAGATGTTTACAACACAAAACTCCCTAGAACTTCCCATGAAAACATTCCCCCCCCCCCTTCTGGCAACAATTAATGCAGAAATGAAACCTATACTTCTGCTAGATTTTCAGAAGTGGCATTTCCATCCTTACATTCTAGGCAAACCTCCAGGGTTCACATGAAAGTTGTGGGAGGGGGCAGAGGGAAAAGTGAACTGGGAATAAATGTGAATTTTACCTTTGTACAGTAGGCTAGTTTCTTCACACTTTCATATTCCTCTCTATCCTCCAACCAGGATTTACTGCAGTTACTCACTGGAACTGATCTTCATTATATTTTTAAGTCATGGGCATAACCTGGGGAGGGGGGAGTAAGCGGGCATCTTCCCCCCCCCTCCAATAAAGTAAAACAATAAAAATACTTAACTAACTGAGGTTCTGCCCCCCCAACATGAAGCTTGCCCCCCCCCAACATAAATCCCTGGCTACACCCATGTTCCAAGTCCTGAATTTTGTGTGACAAAGCCAGGGTAGATTTGATTTAAATCAAACTGATTTAAATCACTAGTCAGTAAGACTTGATTTACATCATTTTTTTAATGGAAAGACTCAATTCTTGCTGGTATAATCTTAATATTTACAACCAGATAAAGGTTTCATTTTTGGAATAATGCATTTTCAGAGTAGTTTTTACAGTTTTTTCAAAAATTACTGATTTGGTTATATTATTAGAAACACATTAACAGATTTTTTTTTATTGATTTTTCCAAAATTTTTAGACAGACAAACAAACACACATCTTAACTGTACTTGATCCAATCTTAGTAACATTGTTAAGTGACTTCCTCAAATCCCCCTAGCTGAATTTCAGTGTATTTCATTGTAACAGTTTTCCAAAACCAATTTTATCATAAGATTAACTTAATCACTTAACATCTTTCTTTCTTTTCATCTTAACTTTAAACTGTTTATATTTGGACAAATTTTCTGCTGTACTTTATTGGAAGGAGAAAAATAATCATTTCCTTAATAAAAATTTAAACAATTTATTTAACTAAAACAACAACATTATAGCAAATGTATCCATGTTTGTTAACTGATGTGGTTAAACAATTTATTTAACAAAAAACCTTATACTGAGTTTTAGCACACATGAAAACAAATCCTTATTTCCTGATGAATAGCCTTTGGACTATAATATAACTTAAAAAGAAAACCATCTTTAGAAAGATTTTTCTTCGAAAAGCATTTTATTTTGAAAATCCAATTTAAATAAAAAAAAAATCTGATTTAATTTTAAAAATCTGAGTTAAAATAATCCATATTTTTTTTTAAAAAAATCATTGATTTTTATCACCCTGGTCAAAGTGAACCATCCTTTGTTCCCATAATGGGTCTCTAGCCTTCCTGCTTCTAATCTAGACGGAGGTTGCAGCGAGATGAAGAAAGAGAAGCCAGCCAGCAAAGGCCATACCAAAGCTATTAGTCACTTTAGGGCTCTCGCTATGTGATTTCTGTCATACAACTCTAGCTGTGTGTCAGACAAAGGGCTGCTTCACATATGCATTCATGCCACTTAGCCATAATGTGACGCTTCGAGTATGTGAGCTGTAGCTTTTTAATTATAGATGGGAGAAAACTTTCACACTGCCTGATTTTCAGCTCACACAAAGCTTTTCAGCAAAGAGTGTTCACACCTTCAGCTGAGACTTTTCAAATGCCGCTTGCGAAAATTGTGAATCGATGCTCAACTGGAGATGAAAAATTTCTGGGAATTGTGAACTGGGGTTGGGTGGGAAGATATTCCCCCTGTCCTAGATTCCCCTCCCTGTAAAAAATAATGGATATTTGGGTGGGGGGGGATGGTAATATACACAATGCTTATGACTCCAACCTAAACGTACGTTACTGATTTTGCAATGTTCTATTTAAATCCTAGTTAACATATGAAAATGTGCTATTTGACATATGGCAGAACAATCCCATGCATGCTTACTTTAGATATAAGACTCAGTCTGTTCAGTGGACCTTGATCCCAGGTAAGCACACAGAAGAATTCAGCCTCAAAAGTATTGTTGCATGCCACCCCAATCTCTGAGCGGGGCGAGATTCCAGGGGTTCCAGGTGCTTATCTAGGGGTCAGTTTCCTTGAAATGAGGTGCAGCAGAGCCTGTGGCTTCTTTATGACATATGGTTTATTTACACAACCTGAGCCTAAGATGGAGGAGCTCAAAGCATTAACACCCTAGTCACCCTAGTCACAGGCATGGCCAAACTTGGCCCTCCAGCTGTTTTGGGACTACAATTCCCATCATCCCTGACCACTGGTCCTGTTAGCTAGGGATGATGGGAGTTGTAGTCCCAAAACAGCTGGAAGACCAAGTTTGGCCATGCCTGCCCTAGAAAGTCTTGCTTTTCCCATAGCTACAGCCTTGGATTCCAGCAGAAATTGGGCATGGCTCTCACTTTCTGGCTTCTGCATGCTTCTAGTGCAGCTCTCACACACGTCTGGCTATTGTGCTTCTCACTACCAGTCAGGGGAGGGGAGGGGGGCACACTCATTTGCCCCTAATTTTATTACATTATGACCATTAACCTGCTGGGGAGCTTATCTACACCTTTCCCCCACTCTTTCCAGGCACGGTCTGTGATTTAAAGCTCTCTATCTGAGCACGATACGATACGATATATCTTTATTGTCATTGTCCCATGCAGGACAATGAAATTGCAAAGCACATACCCACACCCCCTTTCCTTTTTTTTTTTTTTTTGGCTAAGGAGTTTTCCACATGAAGGCCTGCTCTTTAAAGCTGTATTGGAGCAAACGTCAATGCGCAGAAAACCCAAATTGATGTTTGCTCCGATTCAGCTTTAAAGAGTGGGTTTCTTTCCTGGGAAAGTACAAGGCAACACCCCTCCCCCCCCAAAAAAAAGTTCTTGGAAACAGAGCATTAAAGGGTGGACCTCTGCCTGGAAAGAGTGGGGCAAAATTTATGTGTGGGTAAGCTTGTCTAAGAAGCTTATCTGGCTTGTTCAATAATGGAATCCTCCATTAGATTTCAACCCTTGCTGGATTGAAGTCTAAGAGACTCAGGCCAACTGACCCTCTAAACTTACAGTGGTCTAATACCTTCGTTTTGTGCCATGGGGGAGATGTGAAAAGTTTGACCACAAGAGAGGGGAAAGGTCAAAACAGCAACACTTGTAGTGCATCCAAACTAGATCCAAGAAAGCAAGCAACAGTTCAGGAGCCATTAAGTCCCCACGAACACTTTCTAAGTGTAGGAATGCATGTTGGATTTGGGTGTTGTATGTGCCTATTGCACAGTACATGCAGGAATTGTTCTCCAAAGCCATATATGACTTGAACAATGAAGTTGGCCTTGGAGCTGCTGCAAAAACGGGCAAAGAGTTGCTCTTGCTTCGTATAAAAGCTCTAAAGTGAGCCAGGATTATTGTATTGTTAAGTCCTGCTAGCCCAATAGCAGGTGGCCTTCATGTATCATGGAACAGGAAGGATATCCTTTTGCAGTGAGAGATGGATAAACAAAACACCATAGCTTGACTTAAGCTGTGTTTTCCTAGCCAAGCTGAAATCTTGTAGAGAGCTGGCACTTGCAAATAACACCCTTAGCCCAGTCGAAGGAAATCCTGTCCTTTTGTGTTGGAGCCAGGGAGCGGGGTTGGTGTGTATACACATCCGTAGTGGCTGATCTGAAAAGCAGCTGCTTGGATTTGAGAGTAGAGGGTTTTTAAAATTACAATTACAATTTTAATTAATTCACATTAGAGTGCAACAAGATATTATATCCCTTTACAATTTCTCCACCTAGCTGAATAAGGTCAGGGACTGCATGGAAGCAGTCTCCTGGGGCTTGATCCATCAGTTTTAGGCTTGCATATAAATGTCCCCTATTGTCTCCCTATTTGCTCTTCCTATCCCTTCTTGTCCCCAGTTAACAAATAATATCTGACTCTGCTTAATGTGCTGTGCACCTGAACTTGAAATATCCTTGAACACCTTATCTGTGGACAATGCCCGCAACCAAAGAAACTTGAGCAGATTTCTGAACTCGAGTCTAGTAAAGAGGCGTTTGTTTTGAAAAGAAATACACTTTTGTATAACCAGAGAACTGCAGAAGGCATTGCTATTGCCTGCAATTATATGTATATGCTGCTTTTCAAAGAACAAAGGGATATGCTTCTGTTGGAACAGTGAGTTCTCTTGAAGAACCCAAGAAATTGCATAGGATATGCATGTGTGCAGGTAGGGTCTGTGTGAGAGCTGAACAGTTAGATCCAACTGTGAGTGTGTGCAGGCGCAATTTAAAGATGATCCACATTAGCCATTGGTGCATGTAAATCAATGCTGAATGTAGCATCATATGCCAAATGGGGTATTGCTTGGGTTCCAGTAAGGTAAAGGAAAAGGACCCCTGGACGGTTAAGTTCAGTCAAAGGCAACTATGGGGTTGCGACGCTCATCTCGCTTTCAGGTCAAGGGAGCCGGCGTTTGTCCACAGACAGCTTTCCCGGACATGTGGGCGCAACAGAACACCTTCCCGCCGCATTGGTACCTATTTATTTACTTGTGCTTGTGTGCTTTTGAACTGCTAGGTTGGCAGGAGCTGGGACCAAGCAACGGGAGCTCACCCCGTCACGGGGATTCGAACCGCCAGCCTTCTTATCTGCAAGCCCAAGAGGCTCAGTGGTTTAGACCACAGCACCACCATTCCAGTATTGATGGTGCCAGTATTGATAGGGCAGTGGGTAGCTACACTACAGCCAAAGGCCCCACAGGTCTTCATGGAACTTACCCTTAGCTGTACCACTTGGTTGTAGCTTCCTTTTGCTCATTGTTATCTTGGGACTGTGTCCATGATTTTAAGCTTTACTTCTGACCACACATACACCTTGATAATTAAAATGCAGGCTGCTTCATTACCAGAACACAACCCTATTAGAAACGAAACTGTGTGAAATACCAGAAATGTTCACCAGGGCAAAAAATAAATAAAAATGCCTTTCCCAGTTCTGCCCATTTGTTTTCACAGAGAGCAAGTTACTCCTAACAAGCGGAAAGTCTATGAAGAGGGAAAAGGAAGCGTTTAGGGAACCAGGAAACAAAGTTTGGCTGCTGGGCAAGACAGCTGTGAACTTAGATAAACAAATCTCTTGAAGCTTAATCTAACAGCAACACTCATGCTGTACAGGTGCAGAAAGAATATTGGTTCTATGCATTTTGTTTGTGGTTGGTCTGTTTGTTAAGATGTGAAAAGGTGGAGACAATGGCTGGCCTGGATCCAGAGATTATTCATGTTAAACTTCGCCCTCTCCTCCCATCCCAAAGTAGAATCCCACCTACTGTAAGATCTGTGCAATTGTTTTGCCTGGTGCAGCTTGTGTGTATGATGGTGCATGCAAAGAACTCTTGCTGTGTATGTGCTCCAACAATCACAATGGCCAGACTGGGCTAATACATGAGCCAGGAAATGGGATGCTATAGTCTCCTGGCTAACAGGATGTTTTCCTGATGCCTTCTTAGAGGCAGCCTTGGCAAAACTGATCTAACCATATGCTTGTAATGCTGGACTTGGTCAAATAATTCTAAAAGGCTTTGCACCGTACTCTTTGATTAAAATCAACACATTGGCTTACAATAAAATATTAAAATGTAGTGGGCAGCATCGAGCAGATTTTTTCTTGTGCAATGGCAGTTCTCTTTTTTCTCTTCCACTGCAGCCCCCTTGTGCACCCCAAAAATTTGCTCCAAGGAAATGGCTAGTGGTCAGGGATGATGGGAGTTGTTGTTGAGACTTTTTACTGCAAAAAGCTAGTGATAAATGAAAACAATAATTCATATGGCGCTGTGGTCTAAACCACTGAACCTCTTGGGCTTGCCGATCAGAAGGTCAGCAGTTCCAATCCCCGCGACAAGGTGAGCTCCCGTTGCTCTGTCCCAGCTCCTGCCAACCTAGCCATTCGAAAGCATGCCAGTGCAAGTAGATAAATAGGTACTGCTGTGGCAGGAAGGTAAACGGTGTTTCCGTGCGCTCTAGTTTCTGGCACGGTGTTCCATTGTGCCAGAAGCAGTTTAGCCATGCTGGCAACATGATCCAGAAAGCTGTCTGTGGACAAACATCGGCTCCCTTGGCCTGAAAGCGAGACGAGCGGCGCAACCCCATAGTTGCCTTTGACTTGACTTAACCATCCAGGGGTCCTTTACCTTTTACTTTTAGAGAGAAGTACCAGAGGAAATTCCTGTTGTCTGAAAAGTGGGACAACCCTCCCTGAACTTGTAATACAGGTTATGTGATTTTCTTTTATTGATTAGTATGAATCATTTTGTTTCATTTTGGGATTACTGTTTGGATTCGTTAACTGTTTTAAGTGCCTTGAAGCAAAGAGAATAAATCAGATAAATAGACATCCCCTATGATGAGAATGTATTTTATTACAGTGGTACCTCAGGTTACAGACGCTTCAGGTTACAGACTCCGCTAACCCAGAAATAGTACCTCAGGTTAAGAACTTTGCTTCAGGATGAGAACAGAAATCGCACGCTGGTGGCAGCGGGAGGCCCCATTAGCTAAAGTGGTGCTTCAGGTTAAGAACAGTTTCAGGTTAAGAACGGATCTCCAGAACGAATTAAGTTCTTAACCCGAGGTACCACTGTATTAAGCAAAGGCACTGTTCATTGCACAGCAGTCCTTCTACAAACCAGATTTCCCTTTTCATTGCTTTGTTTCAAAGGCCCTTCTTTATCACATTGTACATGCATAAAGGGTAAGGTAAATCACCTTACCCTTAAATTATCTAAATCACATGCATAGGTGTGATTTAGATAAGTAAGAGGAATACTTTCCTCCCTCCCTCTAACTAAAATGTAAGGCAAAGCCCTCGATTCCATTTTGTAGTATAGAACTTCTGTCTATGTATTTCAGTAAAATTGCCTCACTGTGTGGGAAGTTGCGGCTTTGGTGTGCCAGCTAGCCTTCTCCTTGTACCAGTTTGTCAGCTTTCGAAAAGATTCACCCTTCCCACACCAAAGAAACTGGCTGTTGTCCAAAGAACAAACTTGTAGGGTGGCATTTAATTCCCAGAGAAACCAATACTCACTCTCTTTCTCTCTCTCTTTAACCCACAGGGAGCTGGAGGTGAGATTGCTTTTTGATAACATTTGTATGTTGTGGTTGCCTTGCTCACTTCTCTGAAACAAAATGGCTGCCTACAGTAGGCTCAATTAATTGTTTTATTATTATTCTTTATTGGACTCTATATCAGGGTGGGCATAAATGGAATCCCCCGCCCTCCCGGCAACAGGTCCCTTTGTGGGACTCTTCTGGTTGCAGTGGTCTGCTGCTCATCAGCAATCTTGGGACTTCGCAGACGCTATGCTTCTAAGGCATCTGCCAAGAATCCTAGGAATTACAGTTTAAGGATGCTGGAGGTTGTAGCTCTGCAAGATGTAAACTACACTTGCCAGGATTCCTTGCTGGGGGAGAAGGGGATGATGTGCTTTTAAATTTATGATATGTGTGCAGCCTTAATTGAAATGGTTGCTGTGGTGTGCAGTCTGCAAAATTACCTTCTAGTTCCACATGTTATGGGGTGCAGGGGAGCAGTGGCGGTGGAAGTAAAGGTAAAGGGACCCCTGACAGTTAAGTCCAGTCGCGAACGACTCTGGGGTTGTGGCGCTCATCTTGCTTTACAGGCCAAGAGAGCAGGCATTTGTCCGCTCCGCAGACAGTTTTTCCAGGTCATGTGGCCAGTATGACTAAGCGGCTTCTGGCGCAATGGAACACCGACACCAGAGCAGCACACGGAAACACCGTTTACCTTCCCGCCGGAGCGGTACCTATTGATCTACTTGTACTTTTCTGCTTTCAAACTGCTAGGTTGACGGGAGCTGGGACTGAGCAAAGGGAGCTCACCCCGTCATGGGGATTCGAACTGCCGACCTTTTGATCGGCAGGCCCAAGGCTCAGTGGTTTAGACCACAGCGCCACCCGCTTCCCCGGCAGTGGAAGTACCTGCTCCCATTGTCCTGGAAGGTTCTGTGTGACTGCAGAGCAGGTGCTTTGCATGCAGCAGGTCCCAGGTTCCATCCTCTGCATGTCTAGTAGATGCAGCTGGGAAAGACTTCTGCCTGAAGAGCTGCTGTCATTCAGAGTAAACAATACTGGACTAGATGGACAAATAGTGTGATTTAGTAGAAGGCAACTTATGCCTATGTTAATGTTGGTTTTATTATTTAGATTTACATGGCACCCATCAATAGCATTTTCTAGGCATGCCAAGGCTTATTTGGGCGTAGAATAGTCAAGGAGAGTGTAGTTTGTCTGCCTGGGATTGTGTTGTTCAATCTGTTCTGGATGGGACTTGCACACCTCCTAAAGGAGCAGGTTTGCAGTCAGGTTTTCCTGTCAGTGGCCTCCCTTTTTCCATTGCCTTCTTTTTCTGTGGAAAATTTTCCATTTCATAATTTCCAAATTAGGTCCCCCTGTCCTAGAGAGTAACCCATTGCCTATGGGCCAGATTTTGACCCAGCATGGGTCCCAGTTTGGTCTGCAATGCCATTTCCCCCAAAACCACACCCACCTGCCCCTGATATCACACACCATGTGGCATCATAATGGGGCAGGTAGAGACGTAGCTGGATTGAATGCATGGCTGAGTTCTACATCGTCTGTGGCACAGTGCGCCTTAGAGCAGTTCATACTGATTCATCAGCTACTATCTGTTCTAGACAGATAGCCTAGAGCCTCAGTCGTCCTTGCTCTCATCACCTCCATTTGACTATGGCAATGTGTTGTATGTGGGGCTGCCTTAGGAAACGGTTCTGTAAATGCAGCTAGTTGTTCAAAACACAACCTTGAAGCTGCTAACTGGGACCAGTTAGTGGATAACATGTCTCGAGTGCTGGCTTTCAGTTTGTTTCTGGGCTCAGTTTAGCTCTGGTGCTTACCTTTCAAAGCCTCTCTGGGCTTGAGACAAATCTGAAGTCCTATCTCCATGTGAACTTGTTGAGACACTGAGGTCCTCTTCGGAGACCCTCACCTGAATGCCTCTACCATTAGAGGTACAGTGAGGGGGCATCTTGGGTAGTGGCGCTGTGGTCTAAACCACAGAGCCTAGGGCTTGCTGATCAGAAGGTCGGCGGTTCGAATCCCCGCGATGGGGTGAACTCCCGTTGCTCGGTCCCTGCTCCTGCCAACCAAGCAGTTTGAAAGCACATCAAAGTGCAAGTAGATAAATAGGTACCACTCCGGCGGGAAGGTAAACGGCATTTCTGTGCGCTGCTCTGGTTCGCCAGAAGTGGCTTAGTCATGCTGGCCACATGACCCGGAAGCTCCCTCGCCAGTAAAGCGAGATGAGCGCTGCAACCCCAGAGTTGTCCGCGAGTGGACCTAATGGTCAGGGGTCCCTTTACATTTTTACCTTGTTTGTGAAACCATCTCTCTCCCAACTGGCATTGACTCTGATGACACTTCAGTGACAGGCAAGTGTAGTCCTTATTTTCCCAGGCCTTTTAAGTTAAAATGTTAGTCCTGGCAATTGGATCTGTGATGGTCATAAATGGTTGGTTGTTGTTGTTCTGTAATAGTTCTTCTATTTATTCTTTGTTAGCGTAAGCCACCCTTGGAATGTGGATGGAGGGTGAGGTAAAAATATGTAAAGCAAACAGCATGTCACAAACTAGCTATCTAAGCTGCATTGGGTGTCTCGCCATATAGATCTTGCAGTCTCTACAACGCTAAAACTCTCAAATATGGGGCAGAGCTGTGCCATTTCACAAATATGGGGCAGAGCACATAGCAAGCCAGGAAGTGGAATGAAAAGCAGCATAACTGTCATTCACTAGAGTGTGCCAGGCTATAATGTATGTATTTTGTCTTGTGCATACTTTTCATTGTTGTATGTCAACATGAAAGCTTTTATTATGATGCAGGAAGAACATAATATATGAAATGATCTTCAGTGCTGTGCTGATCAAAAGTTTGTAGACTTGAAGACTGTTTGCGCAGTTCTCCTCAGCAGTTTAATAAGTGTTCAGTTTTAATAGGTAAGAGTGGCTCCCTTCTATAACTTTTTTATTTCTGAAAAATGAAACTTGGGTGGAGACTAAGCAATCCCAAATGATTGGCTGAGGTTCACTGGTATGTTGTTGGGATCTGTGAGAAAGGAATTTGTTTTGTTTTTTTAAATAATATTTATTAATTTTAAAAGGTTACAAAAAGAAAAAATTAAAAAACAGCATATTAAAAAAATACAAAACATCACATCACAATAATGAAAAAAGAAAACAAAAAAACAAACAAAAAAACAAAGAATCTTCCCATAACTTATCTTTCATTTGCTTATTTCCTTGACCTCCTCACACCTCCCTTTTTTGTATTCTAGTTCAATTAGCTATTTCAGCAAGTCCTTTCCATCTTTTCCAATTTTTGTCCTCTATTTTATCTTAATATAATGTAACTTTACTTTCCCTCCTTCACCATTTAACAATCTATTTTTTCTTAATCCTTTATAGCATTTCTGCTAAAACCACATTATTTCATTCCAACATCCTTCTAACATTCCTTAATTTTACAATGTTTCTGTAAATAAACTTTAAATTTCTTCCAATCTTCTTCCACCAACTCTTCTCCCTGGTCTCGGATTCTGCCAGTCATTTCCGCCAGTTCCATGTAGTCCATCACCTTCATCTGCCATTCTTCCTGGGTGGGTAGATCTTGTGTCTTCCAATACTTCGCGATGAGTATTCTTGCTGCTGTTGTGGCATACATAAAAAAAGTTCTAGCCTTTTTTGTCACCTATTGGCCTACCATGCCCAGGAGAAAGGCCTCTGGTTTCTTCAGAAAGGTATATTTAAATACCTTTTTATTTCATTATAAATCATCTCCCAGAATGTCTTAATCCTTGGGCACGTCCACCAAAGGTGAAAAAATGTGCCTTCAGTCTCTTTACATTTCCAACATTTATTATCGGGCAAGTGGTATATTTTTGCAAGCTTGACTGGTGTCATGTACCACCTGTAGATCATTTTCATTATATTCTCTCTTAGGGCATTACATGCCGTAAACTTCATACCTGTGGTCCATAACTGTTCCCAGTCAGCCATCATAATATTATGTCCTACATCTTGTGCCCATTTAATCATAGTTGATTTCACCGTTTCATCCTGAGTATTCCATTTCAACAGCAAGTTATACATTCTTGACAAATTCTTAGTTTTGGGATCTAACAGTTCTGTTTCCAATTTTGATTTTTCCACCTGGAAACCAATTTTTTTATCCAAATTGTACACCTCCATTATTTGGTAATAATGGAGCCAATCTCGCACTCTATTTTTTAGTTTTTCAAAACTCTGCAATTTTAATCTGTCTCCCTCTTGATCCAAAATTTCCCAATATTTCGGCCAATTGGCCTCCATATTGAGCTTTTTCTGAGCCTTCGCTTCCATTGGTGACAGCCACCTTGGGGTTTTATTTTCAAGCAAGTCCTTATATCTTATCCAGACATTAAACAGTGCTTTTCTAACAATATGGTAAGAAATTGTTTGGATATTGGCACACTGAGCTTCTAAGGTGGAAAAAAACCAGTCAATCCTAAATATGTCTATTCAGAAATGCGTCCTGAGAAAGGAATTTGAATTCTGTGCCATAAAATCCTACAACCCCAGAAGACTGGGTCTGTGAAAAGAGCTAGTTATTGAGGTTTGGTACATTTATAGAAATGTGCAATACTTGCCTAAACACTTCATTGGTTGTATGGATTGCTTTTTGGCAGCTAGTGGGAAAGTCAGGTTGGGCTCAGAATATTAGGAGGAGAAGAGGTGGAAAAAAGGAAGGCTCAATGACTAGACCATCTAAATGGGTGCTTCATGCTGCTTCAGAGTATTCCGTTTCCCAACAAATGGAAGACAAACTCCAACTGTTGAGGATTTTGTTTAATCTGCTTACAGTGATTTCCCTATGGTTGTTAGAACTGTGCGTCACTATCAAAAGTGAGATCCTGTAAACTCCATATCTGATACCAGATCTTGCACTGGAGAATCAAATTGCATGGCCAAAAGTCAAAGCAGCCATATGCATGCACAGGGGAGAAAAAACATACCGAGCCTGAGCTTTATTTTGCTGTTTCCTTCATTGCAGTTCCTACTTCCAAAGCTGCCGCTCCAGTTAAAAACCAGCTTGCCCTTTTAAGAGCAAGAACTGCAGCAGCAGAACTGCAGCAGTGCCTAGTTACCTGGTTTGCACATACTGCTACGCCATAGTTTATTAAACTGTGATTTATTACACCATGGTTTGTTCGATCATCTGAATCTTGTTCAGCAGCTCAACTGTGATGTGTGTGCTGCAACCAACTATGATCTGAAGTCATGGTTTGTTATTGGCTTACGAACCTTAGTTTTAACTATGGCTTGGTGTTGCGTGTGAACCAGGCCATTGCTTCTTTAGACCACAGGTTTTTTTGATACTTCTGAGTTTCAGGATCTCAAAATGAAGTGAAGTTTCTGGAGTTTTTGCCAAAACCTGACCAGAATTTTTTTAAAAAATAGCAACCTTTTGCAGCACAACTGACTGGCCTGCTGCTTGTTGCTAAGTATATGGGGTAGGAACTGCCATTGCAGGGTTAGGCAGATCCAAAAGTGTCCATAGGTTCATTTTGACAGATGGGCAGGTTCCGCTACCTGTAAAATTGCTTGACATTATATGCTGTTGGGGGATTTGTGCCTGCCCAAATGCAAGCACTATTGCACATGAAAAATCAGGAGTCTTCTCTAAGCTGTGTGAAATGGATTGTTCTTCAGGGCTTACACCCAACATTATTTAAACTTGGCGCTGAATGCAAGTCCTGCTGGGATTGGCTCTTCAAAACAAACCTTGATCAATGGCTAAGGAAAGTAGGGGATATTATGGTGATGAAGAATTGCAAGTCATATCTGCCTTTCAGAGGGAAGAATGAAAACAATCCAGATTTCTCAACAAAACTGGTGGTTGTTTTTATTTTGTATTGGAACAACAACTACAGAAGGAATGAAGTGATACATGCGGACATTCTCACTCTGATATGACAGTATTTGTCATACGACATGTGCTTGCTGCATGATTGAAATGATTTTTTGTAATTATTAAATCAATTTAAGATAAAAGAAGTGTGAAGAAAAAAGCGTGCATACCTTAAACCATAAAAACAACAACGAAAAGGTTTTTCTGCCTCATAGCTTCCTCTTACTAAGTTCTTCCTCAGGCATTAAAAATGTCTTATGTGGTTTAAGTTTCAGTATTGATCAAAGTTAAAAGGCACGGGTTCATGTTTGGAGAGGAATGCTGTAAGCCTGAAATCAATTGAACAGGAAATATAGATCATAACTTTCCTCCATGTGTTCCAAAGTCCTAGTTTTTAGATGAGCTTGTGGGGCTGCTGTATGGTTCCCCAGTATTCCATGGTATTTGTACTCTTTGGGGTGCATGAATTTTTGGATAGTTTTCTTCACAACTCCACTCTCCAAGCTTGGTTATCTATCATGCAAACCCACCTCCCCTTTTTGGGTAGTTGTTCAGACTGTGGTTCAAAGGCCACATTGGTGTGCTGCTGTACAACCCCGTTCTCTCATGAGTGAAGATAGTTGAGCTATATAATAATCTGGACACCATTTTTCTGTGAGGGCTCGCACTTAGAGTACATGACCTTGTGTGATGTGAGTTCACTGATAAGGATTCATGGGAATGACTACTTTTCCCTTCAAGCCTGAGGGACGAATGAGCTTTTTAAAGGATTCCCTCAAGATGAAGTCTGGCATCAGTCACCTGTTTATTTGGAAAAGGCACAGGATCTTTGTACAGGAGAGATGGTATACAACCCAAAAGGAGACATTGATATAAAGTGTGGAAAATCTCTTATCTCTCCAAGCACTTTTCCCTTCCTTAAGTGTGAAACTGTCACACCTTGATTAAACTGGATAGAGCCACTGGGGAACTTGATAAATTCAAATTTGGTTTGTGGGCTGACTTTCGTCATTCCCCAGTTGGGAATTGGCTTTTAGTTGAGAGTTGTATAGCTGCCAGATGTGTACCAGTGAGCAGCATATATATCTGGCCTTTCCTGTCCCACCTTCATCTCCATCTGCTAGTAACTTGCTTATATTATAAATACAAGTTCTTTGCTTCTAAAGAGCAGTGTGTTTATTCCCCACCTAAAGGCCTAATCTTCTGTTTGTCACATAACACGCTGGTGCTTTTAAAGCAGCTTAGGAGTCTCCATATGGAGGCACATTATGCGCTCCGTCATGCTGCTCTGGGCTGTGTGATCTGATTAGGTTTTCTGCACTTAGGAGAGCCAAACCTCTTTTAGCAATTGGATTGAGGAGGCGAAGGCCTCAATGACTATGGTGCTTTTCGCTTGCTGCATGTTTTGCTTAAGCGGTTTTGAAGGAACGTCGCCGCTGGACTTCTTCAAGCAGCACCCAGAGCTAAAGTGGCAATAGTGCTTCCAGGCACTGAATCTGTGGTGGTATGGATCACACTCATCCAGGTTGTGGTGTTTGACACTGGTAAGTGGCGGGAGATGCATGGCACGATGGGATTGAAGCTGGAAAGTTTTTACCCAACTATCAAAGGCTTGCCACTTTATTTTACTCTTCTACCTTCCCTGGCTGACAATTTTTTTTTTAATCCCCCCCCCAAACTCATTTTTAAGATACCCGTTTGCACAAGGTGTTTTCTGAGGATTCCCTCCCCCTTCCACCACCTCACCCCACCCCCACTATTCATATTGTAATCTCTTGGAAGTTAAGCCGTATCATTAAAAACCACAAACCACTGCGGTCACCAGATACCATGATGGTACTCCATTCTGTTTTCTCTCACCACTCAGTACAGTGGTACCTTGGTTCTCAAACGCTTTGGTTCCCAACATCCAAAAACCCAGAAGTGTTCTGGTTTGCGAACGTTTTTCAGAAGCTGAATGTTTGATGCAGCTGTCAGCTATTGTTTCCAGGGTGCCTGCACCAATCAGAAGCTGCACCTTTGGTTTTTCAAACATTTCTGAAGTCAAACAGAGTTCCAGAATGGATTAAGTTCGAGAACTAAGGTGTAACTGTATTTGGCGCTTTTGTTTTAGCTATTTATTTTGTGTTTTTGTTTTTGAGGCTTTTCCAGTTAATTTGTTTTTTGTGACTGTGTGGAACCCAGTTCAGCTACTGATTGATTGATTGATTGTGTGACTGCGGAAATGGATAAAGCCCCCCATCCAAACAATGACTATCATCATTGCAGGTACGAAAAAATAACCATTTTTATTTTTATCATCTACAATACTGTCTTATTTATTTTATAGTACAGTGCATTGATTATTGCTTTCATTTTATGGATCAGTGGTCTCACTGGATAGTAAAATTCATGTTAAATTGCTGTTTTAGGGGTTGTGTTTAAAAGTCTGGAACGGATTAATCCGTTTTGCATTACTTTCTATGGGAAAGCGCGCCTTGGTTTTGGAACATCTTTGGTTTTGGAACGGACTTCCGGAACAGATTAAGTTTGAGAACCAAGGTACCACTGTATTCTTTGCCCACTGAGCATGCCCCATCTGGGGTTTGGGTGGCATCTTACCCTTTAGGATGTCCTCCCCCAAAATTTTTTTTTTAAAAAAACTTCTAGCGTTTTGTTCCCTTAAGTCTGCTGATGATTCCTCCCATTTGTGCATTGGTGGTGCTGTTTCGATTACGTACTGTAAGAATGTACCCTCAGAAAGTGAGTTTGCTATTAGTATATGGACATTTGTGAGGAAGTGGTCCTGTGACTGGATTTTCACAAGAGCACTTTGTCCTCTAAATAATAGTTTACTCAGGGCAGACCGTCCACCTCAAAATAATTGTGCAAATCAGCCCATAATCTGTTGCTCACGTTTGAACACTTCTTGCTTTGCTTCTTAGTTTGTGTCAGAAATAATGATGAAAAGGTTTCACAAACCACTGTAGTCAACCATGATTAGAAGAAAAGAATTAAATGAATAGGGAGCATCATGCACAATATTTGAGAAGTTAAAGTTGCATTGTGGAAAATATTCTTCCATCTCAAAATAGTTGTGTGAAATGACTCCAAATTCTTCCTGTTGTTTTTGTTGTTGTTGTTCCTTTTCTAAAGTCACTGTGTAGTTTGATTGACATGTTTATTTCCAGGACACCTTGCATGCTGCGAGTGGCTTGCGAATTGAATTTTTTTATTAGAAAAAACAAAACAAAACAAAACATTGAGATGGGAAGGAGTTGTGCAATGTAATGGAGATTTGGGGACAGGGAGGAGGTTGCAATAGGGCAGTGGGAGAAGCTGTTAACTGGAGCAGATGTAGAGAAATATTAGGAATTGGAAGAATTTTAATAGGCAGGGCCAAGTAGAAGGTATTGATGCTGCAGCAGCCCTCCCAAAATCAGACACTTGTAATAATTCAGTAGTGGCAGTTTGGAGTAGCCACCAATTTTTGGACTAGAATTTACACAAAGGTGCTTTGTTTGGGAATTTGAATGACCCAGGCAAGATGATAACCGTATAGCACAATTTGAAAGAGATGTTTAATTTGTAAGTAGTCTTGGAAGTTTTGAATTGCCTTTCCAGGAAGTGTTGGATCTAGAAATGAATTAATGCCCATTGCACTGTTGTATTATCGGAAGAGTGGTGCAGTTGTGAATATGCAGGAATCTAACATACCGGAATGCGGCAATACATTTTGCAGGTGTAGCAGCAGCTGGCCTGATCTACTGTAATGAATTGTTAGGGAAACAAATGAGACTGGTTCCTCTTTTGGATCACTCAATGCATTTTAGGTGCCTCTCATTGTTAAACCTACCCGATTATATTTTTTCTATGAAAATGCAAAGTTTTAACATAATTTGCACTATTATTAGGTGTTTCATGAGTAATTTGAAATATTTGGGAACCTGCTTTACAAAGATTTTAAAATGATCACCCATGCATGCACAGTGCCTAACCTTTCTAGACAACACATCCTGTGTTCCCTTAGGTACAGTATGTACAGTATTTTTAAGTTACAGGTGTGCTTAGATTCACAGAAAATAGTGGCAGACTTTTCACTGTTTAATTGCCTGCTGCATTTGTTTTCCCACTTGTGTTTTCGTTTTTCTATTGCGAAAATTGCAGCAAGGATAACATCCGCACTGTCATATAAGTCTTGTTCTTGTATGTTTCAAGGCTGTGGATCTTACTGGGCTTTCTTTACCTAGAGAACTAAATACTTAATGTAAAGTGTTAAACTTACATTCTGAATACTGTAAGAAAGACTTCAGTGGATAACCCAAAGTTCTAGTATTACCTGAGATTGCTACACCTGAAAAAAGGAATTGCAGCATTCCAGTACGTTAGATTTCTCCCCGTCCACTTTCTCAGTCGCACCCTAAGAGCCTATGATATTAGCAGTGTAGAACCAGACTAGGCCTCTTTCCTCAAAGTAACAAATACCGGTGTGCTGGGAAAAGATTTTGCTTGAGCCGTCTTTCTCTCATATATATATAATGCGTGAGAGAGTTGGCTCTCCTTCCATTGCACCTGATTAAGATGTAAAATAAATATTTACAATATGTCATGTTATACCAGCAGGCATTGATATAAGGGAAAGGTGCCATCTTACATATTTTAAGGTTGCTTCTCTTGTGAAATACATAGAGGGTGTGTGTGTGTGTGTGTGTGTGTGTGTGTGTGAGAGAGAGAGAGAGAGAGAGAGAGAGAGAGATTAGATTTCTTACCCACCCTTCACATAAGGTCCCAGGGAAGGTTACAACAAAACGATTCTAAAACAAAATGGTTACAACCATAAATTAAAAGAAGTGTTCAAATGTCGACTTCATTATACATCTGTAAGCGCCATGCGAAAACGTTCTTCTTCAACCAGGCCTTGGACTGATTAACAGTCTATGTCCTTTTAAATGTGTTTGCAAGAGGGTGTGTGTTTTGTTTTGTTTCTGGTTATGTTCTTTGTGGTTTTATTCTGTATTTTATGCTGTGAACTGCCCTGAGATCTTCAAACGAAGGGTGGTATACACATTTAATAAGTAATAATAATAGTAATAACAAAACAGCTTCATTTGTAAAACAATCACATTTATTAACAAAATGCAAACATTTAAAAAATAAATCTATAAAGTCAGTTAAAAATAGTTCTGAGACAGATGCAGACTGGGATAATGATCTCCACTCAAAAGACTTGTTGGAAACATGTGGGATATGTTTATCATAAGGAGATCTGGAGTTCCTACACATCATATATTTAAAGTACATCCCTACCAAAAACCCTGGGAACTTTACCCCTCCGAGAGCTACAATTCCCAGCACGAACTACAGTTCCCAGTTTTTACTTTTGCGGGCTAGAGGGAGAGAAATCTGTTTTAAATGTATGGTGTGTACACGGCCAAATTGTGAAGAAGCAGACTTCAGACAAAGGCACCGTGCCGACTTTTTGAGTAGTGTGTGTGTGTGTGTGTGTGTGTGTGTGTGTTTGTACAACCTTGTCTTTCTGGATCTTCTAGTTGTGGGCATGACTTCTGGAGCCGTACCAGAGCCTTTAAAGTGTAATATTTAAGCTTTTCACTCCCTGCCGTCTGACTACCAAAAGTAACTGTCTGTACCCTGATAGCATTTGTCGGGGCTAAACTTGGTTGTAGATTGACCTGGTATGGACAGGTATTTCCCGTTTTGTTCCCGCCTCGCAGCCGACAAGAGATTGCCCAAAAGCAGTCAAAGTTTGGATTCTGCTGGCTTCGCCTGTCACCGGTAAAGCCTTGCATTTCCAGCTTGTGCCTTTCTTATGAGCCTTCCAAGCACGAGATGGCTGATGACTGTTCTTGGACCGAAGTCATGGGTATGCTGGCTAGATTTTTATCTCTCCGTTCTCACCCTGCCGTATATGAGGAGAGAAGAAGGAGGAGGATTTGCAGTCTAATTAGCAGCATTCCTGAGACGTGACTGGGTGGTGCTGCAGCCCTGTTGCGTTTGCTGCAGTCAGCTGCTCAACAATCCAAAAGTGTTCCAGGAACTTACTCTGTTCTGGGACTATTTGAAGAGAGACACAGATGGACTGGTGGTTGGTGTTTCTCTCCGCCGAGAAGAGCAATTTGTACTCTGTATAAAGGAATATGGATAAATTCGGAAAGCATGGCAGATCCGGATTTGTTAGGACTCGCATTCCTAGACCTCAGGTCCTACTGCAGCCAATCCAGCCTTCTGGTCATCCAGGCGTTTGCAGGTAATTCTCACACCTTTGTTTTGGGATGCCTCCTTTTTGGTGATTTACACTAGCCTAGAAGGTGGCATGGAGTTAGGAAGACAGTATTGTGCTCTGCTGGTAGTGCAATCAAATGGAAAATCCCAAACTTAAGGTACTAATAAAACGCAGTACGCAAAGATTGTAGCAAATACCGGTAATTGATATCGCTTATTTGTTTGTTTGTTTGTTTGCAATAGCAGTCTAAATTGGTGCATTTTAAAAGAGCTTCTCAGTAGTCTGTTTCAGGAAATGCAAAAAGTTGTTTCAGTGTTAGAAGCTGCTGCATAAACCCTTATTAAAGAAATAATAACTTGCCTTGGAAACTGTTTCTGAGTAAAGGGAAGTAAAAGTGATAGCATAACTTCTAATGGACTGAAATTTTCTCAATCATAGTTTAGAGCCAAATGTGGGAGTACGCCCAGAGTTTTTATATAAGATATACATAGGCTACATTTCTCAGCGCCTTTGTTTGCTTGTTGGTTCCAGTGAAAGCAGCTGGACAAGCTTCCAAGGAGATATACTTAGGATCACAGTGTCAGTATATTTATTGTGGCATTGTGGATATTTAGTCAACTATCATGCACTCTGACTTGGGAAGTACTTTCCATTTCCCATATTAATATAAGGCAGATTGATACATCAATACAAGTTTGGTAGTTTTGTTTTTGTTTTGACAGGCATTTGTTACCAGGAGTTTTTTCTTTGCTTTATATACTTCTCATTCTAACAGGCTAGTTTCGGGTTTTTTGGTGGGGAAGTCGTAACTGAAGGATGGGCTTCTGGGAAATTCTCAAGAAGCAATGGCAAATAAAATAAGAGGAGGGTCTACTTCATTTTGAAAACTTTAGATGGCACAGTTTAAGATGACTGTGGGTTTTTTTTATTTAAAAAATCTTGAAAGTGTATAAGGATCTCAATTTCAATATATCTGTTGTTGTTTTTGCCTCAAACTGCGTCATGTATGGGATTTTAGTACAGTGGTACCTCAGGTTAAGTACTTAATTCGTTCCAGAGGCCCGTTCTTAACCTGAAACTGTTCTTAACCTGAAGCACCACCTTAGCTAATGGGGCCTCCTGATGCCACTGCGCCGCCGGAGCACGATTTCTGTTCTCATCCTGAAGCAAAGTTCTTAACCTGAAGCACTATTTCTGGGTTAGCGGAGTGTGTAACCTGAAGTGTATGTAACCTGAAGCGTATGTAACCCGAGGTACCACTGTATTAACCAAAGCCTGATGATGGAAATTCAAATATACTGCTTAAATTGAAATCATGCATGCATGCATGTAAGTCACCCAGTGCTTGCATAATGAATACTCTGTTACGTATTTGCAGGCATGATTGATGGTGCCTGTGACTACGTGATGCTTGCAAAATGATATGCCAAAAATCCCAATAGTTTAATTGCTCTTCCGAATGGCCACATGTTCAATTAGTGTCCCAGTAACCACAGCATCCGTACTGGATTGCCATTAAGATGCCTAGCCTTGTTGAACCCCGCAGTCTTCAGTGCTGTCCTTTCCAAGAACTGTTACTAAAGCTGTGGTTATTGATCCAGATTCCCTTGCATCATCTCCCTCTCCTCCTCACCCTTCCAACTTCAGGTTGATGAAGCCTGTATTTCTAGTGTCAGTACGCCGACTGAGTGCCAGCTGTGCTGCATTTTCTCGCAATTCAAAAAAATCTGACTCGGTCACATTCCACAAGGTGACCAAACTTCATGCAGAAACTATTTGGTGCATTTTTGTGGCGGGGTTAACTTGTCTTCGAGATAAGCCTTAAAATAAACACCTATCCCTTTTTCTCTTTGTCTGTGACCCTGAATTTAACCCCATCTGCACATCTCGCTTCAAAGAAGATGTACATCTAAGTGGCAGGTGCAGTGCTGAAGTCTGGATTTGGTTTTGTGAGCCAAACTGACCCCTCTCCATCTGGGGGTGGGGGGAAATGGTGACTGCAAGGAGCTTATGGATCTGTGCTTTTAATTTGCATGGCCCGCAAATCTCTTTAAGCATGCAGCTTAAGTGGATCCTTCTTGGGTTCTGTTTTGGTGGCCTTGGAAATAGTTTATTCCTCTACTGTTTACATCATTCCTTGCTAATCACTGAGCCGGAATAGTTTCTGTTTCCCAATATTCTTCTTGAACAGCAAATGCTTCCCAAAAATGGGGGGTGGGGAGGGAGAGAGAGAGAGAGAATGCCTCCATTGTTACATGGTAGAAATTTGGTCTCCTCTGAAGGATGGGGTTGCAAAACCGTATTAAATTATATGATAGGTTTTGTACTGATCAAGTTAGTTGCATAACAGTCTAAACCGGCTTTCACCAGCCAGGCACCCTCCAGCTGTTTTGGACTACAAGTCCCATCAGCCCTGCACACATGCACCAGCTGGGGCTGATGGGAACTGTAGTCCAAAACAGCTGGACGGCAGTGGGATGGTCTAAATATGGTGGGAAAGGCTTTCTGTCTAAGAATGAAAAAAGAGAATAGCATTATTTGTACATTCTACGTATTATACTGTCTGGTGGAAGAGCATGTTAGACATGTATCAAAATGACTACAAAGCACATGCTGTTTAAAACCCAACAAGAAAACGGTGGTTACCCTTCCAAACCTGTGAGGTGTGGGAAGTGAGGAAGGCCTCCTTTGGAAAGAAATTCCAGATTTGGTGGAGGGGAGAGGAAGGAATCATAAAGGTTCCTCTTTAAAAACCTTTCAGATTCTGACTTCCTTTTCATTTCAGTGGCACCAGTAGTGTCCCATCAGGCCTCTCAGTGAATTTTAGAAACATAGAATTGTGGAGTTGGAAGGGACCACGAGGGTCATCTAGTCCAACCCCCTGCAGTTCAGGAATCTTTTGCCCAGCGTGTGGCTTGAACTCCCAACCCTGAGATTAAGAGTCTCATTCTCTGCCGACTGAGGAAAGTATGCAACTTCCTCTCTCACTGGATCACTCCTACACTTGCCAGGGAAAGTCTGCCACACATCTCAGTGTATGTTTTAGTTATGCATTGGCTGACTAGCATAAGTTACAGCACCCTGCAGGGTCAGACAGGAGATTACAAGTATTGAGATGGCGTGCTCAGCTGCTTTTGTACCCTTTGTTTGTTTGTTTCATAACATTTATACAGTATGCCGTTTGATTGTAATTTTTAATTTTATTGGCATTTTATTTACAACATAACATAAACCCCCCATCCCCCCATACACAAATCCACCCTCATTAAACGTGAACATAACATAACATACAGTGAGCATAACATACAACAATACAAACAACCAAATAAAAGACTTCCGTTTGATTGTAAAAAACACACAGAAAAGAATAAAACAATAAAGTGATCAGTCAAGAAGAGCTATATAAAACAAAAATAAATAAATAAAATTAATGATAAGAGAAGCAGAGATTAAAACACATGCCAGAATTCTAGATATCTGAGTAGGCTTGCCTAAACAAAAATGTTTTTACAAGGTGCCAAAAAGTGAAAGTGCCTGCCTGGTGGCAATATGCAGGGAGTTCCATACTAAAAGATCAATTTCTTACTAATGCAGGAGCAGTATTGTGTGGCAGCTATGTAACACTGCCGTTTTCGCAGATTGAAGTGGTCAAGTGGTCATGTAAGGGGTAAGGTGGTCCTGTAGGTAAACCAGTCCCAAGCTGCGACAGGGTCTCACTCCTGCCAGCAATCGTGCTGCAGCATTTTGCACACTAACTGTAGCTTCTTCAGCCTGGATAGCTCAGTTGGTGGGAGCCTGGTGCTGATAATGCCAGGGTTTCAAGTTCGATCCACAAATGGGACAGCTGCAGATTCTTGCATTGCACAGGGTTGGACTGGAAGATGATCAACTCTGCAGTTCCATGATGCTATGATTCTAGATCATGTGCAAGAGAAGCCCCAGATAGAGCATTAGAAGTCGCTGTCTCTCCCCCACCTCCTCTAGATGAGTGGGACAAAGGCCTTTATTATACATCTGTTGATTTACTGAAGTCTAGTCAAGGAATTGGCAGCTGAGCTTAAGAGGGAACCTAGATGTTTGCCTTCTACATCCCATCCAACCGTCTTACAACTTGAGCCACACTGTTTCCAAAACAGTTTTGAAGTACAGTGGTACCTCAGGATGCGAACGGGATCCGTTCCGGAGCCCCGTTCACATCCCAAACAGAACGTAAGACGCAACAGTGCGCCTGCGCGGGTCGCATTTCGCCGCTTCCGCACATGTGCGTGACGTCATTTTGACCGTCTGCGCATGCGCGGGCGGCAAAACCCAGAAGTAAAGCGCTCTGTTACTTCCGGGTCGCCACGGAGCGCAACCTGAAAGCACTCAACCTGAAGTTTTCCCCGAGGTATGACTGTAGATGAAAACTGCAAAAACTTCTTTAAATTGAGAAAGAAAAGCTGCTGTTTGTTGTCAGGTGAATCAAGGAAGAGGTTAGGTTAGGTTAGGCAAAAACAAACAAACACTGATCTTGGAGGAAATACAGATTGCCCCACATTGTGATTTTGTCTCAGCAGCAGAGAAAGCAGGAGATCATCATATACTTAGTAAAAGCTGTTTCATTTTTACCCCTTCATTATGGATAAATCAGTGTAACGGGAAATGGAGGACACAGCTCATTCAGCATCCAATTCCTTGGTGCATCGGGGATGACTTTGCAGAGGGGCTCTCAGCTGCATGTGCCTCCTTTGAGAGAAGTTCTTCTCTGAACTGTGAGAAAGCCCGTGCATTTTGTAATTGGCTAAGTACCGTATTTTTTGCTCTATAAGACTCACTTTTTCCCTCCTAAAAAGTAAGGGGAAATGTGTGTGCTTCTCATGGAGCGAATGCCGGCTGCACAGCTATCATAGAAGCCAGAACAGCAAGAGGGATTGCTGCTTTCACTGCACAGCGATCCCTCTTGCTTGTTCTGGCTTCTGAGATTCAGAATATTTTTTTTCTTGTTTTCCTCCTCCAAAAACTAGTTGCGTCTTGTGGTCTGGTGCGTCTTATAGAGCGAAAAATACGGTAGCTTGTCAGGGTTACGATTAGCAGGTGCCAATGCCATTGTACTTGGTTTCTTCGCTTGATACATTGATTTGGAAGTGAAGGTAGTCCTGTCTCACTACCCTTTGATTTTGACTTGGCTCATAAATTTGATAAGCAGGTGCTCTCCTTTTGGTTGACCTAGTTGCCACAAATGTTGAGAAACTGAATGCCATTTGTGCCTGTAGAGGCAACAGCCACCCTAGTTCATATAGGGAAAAACAGAACTGGGAGTGGTGAGAACTGCCCTGTGGCTGTTACACAATTACTTCACCTCCCCGCTCATTGCCTAATCTTTTTATCCTTTTACGCTAACAGTTTCCATCCACGTTAACACTGAATTGGCATTTGTGGAACACCTCAGAGCCCTGCTTTGAGCATGTCTACTTATTGGAGTTTTATTTATTTTACAAGGAAATTCACCAAGATAAAAAGAAAAATCCAGGCATAATTAATAACGCCAAACAGGGAGAAAGGGAAGAAAGAGCTTCCATTAAGCCACAGGTCATATATGGCTATATTCCTTAGCTCAAAATCAGTGGTCACACATATGCTGATTAAACAATTTCATTTTCATTCTCAAAAAATTATGAAGTCATAACTATTATACAAGGATCAGCCTTGCGTTCTACAATGTTGAATAAATACATTCAGTCAGGAAATGTGTGTGAGAAAGAAATTATGTTCTCTTGCTCTAATGAGATACCTTAGTTTGGCCATCAGGGTATAATCTCAACATCTATTAAAGCACTCTGTAATAGATGGAATGTTCCTTGACATCCGTTTGGAAATAGGTATCTATAGTATTGGAATTTTGATCTATGAAATTCTTAACCTGTTGTGTTGCTTTGTTGAACTAGTGGCTGCATACAAGAGCCACTTATAGTGGAATTAGACCTGAATTCAGATCTGCATTCAGATCTGTTAAAACTATTGGATGGCCATTTGCCCGTATTCTGACTGACCTCCTTTGCAGGGTTTGTGAGAATAACATGAAGGGAGGTGGAAGAGTGGAACAATACAATAATCTTTATTGTCGTTGTCCCATACTGAACAACAAAATTGAAAAATCTACCTAAAACATTCAAAACCCAACAAGCCTGCTATCCCAGCTATCCCAACCTGGTTAGCCCCCTAAAAACTCTGATACCCCATTTTTAAATACAATATACTCCCATAGAGACTCCTTATACTGTGTTTAAAACCAAAATCGCATTTGGGTAGAAACTGTTTCTCAGGCAGCTAGTCCTAGTCCTTATAACCCTGTACCTTCTTCCAGAAGGCAGAAGCTGAAAGAGATCATTTCCGGGGTGTGCACTATCCTGCGTTATCTCTGCAGCTTTCTTATGGCACCTGGAAGCCTAGATTTGATCCAAGGTGGGAAGAGTGCACCCAATTATTCTCTCCACAGTCTTTACAACCCTGGACAGCATTGTTTTTCCCTGACCGTTCAGCTCCCAAACCACACACACAGACCATAAGTTAATACACTCTCCACAGTACAATGGTAAAATGCCATCAACAGGTCCTCTGAGCGTGCTCCTCTGAGGTCTTCAGAAGGGTAGGATAAAATGCAATTTAAAAAGGAACTAACCTCCACTGGCCTCTTGTAATGTAAAACCATAAAGCAGATAAGCATCATAAAACAGCATTCCAGCAGCAAAGGGAACCAATTCTTTGAATCAGTTACCTCCCAAGACCTGAAGGAAGTGATGCATCTAAATGTGAAATCAGACAGCAAGCAATGTGTGGGGACAACAGTCAAGTCCACGAGCTTGCTTGTGTCTCAGTTTGATTCTTAAGCTTTGCCTGAGCTGATTCACACAACATACTAAGCCACACTTTAGCTTAGCAGGACCATGCAAATGTGCAGATTCCTGGAGGGGAAATCGCATCCGCTTTGCCACTCTCTAGGGCTCCACACTAAGCAAAGCCAAGGTTTGCCTTCACACAACCTTGAGTCTCCGTTCCAGTGGCATGCTAAGCCAAACCAGCAGCAAAAAGGATCTAGGAGGAGCAGATCGGCTCTGGAGCCCAAACAGGAGCTCACCTGTTTGTGCAATCTCACAAAACCAAGGTTTAGCTTAGCAAGCTGTGTGAACCAGGCCACTGGTACAGTGAACCAACGTTAAGAGCCCAGAAGTTTGAACCCTGTATGGGACAGTTGCATGTGCCTGCATTTCGGGAAGTTGGACTAGATGAGCCATAGAGTCACTTCCAACTCTACGATTCTGTGTATGCATAGTCCTACTAAGCCAAGATTTGGCATGTTGTGCGATAACAGTGCCAGAGGCTGCACCAGTAGCCTCTGGGAACTGCAGATGTTTGTGGAGAGGCAACAGTCCTGGTTGCAGATAATGGGCTGTCATCTCCGCACTGTTCTAATACAGCACCTATACCGAACAGGTCCTTAGCAGTTGCTAGCCTTTTGCATTCTTGATTGTAATTCTGTTGCATGCAACTGTGTCAGAAATAGAGGGTTGCCATGTAAAAAAAAAGCCTGTAAAAGCATTAGAGCCTGCTAGGTCAGGCCAGTGTTCTACCTGTTGTATGGAGATCTCCACACCAAAGATTCAAAGCACATGGCAATCTCCCAAAGGATCCTGGGAACTGTAGTTTGTGAAGGGGGCTATAGCAATTGTAGATCTTGTAAAGAGCAAACTACAGCTCCCAGGATTCTTTGGGAGATGCCATGTGCTTTGAATCTTTCATGTAGAAATCTCTATACAACAGCCAAGTTACTGTGGCATCATCTGAAGTAAGCCCTGCTTTTTGCCTGGCTGGAATGTGCCCTGGACATCTCCTCCTTGCTGAATAGAGGTGTGTGTGTGTGTGTGTGTGTGTGTGTGTGTGTGTGTAGAACCCTCTTGTGTTTTGCATGGGCAGAAAGTATCCTACTGTACAAAGATAGGCATTGGATCCACTGCTGCTTCTCATTTCGGCTGCTGGGTCCTGCCCAGATCCCCACAAGGGAATGTTACTCACTCCTGCCCTATCACCATATCTCCCCTTGCCTGTACCCCTGTTGATCTGCACACCCCAACTTTTCTTCCCTCCCTCCCTCTCCACTGTCTCCAACTTTTAACTCTCCAAGGCACCTATCTTCCTGTTTTCTCACTTGGCTGCTTTCCCCACCTCTTTTATGATTATTATTGTTGTTGTTGCTGCAAAGTTTCTGCACTGCAAGGAAGTCCTTGTATCTGTTGATCAGGCCAATGTAGGCTTAAGTAATTGCTTAGTACAATCCGTTATTGCAACGAGAGTGCTCCAGGCATAAACTTGGAAGCAAATTAAAGAGGGACTTAGTTTCCCACTTCATTAACCCCCTCCCCCTTGCTCTTTTTTTTTTATCCCTTTCATCCATCCTGTCTCTGCTAACAGATTATTTGACCTTGAGAGACTAGTTGAAGGTTGGCGGAAGAGCTGAATTTCTTGAAGCTGTCTGTCATTTCCTCTGACTTCCTACAACTCTCGGCACCCCTCTTTACCAAATCCTTCCCTGGTTATATGTGTGGTGTGTGTACTGTGTATACACAACTTTGTGGCCTGATCCACTTGAATGGTCAAGCTTTCACCGGGCTCCTTGCTCAGCTGTGTCTGAATAAATCCTTTCTGCCTAAGTTCTGATAGCGTCAGGCTAAAGGACCATTTAGTTCAGCATCCTGTTCCGACAGTGACCAGTCAGATGCAACAGCACTCTCCCCCAGTTGTGATTCCCAGCAACTGCCATTCAAAGGTAGACTGCCTCTGACAGTGGAGGTACTTTGCCCCTAGAAATCACTCTAGTATTCAGAATGTTCTTCCAGTGTCATTGGCATGGATGTCTTTGAGATGTCGCCGTCACCATTTCCGTTTTTATTGCAAGCTAAGTTGGAACCACTGTGAAGTGGATCACATTATTGTTGGCTTCTGCTTGTGGCAAGCAAGTCTACCCTTTAAAGCAGTTGAGAACAATAAGAGGAAATGCTCTATTAACGCAGCTGCTGAACTGGAAGGCTGTCTAATTCCATCCTCCATGTGGAAAGGGCGTTGAGAAACGCAAGGCAGGAATCCAATAGCTTGCGGGGGCGGGGAGCATCTATTTGGGTGGAATGATTCAACCTTGGAACAACCGACTGCATAGCAACCTTGGCTTATGTTTACTGGTCAGTAACCAGTGTAAAGGGCATATTTTGGCCTCGTGTGCATCTTTTCCCTTTTTTGGGGTCTGTTTTTATGGTGATGAATATTGAAAGTTACTTGATGGGCTCTAATGTTGAGTTAACAACTGGAAATGTCCTCTAGGGTTATGTACACATTAGTGGCTTAAAATGCAGCAAATGTGTTTTCGCCTTCTGCGTTTCAAGTCATATTTGCATGGTGCTGTACACATCGTAAGGGGAAGTGGGGATATCATCATCACCCAATGTGCATGGCCTATTCAGACACACATGCCCCGAACTCCTGTTCATGAAGCTGTCATTTGCACATGTGCACTTATGAGCACACGTGCGATTGCTGTCTCAAATGTGCACATATGTCTTAAGTTCGACGTGAATGTGGCCTAAGTTTTCTAGTTGGATTGAAGCGGGTTAGAGAGAAGGGGGGAAACACATCAAAAGCAATAGATCTCCAGTAAGTGAAGGAATGGTATGGTTTGTGGCTACCATCATGTGTATATGACTTCAAAAACTAGCAGAGGGAGTACGCTGGATGCAAAGTAAGTAGTAATGCACACACAGCCCTAGATTGCAATTCTCTGCACCCTTAGCTGGGAGTAACCTTCTTTGAACACCACATCTTACATAAGAAGCATGGGATTCATCTGCTTGGATGACTTAATTTCTTACAGGCACACCACAAACCAGGTTGAGAAGAAGAAGAAGAAGAAGAAGAAGAAGAAGAAGAAGAAGAAGAAGAAGAAGAAGCAGCAGCAGAAGCAGAAGAAGGCGGCAGTTTGGATAGGAAATTAACAGCTAACCACTTGTGTTCTGGGTCCTTAAGCACATATAATGAGATTTAGGGCAGAGCTATGTCTTCTTTCTTCTCTTTCTTTGGCGATCACTCGTAGCCGAGTAAGATTGTCTTCCATAAACACGGTTTTAACACTGAGTCCGTAAGTGACTGTGGAGGCCAATTCTAGATCCACACGTCCTTCCACAGTGGGGACATTGGTTTCCGAGTGGGAGTTGATCACAATGTGGATTTGCCAAGCGTGCCTTCCTCCTAGCACGTTTCTCCCTTGCGTCCTGAGTTTGAGTGTCTTCAAAGTCCATGACACCTTTGGTAAAGGCTGTTATCATAGCGTTGACAGGCCCAGGTTTTGACTTCCAAAATGTATGCATTTGCTACAGGAAAAGTGCTGCTGTGTAATACATGCTATTCCTAAAGCATCAGTGCATAGAAATGAGGGCAGTGCTATATGCGACTTGGTTGTTGGATTGGGTGCAACGCAGCGCCAGCACTTAAGGGTGCAATCCAAACCCACAGTCGACTTCATGTGTGTGGGGTAGGGTGAAGTTCTCCCTTCACCCAGCTCAGAACAGCTCCCTGCCTATGGAATGATGCTCCCTGCTCTGCCCACAGGTAGAAGTACTGCTGGTGTACTCTGTATAAAGCCTGGAAATGGAGCATCTGGGCAGAGGGCAGGGGCTGAGCCAGCCTGGGAACCACTGGTGACATTGTGACCTTCCTCTGCAAGACAGGGGTTTGGATTACGCAGTAAGGTTTTTTCCCCTTAAAATATTGAAAATTAAAATATGAGAGTTCAAGTGAACTTGATTTAGTCATCTTCTTCTAACCCTCTTCCCCACTGTGCTATTGTAGCAGCTGCCCCCAATGATTCATTGCCAAAATAATCTACACTTTATCTAAATTGCTCCTCGCCAGAGATCACTCAGTGTTCCTTCCTTGCTGCCTTCAAAGGGAATTCGACTTAACTTCACTGACGCACATGTTGATTCAGCGACCTCCATGTTTCCAGATGTTGCTTATTTTTCAAAGTATTTCTTGAATCCCATACATTGTGTTTCCATAAAACATAGCAGATTCTAATCTACATCAGAAACAGCAACTTTGAAGTGTGCATATGTGTGTGTTCAGTTTTTTTTGGAAAGCATAATTCTCTGAAAATGTAGCACAAAGCAGATTCTTCTGTGACTGCTACTATTAGTGAGCAAAGGCATTGAAATGCAACAAGTTTAAAGTTGCACTCCTCCTCTATGCATGGTTAGTCCTTGTAACTCATTGCCACAGGACATGGGTAGGCAAACAAAGGCCCGGGGGCCGGATCCGGCCCAATCGCCTTCTAAATCTGGCCCACGGATGGTCCGGGAATCAGCATGTTTTTACATGGGTAGAATGTGTGCTTTTATTTAAAATGCATCTCTGGGTTATTTGTGGGGCATAGGAATTCGTTCATTCCCCCCAAAATATATAGTCCGGCCCCCCACAAGGTCTGAGGGACAGTGGACCGGCCCCCTGCTGAAAAAGTTTGCTGACCCCAGCCATAGGATGTGGCGGTTTAAATTTGGGTATCTTTTAAATGAGTGATAATGACCTACATCTTCCTACCAGGAGCGCTTTAGTCTACATAAAATTGGAAGTGGATAACTGAGGCACAGTACTTAGCAGAAGTTTTGTCCTGCCTGGTTAGCATCCTTAAAAATCTGGTCCATTGTCCTTTATCCTGTAGCAGCCTATCGAGTACCTAGAGAAACCCCACAAGCAGGAAATGAAGGCACTAACCCTGCTCTTGCTGCTGTTCCCCAGGAGCATGCTGGATTTTGCATATGGTTGTAGCCATTGATTTCCCTATCCTCCAAGGATTTGTCTCATTGACTTTTAAAGCTATCTGTTGACTGGCTGGTAAGATGCTCTCCCAATAGCTAGCAAATAGCTGGAAGGCTCAGCCTGTCTTCCAGGCAGTGATCGCTGCTGGAGAGCTAGTCTAGCACAGGTGGGGCAGCACTGGTTCTAGGTTCAAAGTCAAGTCCTGGCTCCAGTGAGCAGAGCTGGGCCAGGCAAGAGTTGAATTCCAGAAAGGCCAGAGATCATGAGTCTGGTTCCAATATGAAAGTCAGTTGGCAGCAAAGGGTCGGGTTCTAAGATGGCCGCTATGGGTGAGGTTCCAGAAATGTGCCCAGACAAAGTCAAGTTTAGGTCTTTGATAATCGGAAGGAGCAGCATGGAGAGCTTTGAGCGGTACTGAAAGCTGGGCAAATTGAATTTGGACGTTGTTCTGACAACTAGCAGATTCAAGTGGCTGGCTCCATCCCCACAATGAATGAGGATTTCACTGTGAATGGGGGACTGCTTACTTTAGAAACCTTTGAGTGTGGAGGTGATGGCAGCCTACTGGTAGCTATGGTACTGGATTTCAATGATGGGTACTACCTCCTCAGCACAATGTGTGTGGGGGGGAACTGTTTTGTTGTCCCTTCCCACACAGGAGCTACCTTTGTGGCTTCTCTCACTTCAATTAAAAGTGGATGATGTGATGTGGTAACTTCTCCCATGGGTCTTTTGTTTGTTTGTTTGTTCAGGAATGGTGTGCAGCCAGAGAAACTGCAGAGCGCCGGATAAATCAAACGTTTGCAAATTCTTAAGTGTACTGCAAAAGAGGCAGAAATACAAAAACGCCTTTTGCAGGTGAAGAGAAATTGGAAGACAGTTTTGGCACAGCACAAGATCTATGCAGCACATCTTATTTCAGGTGTGAGAGTGAGGCACTTCCTTGGGCCTCTTTCGCTGAGGAGGTGGGATTAGGGCCCTGGTTCATGACATCCTTCTTAGTAGAGGCATACCTTTCTTGCCCTCCCTACCTCAGCTAAGGACGATGTCATCTGGGTCTGTGCCTGTGAAAAGGATCAAGGGAAGGGAAGCTGGAGTGTTGGTGTGAGACTAAGTCAGAGAACTAGCTGTGAGCTCTGGAGAACACCTTTTAGGGCTGTCTCACAGGAGAGCTGATACAGGCACAAGAGACTTCACTCTTTGTAGAAGTAAAGCTTTGTGTCCACATATGCTCAACGTGGTTATGGCTTGCTTATGTGGTATCTTTGCCTCACGGTGCCCTCTCCTGAAATACCAATCTTGTCACAGTTACCAATGCCTGGCGATGCCTACATTGGATTATGATTATTTTAATGTTATTTATTTATTCGAGATATTTCCACAATGCTTAATTATTCCCCTTTCTAAGCAGCAGACATTTAAAAAAAAAACCATCAGAAAAGAGGGCAATAAACAATTATAGTGAAATTAACAGAACCTTGAAATGCCTGTTGTAATGCATTATACATGGGGCTGCTTGTGAAGAAAGTTCAGAAACAAAATGGGAGAGGAAGGTTATGAAGTTGGAACTGATCAGATATTGTCAGTATTGAAAGACCTTCTTGGCTCCTGAGTGGTTTCCAGGCACAATGCACAGTACCGTTGTTTTGTTTTGTTTGCCTGTCAAACCATAAATAGCCTAGGACCCAGATTATCTGAAGCACCACCTACTCACAGATGAACCTATCAAAGTGTAGACGTAGTCAGATGAGGTCCTGCTTTTGAGGTTCACCAGCTTCAGGAAGTGTGGCTTGTCAGTGTTGGTAACCCTTGCAAAAACCTCTCCCTGGTGCTCACCCTACTATTCCCAAGGCACCAGGTGAAACCTGCCCTGCTTTCCAAAATTTTTGGCAGGATGGAATGGTGGCATTGGTAGATGACTTTTCCTGTTAGTGCTGAAGCTTTTCCTGCCTGATTTGGACAACTTCATTTTGTGTTTTCTTGCTGCATTGTCTTAACTGCGTATGTAAGTTGTAATGGGAAATTATTGATTTGGTATAAATCATTAAATAACAAAAAGTTTGGATTTGTGGGTGAGTTTAGGCAGGTTTTATGAAAGCTGAATGCAGTGGGAAATGAATTACAAATGCTTTGAACTAAGTGACCTCAAGACATATTGTTTCAAATGAATTAAGGAGGCAAATGGTATACAATCATTCTGGATGATTTAATCGTTCTTGAGTGAGTTTGACTATATATCATTATCTTGTAGCAATTTTTTGGCCCCCAAAGGAAAGGTGGCTGCAGGAGGTTTTCCTCCTCACGTGACTGTGATTTCCCTCCCCATTGCAGCACTGGCTGCATGGAGGGGTTCCTCTTTGCCTTTCTGCAATATGAGGGGAATTTAAGATGGGTCACCTGAGCTCTGGGATGGGCTCTGTGACTGCACTGTGCTAAGAATATAAGAGCTTGCTGGATCAGGCCAATGACTCATCTAGTTCAGCCTCCTGTTCTCATAATAGCCAACCAGAAGTGTGTCGGAAGCAAGATATGAGTGCAACAGCGCTCTGCCCATCTCCATTTCTGAGCAACTGGTATTCAGAGGCATGCTGCTAATAGTCATTATGTGTGTGGTATACAGTTATGCCTCGTGTCGCGTTAGGTTCATGTTGTGTCTTTTCAGCTTGTGAAGGTGGCAAACCCAGAAGTGTATATGGATTGTGTCCACAGCTAGAGGTACCACTGTACAGTCGTACCTCTGGTTATGAACTTAATTTGTTCCAGAGGTCCCTTCTTAACCTAAAACCGTTCTTAACCTGAGGTACCACTTTAGCTAATGGGGCCTCCCGCTGTTGCCGTGCTGCCGCCGCACGATTTCTGTTCTCATCCTGAGGTAAAGTTCTTAACCCAAGGTACTACTTCCGGGTTAGCGGAGTCTGTAACCCGAGTGTTTGTAACCCGAGGTGTTTGTAACCCGAGGTGTTTGTAACCTCAGTCTGGGATCTGTTCCGGAGCCCCGGACGCTCGATGAAAGGGACACTCGACAAATCACCACTCTGCGCACACGTGCGGAGTGGTTTGCGCTTCTGCCCATGCGTGAGTGGCAAACCCAGAAGTAACCCGTTCTGGTACTTCCAGGTTTGCCGCTGACGTTCGCTGAAATGGACAGTCGACCGGGTGGACATTCGCGGAGGTATTACTGTATGTGTGTGCATGCGTGAAGTTAAGAAGTAACAATGCCCACTGCATGCCTGCAGCCCTGGGGGTTTTGCAAAAGGGGCAATGTGACCCTTGGGCTGAAAAAGTTTACCCAACCCCCGTGGGTTGAGTATGGCAGGGTGCTTTAATGGGTTGTATGTGGCTTAAAGTGAAAGGAGATGAAAATAAATAGCCTTTTTCAAGGTCAAAGGCCTACAGCATATATTCAGCTCCCACTTCAGTTTTATGTGGGCCCCAAGTGCTACCAATTCTTAGTTCTCTCCCATCACCCTGCACCCAAATAGGTACACATAGAGACCAATGAAGTGAAGCCCCTCTGTGCTCATGCCATATTTAAAAGGCTTCCAGGTCAGACTCTCATTTTCCTGGGATTGCAATGATTTTCCTCTTCAAGTTTTGGAAGCTTTGACTCTCACAGGCTTAAATCAGCTCTGAATCTTTCCCAAGAACCAGAAGCTCTGGTGCTTCCTTTGCATTCTCCACAGAGTGTTCCCTTCTAGGTCATGTATAGGACAGTTCAAGGAAGTTTGCATTGTTGCAGCTCCACTCACGTCAAAAGGTTTTATCCTTCAGTCCACATTATCGCTAAACAAAAACAGAAAAATAAGACACTTTGGAATTTTATCTATTTTCTGGATGTCATCTTTGTAGGGAGAATGATGGGGTGTGTGTGTGTGTGCGCACGCAGTAAGCATGAATGCCAAGCAGATATCTTTCAGTCTCTGAAACATTTGCTTTCCTTTTCCCTCCTCATTAGAAATTGCGCTTGCAGAATGAGCCGCTTTCCTCAGAAAAGTTCCTCGGAGCTGCTGCAGTCAGAATGCAGGCATTCCAGGGCAGATTCCTCGAGCAACTTAGCAATGGATACTTTTTGGCTAGAGGTGGAGAGCATCAAAGAGAGTACCGAATGTGAGCCGGACGAATGCAACCTTACAGATGCCAAACCCCCAGAAGGTAAAAAGTTTCTGTAGCTCCACTTGAGTTGTGGGAACAAAGAATAATATGCAAAAGTGCCTGTTTACTGGAGTCATCAGCTGAGTAAGATGCTTAAAGGGGGGGAAAGGCATATTTTATTATTCACCGTATTTTTCGCTCTATAAGACGCACCAGACCATAAGATGCACCTAGTTTTTGAAGGAGGAAGAAAAATATTCTGAATCCCAGAAACCAGAACAGCAAGAGGGATCGCTGTGCAGCGATCCCTCTTGCTGTTCTGGCGTCAGCGAAAGCAGCACAAAGCCTCTTCAGGGCATTGGGAGGAAGAAGAAGAAGAAGAAGAAGAGTTTGGATTTGATATCCCGCCTTTCACTCCCTTTAAGGAGTCTCAAAGTGGCTAACATTCTCCTTTCCCTTCCTCCCCCACAACAAACACTCTGTGAGGTGAGTGGGGCTGAGAGACTTCAAAGAAGTGTGACTGGCCCAAGGTCACCCAGCAGCTGCATGTGGAGGAGCGGAGACGCGAACCCGGTTCCCCAGAATACGAGACTACCGCTCTTAACCACTACACCACACTGGCTCTCCAACGCTCTCCCTGCCCTGAAGAGGCTTTGTGCGGCTATCCCAGAAGCCAGAACAGCAAGAGGGATAGCTGCACAGTGAAAGCAGCAATCCCTCTTGCTGTTCTAGCTTCAGCGATAGCTGCGCAGCCTGCATTCGCTCCTTAAGACGCACACACATTTCCCCTTACTTTTTAGAGGGAAAAAGTGTGTCTTATAGAGTGAAAAATACAGTATTTTTGTGCTGCATTTATATCCCCCCCTTCCTCCAAGTTTCATATATGGTTCCCTCCTCCCTCATTTAATTCCCTGTGAGGTAGGTTAGGCCAAGGTTGCAGGTTCAGTCCCCTAAAAGGACAGCTGCATAGTCCTTCATTCAGGGGTTTGGAATAGGGTCCCTTCCAACTCTGTGATTCTATGAAATCCTTCTGTGTTTGAGGGGCAGAAGAAGTCCCTGTAGACATGTGACTGGTTCCCAGATGATGAACTGAAATTCTGAAATTCTGAAAACCAGTTTCTGGAAACCGCAGGACAGGAGAGTGCTCTTGTGCTCGAATCCTGCCTGCAGGTTTCTTAGAGGCATCTGTCTGGTCAGCAGCTGTGAGAACAGAATGCTGGACAGATGAGCCATCGCACTGATCCTGTGGGCTCTTTTGTGTTCTGTGTTTTTAGGGGTATGGAGTTTGGGTTCATTGTTGTGAAACATAGGGCATGGATTTTGTTTTGAAAATAATGCTTAAAAGTACCCTTAATTCGACACTCCCCATTTTTTAAAATAACATTCTTAAAAACAAACAAACAAACCCAGACATATTAATAATCGGTTGTGTGCACACCTTTCTCCTTCACCAAGAAGAATTGGGCTATAAATGGATGCCGAGTTTTGTGGTTCCATCCCCCAAGGGGTATGTTGCATGTCTGGCTAGACTTAAGGGGAGAGGAAATGAAAACTCCCATGGGGAAACAACTACCTCTGCCTTTAAGAGGAACTGAGTAATAATCATTGCTTGCTTGGAATTTCTTGCTTGTGACCAAAGCTTGTCGGAAGAAAACAACTTTACAACAGAAGGTGGTATGCTGCTTTTTGTGTTAATACAGTCGTACCTTGGTTCAAGAACAGAATCTGTTCTGGAAGTCCATTCAACTTCCGAAAATGTTCGAAAACCAAAGCGTGGCTTCCGACTGGCTGCAGGAGCTTCCTGCACTCAGTTGGAAGCAGCAGAAGCTGCATTGGACATTCGGCTTCCAAAAAACGTTAGAAAACCAGAACACTTACCGTATTTTTTGCACCATAACACTCACTTTTTTCCTCCTAAAAAGTAAGGGGAAATGTCTGTGTGTGTTATGGAGGGAATGCCTACGGGTGGCATGCCTACGGATTTTCCTCCTCTAAAAACTACGTGCGTGTTATGGTCGGGTGCGTGTTATAGAGCGAAAAATACGGTACTTCTGGGTTTGCGGCGTTCAGGAGCCAAAACATTTGAGTCACAAGGCGTTCAAGAACCAAGGTACGACTCTGTGTCTCTGTGTGTATATATGCACCTTAGTTTCACAGTAAATGCTGATGCTACATAAAGCCTAATTGTTTGGACCCACTAGGTGGTGCTACAAATAATCTCTTTTCCAATAGCCTGTTTCTTTATTTGTAAGCATCTTAGTTGGCCCTACACAGGGCCTAATTGTTTGGGACCACTGGGGAGTGCTGCAGGTAGTCCATTATCCGGTAGCCTTTTAAAATGTCTTAGAGGTTTTCCAGAGGAATCATAAATTTGAGCATGGGAGGAAATATCACATCCTGCATAGATGAACAGCCACACAAAGAAAATAGTTGGGGATATTATCCCCATTTTAAGAGAAATTGAATTTTATTCTCAGCAGAAAAACATTGTTTATCCATGGATAAAACGCTAGAACATACAGACAGACAGAACCAATTATATCCATAACATATATCCAACACAAAATTGGATAAACTACAGTCATGGTGAAGGTTTGTTTTTTGCGCAATTGTATTTCCAGATGAGAAAAGGCTTAACCTGTTGAAGTGTTTGCCCAGAAAATAAGACAGACGCAGGAAAAGTGCATTAAAAGGGAAGGGGAAACAGCAGGTCTTTAGGACCCTGAGGGTTCCTATTACCTGGTGTTCAGACAACTCACCAGCCAGAGTTCTGACTTTGGCTAAAAGAGCTGGCAGGTGGGATCAGCCAGTCTTGCTCATTTTACAGAAATTGCTTAGAATGGTGCCTGTATATTTTACTGCATAACTTGCTTTAGAGGAGAGCTTGAGACTTTGTTTTTAAAAACAATGAAAGCTCAGAGTCTTGCGACTGTGGGGCCTAGGCTGGTGACCTCAGATGTGGAGCATATAATCCATTGCAGTAATCTATTGCAACTAAAGCATATGCTTCCTTAGCTAGATAATATTTCCCCAGGAAGAGTCACAGCTGGTGCACCAGACTAAACTGAGCAGAGGCACATTTGGCCACTGCTGCCACCTGGCTCTTCAGACGTAAAGCTGCACCCAGGAGCAGTCCTAAACTGCAAACCTGATTCTTCAGGGGAAGTCACCCCCATCCAAAACAGGCTGAATCCCTCTTCTGTCGCCTGATTTAGGAGCACAACTGTCCCGTCTTGACTGAGGCCTCCTTAGTCCAGCTCCAGAACTCTACATCAGTGACAGTTCATAGACTCATCATTATTTTGTGGGTTTTCTTTGGGCGTTTTTTGTATTCCAGCTGTTGAACTGCCCATGATAGATGCTGTGTAACTGCTTTTGGAAACCTCAAAGGAAGGCCACCTAGGTATGTGGTTTCAGGTAGTTTGATGGAAATGCCTTGGCTTTGCCTCCTTTTCTTCATGAGGAGGGACCACATAACATATATCTTGCTTATGGGAGTTCTGAGGTTCAGTCCCCTTGCAGTAAGAGAGGATGTTGGGTAAGGAGGACTGGCAAAGACCCCTCTGCCTGAAACAGTGAAGAACCACCACCACCACCTGGCATAGTCTGTTTGCACCAGATGGACCACTAGTCTAGCCCAAGACTTTATCTGCTATGTACCTTTAAGAGCTGAATGACAGGCAGAAATTCAACACACTTCCATAACTCCCTAGCTCTGTGTTTGGAAAAGCTCAACATGCTGAAATTATGCCTGTCATGCATCTGTTAAAAACATCATCTTGGCCAGGTTTTGGGGAGGTGACAACTGAACTTAGCTAGGATAAACATGGTAACTTGCCAGAAGGCTGGGAGCTGGGCAGTCTAGCCTACCAGGATTTACCAACTCTGTGGCTCTTCTCATTTTTTGACCTTGCCTTCCTCCTTGTTCCTTGTGCCTCTCAGAAGGGGAAGCCGAAGCTGAATGGCTCCAAGACGCAGGGCTTTCGGATCTAATTGGGGACCATGCTGCAGAGAATGGCAACAGTGTCCTGCTTTCCACGTTGACCAAGACTCAGGCTGCAGCTGTGCAGCGACGGCTTGACACTTACACCCGCTCTCGAAGAAAGAAGAACAAGCAGCCTGTCCGTGATGTCCGAGACATCTTTGGAGTGGTTGGCTCTGCGGTGTGTTTACTTCACATGCTTTGCTCTGCGATCGGCCCCTGACCCCACTTTTCCAGCTCTTGTTCCTCCATTAATAGAATGGAGTTGAAATGCAATCATGGAACTACTGTACAGTCACAGAGGTATCCTGATTCAACCTGATAAGGGCTGAACTTTGCTGCACAAATATTCATGATGTGGGCATACAGTCCTCTCTTACTTTCCTTTTTGCTTTTCTATTATACTATCACACCTGAACTGAAAGTGTTTTTTTTAAAAAAACAACAGACAAGTGTGCCCTTAACTTGCAGCCCCACCCAGTGGGTCATCAGCTGATGGAGCAACCCAGTTTTAAAACAACTGTAGAGCTTACAGTCCTAATATTAAGCAAATTTAACAGTGCCCTGGGGGAGAAATGTACTTAAACTTACAGTAGATTTGTTTTGTGTGTGTGAAAAATTTGTTGAAAAATCAACTCCTGGGCTCTAAACTGTAACCATGAGCAGCCAGTTACAGGACATCAAGATTTGTCTGAATTTCTCTCTGTTGGTTAAATACCAAGAATTGTCTCCTTTGCCCCTAGCAGCTTTGATTTAATTTTAGAACTTTTGCACCCCACCTTGAGTAATCTATTTTTGGTTGACAAAACAACCTGGTGGCTGAGTGCCACACACCCAGATTGTTCAGTGACTCTCTAAAAATTTGGAGCATTTCAGCATCACATAGCGTGCCTTCTGTGTACTGACCCATAGCTACTGTGTTCCTGGGACATCTGCAGGTCTTGTTGAAGGAAAAAGAGAACAGTGAAACTTCTCTGACTCAGGTTGTCTCACTTGATTTGCATTAGCACTGATCCGCTTTTTGCACTTTGATCTATGGCCGTATGACATCAGTGTTCAATTTGAAATAGAGCTTAGCAAAGAACCTTAATTCCCAGGTGAAGCACTGAAGCAAATGCAGGAATCATGACACCACCCAGCTACGCAAAGAATGCCCTTTCCTTTTAAGCATAGAAATTAGAGCTCATAATTTCCAGGTGGGAAGACAAGGCTTTCAGGTGGGATGGGTTCCCCGGTCCCTCTCTTTGAAACTATACCTTGATGCTGCTGTACCATCTAGTGTACCTCCCTTAGACAATATTAACCACTGTGTGGCAATCATCATCATCACCACCACCACCACCACCATTTATTTATACCCTGCCCATCTGGCTGAGTCCCCCCAGCCACTCTGGACGGCTCCCAATCAAATGTTAAAAACAATACAATCATAATAATGAATAGTTGGAAGCAGTTTTGAATTTGGGAAAAAGAACTGGCTGAAATTATTCCATATTGACAGGAATCCTGCCTAAGTATGGAGGTTGGATCTAGCTGTTCATAACCATTAGGCATTGGAAATATAGATATCCCGTATGCGGATGTGCTCAAGAAAGGGGATTCATTCTTCATTTGTTGCAGTTGCCTATTCATTTTGAGTTTTACTCAAAAAGCTGGTAGAAGTTCTGCATTAAAAATCTGTACTTAATACCTACCAACGATAGCATATTCTTGGTGGGATTATGCCACTGACCAGCAGTGAGAGTTTGGAGCATGTCAAGATTCTAACACTTATTCTGGACAACGAGTTCCTTTTTAATATTCCCAGCTTCCTCTTCTCCGTGACCAGTGAGGCATCCTTTTTTATTTGGGGAGGAAGGGCTGTAGCTGTGTTGGTAGAGGAAGTGTTTTGAGTGCAGAAGCTCTCAGGTTCAATCTCTGGGGTCTCCAAATCGTACAAGCTACCGATTCAGTTTAGACAGCACTGATCTGGGTGGACTGGTTTTGTCAGACTTGTCATAAGGCAAACTTCCTACATTTCTGTTTTGCTTCCCTGTGTCTAAGGCCTGGTATTCTGTTAATAGATTTCATGGAACGTGGCTTCATTTATGTTCTTTGTCCTGCATGTAGGAGACTGAGCCAGAGACAAATCTGGAAATGGACAGATCACACCGCAAGTCTGCATCGTCAAATAACATCCAGAAAAGTAAGACAGTAGCTGTATTGTCATGGGTAGAGAGAAGGGAATAGATCATTTAAAAGTCTTAAATCTAGGATTCCAGCATGAGACTAAAAGCTGTACAGCTCTTCCTTCCTTAAATATAGAGTGAGTATGCAAAGGAACTTGCAATGATATTTTTTTAAAAAACAATTACAGTCCCATACATGCAGGGAATAATGTCCCATTGAACTGAATGGGGTTTAATTTTGAGTAGGCATATACAGGAACAGCAGTAGGTAGGCTTAATGTTATACAGCATTTTGCAAGGCAAGTTTAGTTAATTCTTGCTTTCCCATTGTCACAGAGCGCAATGATTCATTCATTCAATGTACTTAGGATAGGTGAAGCTCCATGTGAATCTTTGATAGATTATAGAAATAGGAGTGTGGGATATGGAATTTTAATGGAATTTAATGGAAATTTTGTGGGAATTGTGATGTCAGTTTGCAAGTAAAAGTGACCCAACGCAGGTTAAAAAGTGAAACTCATCAAACTGCCTGGATTGATCAGACCAGACCTAAAACACGGGAATAGCCTGCATTGTAACATCATTTCTAAAGCAGCTAGATTTGCAAATCAGAAGACCTTATTGTAGCTTTGTCACTTACAGAAAATTGCCTATTTGGGTAAAAAGATTTGATTTTTACTAGCAATGGATTAGTTGTATTTCAGGATATAAACTCAGGTGATTTTTAACTTTTCAGTTGCCTTGCGTGCTCAGCTTTATATCTTAGCATAAGCCTGCCTTCCACAATATGACACATTCCAGATGTTTTTGAACTACAACTCCTGTCAGTCCCATCAAGCATGGCTGTGCTGATGGGGGTTGTAGTCCAAAACATCTGAAATTCTCCAGGTTTGAGTAGGCTGGTATAAGCTCCTCAAATGGGCCAGAATGTGGTCAGTGCTCAGTCTAAATGTGAAGGCGGCCATGCATTTCAGGTGTCTGTTGTAATTATGCATTTAAGTTCAGGTCCATCTTGTGTTGCAAATCTTGAATGCAACTTTGCATCCCTCCCCCCTTAGCAGATCCAATGGAAACCCAGGAATTCCCATCGCCACTGAGAGGCTCTGCAAGAGAGGAGCTATTCAGCACGGAAATTGCTTATTCTGAGCAGGCAGCCATCCTGCTCAAAGGATCTTTCCCAAGGGAATCTAGGAGGATAAAGGATGAGAGTTGTTTACCTGTAAGTGCAAGACTTTGCTATATCCTAGCAGATTCCTGTGGTTGTGATTTGACAATTATGATAATAATCACCAATAATAGCGACATAATAATTTGCATTGACTCTGATATGTCACTCCAATCTCCATCCCCCTGTCCTTCTTGCTTTAGAAATTTAAGATTCCCAAGGGGAGGCTGGGAGTGACCAAGATAGGAGACTTATCGCTGCAGGATATGAAAAAGATTCCCACGCTGGCACTCATTGAGCTAACTGCTCTCTGCGACGTTGTTGGCTTGGAGCTGAAGAGAAACAAAGCAGTAAAGCGGAAGGCTGCAGGTACCTGTTTTCCTACTGCTTGTTAGCATGAATTTGACATCTTGTGGTTCTTGTCACTGACTAAAATTAGGGAAGGAAAACTAATAGTAGTTCTCAACTATCTGAGTAAAAGGGCCTATCTGCAAGCGGTCTCCTTTTGGGAGAGCTTGCAGATGTTTTAATCAGCAGATTTGGTGTATGTACGGCAAGGATGTGGGTCTTGCAGGTATAGTCGAACTCCTGTTCCCCTCATCCCTGACCATCGGCCATGCTAGCTGGACAGGTGAAGTCCAATAATGCCTGGAGCACCACCATGGATTCTCCATGCCTGATCTGAGACATGTGTGCCTTGAATTGGATCGGCACGGGTTCCCCTGCTATCCCTGTAAGAAAAAGGGAGAGAGACTAGTGTGGACTAGCATTGGCTATGCACAGTGTACACTTTGGGCAGTTCTACACGGGTGCTTAGTATTTTGGGGTATTGCAGATGGGCCATTGGCAACAGCATTTTGTTTTCTTGTAAAAAACAAAAACCCCTACCAAAATCTTGCTGAATTTTCCTTGATAAGGGCAAACCTGATGGGGTTGGGGATATAGGCTAGTATTTTGATTATAACAGTATTGTGTGAATGTGGCAGGTATCATGATAATTGGCCCTTCGTGATGTCACTTCCTGGATTTCTGTGGATGGCTGTGTGTCCTTACTTATTAATTGAGGAAACATAAATATTTATTTATTTATAGATGAAATATTTTTTAACACTTATAACACAGCGTCTTCCATTGCAGAGCGCAAGCTTTTTGGGGTTTCACTTGGCACTTTGTTAGAAAACGACGAAAAGCTCTTCCCAAATACCAGGGTTCCATTGATTCTGCAAGCAGTAAGTTTATTTCACAACTTCATTTGTTTTTCTCCTGGTTTTTCCCCCCATAAAAAAATATCATTGTCTATTCTTTGCTTTGAGCTTCATTGCAAGCTCTTTGTTGCCTTTTGGTGATGACGTTTTGTTGTCTTCTTTTATAGTTGCTGTCGTGTTTAGAAAAGAAAGGTCTGGACACGGAAGGAATCCTAAGAGTTTCAGGATCACAGAGCCGCATTAAGGTAGAATTCAATGGTCAAATTAATATCCTATGAAATGTCCTGCAGTTCCTTGGAAACTTAGGTGTTCCTCATGAGAAGGTCACACTTCCCGCATAGATTTTGATCTACAGCAGGGGTCAGCAAACTTTTTCAGCAGGGGGCCGGTCCACTGTCCCTCAGACCTTGTGGGGGGCTGGGCTATATTTTTTTTGGGGGGGGGAAATGAATGAACGAATTCCTATGCCCCACAAATAACCCAGAGATGCATTTTAAATAAAAGGATACATTCTACTTATGTAAAAACACGCTGATCCGTGAGCCGGATTTAGAAGACGATTGGGCCGGATCTAACTCCCGGGCCTTAGTTTACCTACCCATGATCTACAGCTACAGTATCTACATTCCCCTGTGATATGCAGACAGAGGAGAGTGCTGGGTATGATCCAGACTAAGGTGGATAAAAAAAGGATACCATGGCCTACCTCTGGATTACTAATTTATTGTGGGCAACCTAACACCTTCTGGTTGCTGAGATTCTTGTAAAAAAAAAAATTGGACTAGCAAGGTAATTGTGCCTGCAGTCATTTATCCCTACCCCTTCCCATGTTTACTTTTCCCAAATCTTTCTACCTTCAGTATGTGACTTTCCCCTCTTTCACTTTTCCCCCCAGAGCCTGGAACAAAAGCTAGAAAGTGAGTTCTATACTGGTTTCTTCCAGTGGGATGAGGTCCATCAGAATGATGTCTCTGGCTTGCTGAAGAGGTTCATCCGGGAACTGCCCACCCCTCTGCTGACAGCAGAATACTTACCTGCCTTTGCAGCTGTGCAAAGTGAGTTAGGCCTTGGCTAAAGAGATCCGGCCCTGCCACCTTAAGCACTGATTTCCATCTTCTTCCTTGTTGAGCATATTAGGTGGCAGTTGTATAGCAGATACGTTGTTAGACGTCAGATAACCAAGGTCAATTTCTTGCTCAGCCATAAAGCTCTCACTCAAGAAACCTTGGGCAAAGTCATGCTCTGTAAAGCTAAGCCTAAATTTTCCAGAGCTTCTTGGGGGGAAGAGTGTGATACAAGTGTCACTGACGGATGGCTGTGAGCCAGGGATGGGGAACCTGTTGCCCTCAAGATGTTGCCAGATGGTCAACTCCCATCACCCCCAGGATGACTGTAGTTGTAGCCCAACAGCACCAGGTTGTCCTTCCACACACTAAGGGGTGGGCATTTTCAGGTGACTGAATAGGAACAATGGCAGATATGCCATCCTCTTAAAGGTGCATGGTGTTGTCTGTGTGCATTAACTGTTGGAGTAATCCGACATTTCTAAGGCTGTGGGAGTTGTCTTCATCTCATGCTAAGCCATGCACGCTACTTAAGAAACTGCCTAGATGTTACATGCTGGTTACTGCGTACGAGAGGCAATGAGTGAGTATGAAATAGTGTGGCCCTGATATGTAAAACAGTCTTCTACTGGTATAGTCAAACCTCGGTTCCCGAACGCCTCTGTTTTGGAATGTTTCGGCTCCTGAACGCCGAAAACCCGGAAGTAGGTTTTCCGTTTTTTGGAACCGGAACGTCCGACGCGGCTTCCGCTTGAGTGCAGGAAGCTCTTGCAACCAATCAGAAGCTGCTCCTCGGTTATCAAATGTTTCAGAAGTCGAACAGTCTTCCGGAATGGATTACGTTCAACAACCGTGGTTTGACTGTCTATAAAATGCAGTTTTAAAGAGGCAGAGCTTCTAGGTCAATGTTATCTTCTTCCCAGTAATTTTGGATGTTGATTGTTCCTTCCATTATAGATATCCCAGATCTGAAACAGAGGCTGCAGGCTCTCAATCTGCTTATACTGATTTTGCCAGAACCCAACCGAAACACCCTGAAGGTAATATCGCCACCTCCTGGGGATCGTAGTGCCCTGACTGTAGAGTGCAAAATGATACATAAACACATTATTTTACAACTGTGGTATTGCTGTACAGACAACATTCTTACATCACAATGTTGCAAATACGTTGTCTGCAAGCATTCTCATATTCATCATCTCAGAACCCAGAGACAATTTGACATCTCTCTCCCCTGCCTACAGCTGATGTTTGATAACGGAAAATAATTTTCCTCCCCTTTTTCAGGCTTTGCTGGAGTTTCTGAGGCTGGTGGTTACCAGGGAGCGGAAAAACAAGATGAATCTTTGGAACGTTTCCACAGTCATTGCTCCAAATCTTTTCATGCACAAGGGGCTGCCGAACAAGATCCCAGAAGGGAAGGAGAAACAGCTGGCTGAGGGTGCGGCGGACGTGGTGCGGATGATGATCCATTATCAGGATTTACTCTGGACTGTAAGTTGGGGCCATATTTTCCGAGTCATCCTTGAATTGCCATTGATAAAACTCTATATTGATTTTTAAAATACAGTCATAGCTTGGGTTGAATGTGCTTCAGGTTGAGCGCTTTCGGGTTGCGCTCCGCGGCAACCCAGAAGTAACGGAGCGCGTTACTTCTGGGTTTCACCGCTTGCGCAGATGCTCAAAATGACGTCATGTGCAGAAGTGGCAAAATGCGACACGCGCAGACGCGCCGTTGCGTCTTACGTTCCATTCAGGATGCGAACGGGGCTCCGGAACGGATCCCGTTCGCATCCCGAGGTACCACTGTATCTTTTTGGTATTTAAAATGGCAGCCGCATAGAATGTAAGAGCCTTTTGGGTGAGGCCAATGGCCCATTTCGTCCAGCTATCCTGATCTCACAGTAGCCAACCAGATGCCTATGGGAAGCCCAGAAGCAGGACCTGATTGTAACTAGAGCTGGGAAAATTGTCTGAAACAGTATCAGATTGTGACACCGGTTTTTGAGCTGGCAGTACATCGCAGTGGCCGGAGAGCCATGAAGTATTCCCAGCTCAAATTGCCTGCAGACAAATTGACTTCCCTCCCCCTCCATTCTGCCTGCAGCTGATTTTTGACAACGGAAATAATTTTCTTCCCTCTTGGCCTCTGTCTTCCTGTCTGCCTGCGCCTTTGAGGAAGCCCCACATCCCACTCCCTGGCTTGTGCGAGCTGGAGAGGTTTGGGGACTTGGGCTGGGTGATGTATCTTGGCTGCCTCCCCTAAGATGGGGAGAAAGAAGCAGCCGAGATACATTCCAGACATTGCGATATATCAGAATATCGTGGAATTTAGCTGCTGATATATCACAGTGTTGAAAACAAGGTATCACCCAGCTCTAATTGTAACAGCACTCTTTGTGATACCAAGCAGCTGTTATTCAGAGCTGTAGGTACAGAGTTTTGGAATAAAAAATCCTAAAAAGAAGGTCAGACCTGCTGCGCCAGAAAGGTTTCCCTCCCATCCACCCCTCTCTACATCCCTTCTGTTTCTCCTCTCTTCAGGAGATACTTTCAGAATGACAACAGCCTCACAACTCTTTCTTTTTTTGCATTCCCTTTTAGGTTGCATCTTTCTTGGTATCTCAAGTGAGAAAACTGAACGAGAGCAGCAGCAGGAGGTACCAGTTCTGTGACAGGAGGATCAAAAACCTGTTAAGGAAGATTAATCTGGACAAGGAGAAGACTGAGAAAAACCATGGCGAAGTGAGTAAAATCCCCATTGCCCACTGCATTGTTAATGCATTGTTGATGCGTTAAGAGCATCCTTCACCAGGCTGGTGTCCTCTAGGTATCTAGGCCTACAATTCCATAAGAACTTAAGAAGAGCCTGCTGGACCTGGCCCATGAAGTCCAGCGTCCTGTTCTCTCGGTGGCCACTTTGATCCCTGTAGGGGCTCAAATAAGACCCAATCATAAGAGCACTCTCTCCCCTGCAGTTTCCAGAAACTCCTATCCAGAAATATTGCTGCCCCCACAGCCATGCTGGCTGGAGCTGATGGGAGCTGGGAGTTGTAGTCCAAAATATCTGGAGGATTCCAGGTTGCTGAAGGCTGCATTAGAAGATGGAACTGTGGCCAGCCAGGCCCACTTGCAATTGTCTTTTGGCACATGCAAACTGTAGGATAAGTCTTCGCATGTTGACTCAGAGTTAGATTGGATTTGCAAGCGTGAGTGATTTAGCAGAATAAGCTGGGAGAGATACAGATAGAACTTTCAAGGAATTAGTGGGCCACTACCATGTTTGGCTGTTGGTTCTCAGAGAGGCAACAGCAGCAGTTGTAGGATACACGGGATCTTGTGGTTTGATGCCTCTTAGATCTGTACTTAAAAAAAAAAAAAAGAACTCTTCTTGTCTGAGGACACATCTAGCTTTGTAGGTGGGAGTCAACCATGTTCTTACAGATTCAGGTTGTGCAATTAAAAAGGGACTGGCATTCTGGCATGGCATACCACCTTAAGAAACCCAGAATTGCTTTAGACAACATTGTATAACCTCCCTGCAAACTAAATTGGAATGAATGCTCAGCGAATAGCCAACATATCTTTATAACCACCTTGCAAACCTTGTGCAAAAAAATCAGGATGAAAGTCCAGTAAACAGGTTATCTGGAAGTGACCTAGGCCCATCTGATATTTCTTGTTTGCTTTTTTAAATCAAATGATTCCCCAGAAATCTGTTTTGTGTGGACCTTTTGGTTCTCAGTGGCAACCAAACTCTGAGATGCCTGGCATGCAGGTTTTTGGTTGTTTTTTAATTGCTGTATATGAGATTTGCTCAATGGAGAGAGAGAAATTATTTGCATGGTCAACTGGCTGATGGTGAAATTTTCTGCTTGAAACAAACACTTTCCTTGTGTAAACACCAGGGGGCACTCATGCTTACTTTATTAACTCTAGTCAAATGCTACTGCTTCTCACGCTGTGTGACGGAATCAAATTTAATCTTTATTGCTTTGCATCCATCCTGCCCTTTGCCTGCTTATGGAGAAGAGCATACATAACCATTTTACTTGGAGGATAACAAGCATTTTCAAACAGAGTGTTTGATTAGGTCTTCATGTTTTGTGCACATGCTTTGGATTTCCTTACATCTAAGTTTCCTCCCGCCGCCCCCCCTAATATTGCCTCCTTCATCTTCCAGCCATCCAAAATAGTGAAAGTCCAGGCTTCCCCATTCCTAAAGGATTCCCTGGAAGTTCGCTTAACCAGTGGAACCAAAGCTGCAGATGTCCTGAGGCAGTTCCAGAAGAACCTCTGTCAAAACGGCTGGAATATTGTCAACACGGTCAAACTTATCAAATGGTAAAAGCACTTCCTCTCCTTAGCTTAGAAGGAAATGTAGCTTGTCTTCTTTATGCGTGATTAGGCAGGAGGCTTTTTTTAATGTCTGTTGAGATGAGAAGCATTTAATGAAGGGCACTTCCGCTGTGTCACTTAAATCCGTCTTTTTTCTTCTTCTACGAGTGGAATCCAATGTTGAGCTACGCCAGTGGTCTGTCAGTGCAAGACTTTCTCTGTGTCAAAGGAAACATTCTCTCCCTCTCAGATTTTACACTGAGGTCCAGCTCCGAGGGCCTTCTGGCAGTTCCCTCACTGAGAAAAGTGAGGTTTCAGGGAACCAGGAAGAGGGCCTTCTCGGTAGTGGCGCCCACTCAGTGGAACGCCCTCCCATCAGATGTCAAGGAAATAAACAACTACCTGACTTTTAGAAGACATCTGAAGGCAGCCCTGTTTAGGGAAGTTTTTAATGTTTGATGTCGTATTGTGTTCTAATTTGTTGGAAGCCTCCCAGAGTGGCTGGGGTAACCCAGTCAGATGGGCGCAGTGCCGGATTTACATGATAAGCTAAACAAGCTAAAGCTTAGGGCCCCTCTCTCTTGGGCCCTCCCCCCAAAAATAAAATTTAAAGGGAAAAAAGCCTGGAAATACATTTCCAAAATATAAGATAAAAAACAAACAAATTTGATAAAATACAAATTTTGTTATGTGCAAATGGCTTTAGATACCTGTTAGGTCCATAAATTTCCATATAGCATATATTCAGTTTGTTGATGACAAAGGACAGCTGAACATATAAAGGGCCCCATTACCTTCAGTAGCTTAGGGCCTCATCAAACCTAAATCCGGCCCTGGATGGGCAGCATATAAATAATAACAAATCATTAATATAATTATCCCCACACACCCGCTAAATGTCTTTTAGGGTCCCCCTCCCCCAAAGGTCTGGAGCAGATCTGGGGAGTGCATAGGATGCATGCATGCGGAGGGGCAGAAAGCCCCATTGTGCACTGATGGGGCACAGTAGTTGATAGCTGGGAACTGTGTGTTCCATGCACAGTGTGCAAATGTTTCTGGATACAGGGGGAGACCATCCAGTGGTTGTGATCTTTTTAAACCATTGCTGGCAACTCCTTAGGTCAGGTTTGGGTGCTGCTCTTGAGAGCCCCTAACTTCAGAGGAAAGCTTTTTTCGGGTTGGGGGTGAAACTGCTATTGGGAGGAGAAGCTAAAAGCGTTTATGTGAGTATGAAACACCAGCCCACAGCCCATGCATTTATTTAATTTGAATGTAATGGGTAAGAGAATACAGTTGTAACCTGGTAAGTTGAACAGCCTAGTTCTTGAACGTTTTGGCTCCCGAATGATCTCCCGAACAATCGAAACCCAGAAGTGACTGTTCTGCTTTTCGAACTTTGTTTTGGAAGCTGAACGTCCGATGGGGCTTCAGATTGGCTGCAGGAGCTTCCTGCAGCTAATCAGATGCCACACTTTGGTTTTCAAACGTTTTGAAAGTCGAGCTGACTTCCAGAATGGATTCCGTTCGACTTCCAAGGTACAACTGTATACATATCAGAACCTCAAACCCACTCAAGTCTTCGTATGCCCTAAGAGCATTTCCTTCGATAGCCGTTCCTTTCCCCCAGCAAACTCCAGGACTGTAATTCTGTGAAAAGGGGGAAGGCTTGGGATTGCTAACAAGCTTTTCAGCTTCTGAACTACAGTTCCCAGGATTCTTTGGGGGAGTGGTAAGAGGAAGGGAGTGAGATGCAAAATTAGAAGTTTGTGTGTGTGTGTGTGTGTGTGTGTGTGAGAGAGAGAGAGAGAGAGAGAGAGCATTATGCAGAGGAAATTGTTCCACAACTTTATGAAATTAAAGCGTTATAGAAACCACGGTAACCTCCCTGAACACATTGACTGGTAGTTTTAAATGCTTGATTGGGCATGTAATAAAATCATAGTCTTCTTCTACAAGTGGAATGTGAATGCTGATTTTGTGCATAGATCCGTTCAGTTATGCGGTATCTATGGCAACCAGAGGACTCATCCCACCTTGCAGAAGAAGAAAGAGACTAGAGTGAACCCATTGACACCTGTGACTCAAACAGTTGACACTCTTGAACAAGTTTTGCTGTTTAAAAATGCCAGGGGTGGGGTGGGGGGTGGGGAGAGAAGAGAGCAATGAAGCATTTGGAAAAACCTTATTAAGTTTTTTTATTTGCTTTACTTATTTCAAAAATACTCAGTACAACCTGTCACATAAAACTTATCAAGGCGGTGTACAAAATAAAAATACCAGAATACATATATATGACTTAAAAGGTAAAGGTAAAGGACCCCTGACAGTTAAGTCCAGTTGCGGACGACTCTGGGGTTGCAGGCGCTCATCTCGCTTTACTGGCCGAGGGAGCCGACGTTTGTCTGGAGACAGCTTTTCGGGTCATGTGGCCAGCATGACTAAACCGCTTCTGGCGAACCAGAGCAGTGCACGGAAACGCTGTTTACCTTCCTGCCGGAGTGGTACCTATTTATCTACTTGCACTTTGACGTGCTTTCGAACTGCTAGGTTGGCAGGAGCAGGGACCGAGCAACGGGAGCTCACGCCGTTGCGGGGATTCGAACCGCCGGCCTTCCGATCGGCAAGCCCTAGGCGCAGTGGTTTAGATCACAGCACCACCCGCGTCCATATTACTTAAAATGATCCATTACATTTAATGTGCATGTTTTTTTAAAGGCAACCTTAAAGGATATTTTCCAATCCACTATACCGTTTTAACATGAGCTGGCCATCCTCAGGTCTAGAACAGTTTCCCCCAACCTAATGCCTTCCATGGCTGATAGTCAGGGATGATGGGAAATATAGTTTTGAGCTACAGCTGGAAGGCGCACCATGTTGCAGAACTCTCATTTAGAGCAATTCCAATATATATAAATATTAGCCTCTTTGTCTTGGAAATGGTTATAATTAGTGTGTGTGTTTTTTAAATTTTGCAGTAATGGTTCGGTAGATACGATGAACCTGCTCTTCTATGAAGTCGGCGGCAACATAAGTATGTAAATTTGAACTGTTGTCATTTTATTTTTCATGGTGGGGAATGTGAGTTAGTGGGTTAAGAGGTGGGCAGCTGAAGCAAACAGTTGTCCTAGGAATGAGTCAAAATGGGGAACCACTAGGAATTAGCAGGCCTAAGCCTTGCTAGGCCACATAGGGTTGCTTAAAGGCATTTCCTTAATAATCAAGCAAATAACCAAGTAAGCTGGTTTTTAAAAAATGCTCGAAGTGGCTTTGAACAAAGAAAACAGAAATACATTTCGAACAAAGAGTACAGAAACAATTTCATAGTAACAATTTCCTAATGATAATAATAATAACAAAACAATAGCAGATATAATAATGTACAAAACCTACATTTCAATGCTATAAATATAACATTACCTAAATGACAAGCAGTATCCAAAAGCAAAAATAAGAAGAGAGCTTCACAGTTTCACTTAGTCCTCCTGAAAACACTTCTCCCATGATGTGGTTAATGATTATGCCTCTATCTCTTTTTTAGCCTTGATTAGGAACATAGGAAACTGCCTTATAACAAGTTGGCTCATAAGTTCCTGTGGCTCTATACTGTCTTGCTTCTCCCATAGCCACAGCCTTGGATTCAAGCAGAAATCAAGCATGGCTTCTGCTGGCAGTCTTCTTCCAGCCCAGCACTTACACACCTCTGGCTCTTGTCCTTCTCACCAACACCCAGGTGTAGAGGGCGGAGGCACACCTATTTGACTTCTGGCACAAAACCACTTTCTTTGTTACCCTAACAACCCATACTTAGAGTGGCCTTTAGCTCACCAAGAAGCTGGCCTGGCCATTCCAGCAATTGAATCCTTGGTGGATTCAGGAACAAGAAGGGACTCATGCTTATAGGCAACCCACCCACCCCACAACTCACAATACTAGTAATCCAGAAAATGATAGGAGATAATATTTTCCAAAGTCCTGGCACTATTAGGGAGTTTATTAAATAATCTGAAATCAAGTTACCCAAAGTTACCAGGCCCAGGAGGAATAGTGAGATCTATATTTTTTGGGAATGGTTTCTTTAAAATAATTTTTTTTCCTCTGTCCCAACAGGTGAACATTGCTTGGACCCAGACACATACCTCTTAGACCTGTACCATGTGAATCCTCATGCAGAATGGGTTATAAGACAAAACCCATCTTTTCCAAGGACACTCTAGGAAGACTGGCGAGAGGGAAATGACCTAGCTGGAAATTATGTTAAACAAATAGTCAAATGGGGCCGGGGTGGGGATGAATTTTTTATTCTTGGATTTTTATTTTTATTTTAATGGGAGGCTGTGAAAAAAGAAGCAATTCCCTTTAACTGTTCACATGAACTTGTGGCTAATTGAAGGGTTACATTGGGGTAGCAGAGCTTCTATAGGATGTGAATGCCTGTAGTAAAGGACTTCTGGAAAGAAAGTTTTAAAAAGAGACAGTCTTGTCTTTGAAGAAATTGATGGAGATCATCTGGGTTTGATTCTTTTAATGCGCAAGCTTCAGGTTCTCACATTAGTGGAAAGACACCCCAGTGAACAAATGTGCTGTCATGTAAAGCCTGCACACTTTCTAAAGAAGTAAGGCTTCTTGGATAGAAGCTGGGGTTATCTACATTTTGCTTCATTTTGTTTCTGAAGGGCTTACTAGGTAACCAAATTGCCTGGAATGTAAAGGAGAAGTTCTGCCCTCAAAATGCTAATGTCCCAAGCACAGTGTTGGTGACATATTAACTATACACAACTGTAGGTGTGCAATGTCTTCTGGGATGCAGCCTTGACATTGCAGTTCAGTGCACAAACGTGTATTTGTGTGCGCACACACAGTTCCACATACATGTTGCTATTTGATTAGAGTAAACCATCTCAGTATTACTGTTTAATTCAACCTTTTTAATATTCAGATTGGATTTCACATCCCTGTCTGGTTGTAATAATTTTTTCCTTTAGAGAAACTCCCCAGCAGAGACTTGTCTTCCTATACTGGGCCCTAACAAGTCTTTTCGTTATGACCAAGACAATCCAGAAACACCTGAGCCATATAACGTTCTTAGTCTTCATGTCTTCATTGTTTCTTTGGTGTTACATTTTTAAAACGTTGTGTTTGTAGGTATATTTACCAAAAGCCTGTTGAAATGATCTAGGTTTTTCTGGAGAAAGTGATGATCTGTACTTAAAGATCCTCCTTTCCTTGTTTGCTCACATTTTTTAAAAGGCCAAAATATCCACCTAAATGTGTAGAGGGTTTCTCAAAATTGCTAGTTTTGAATATCTGTATTTTGCACTTGTGACTTAAAAGAGGGCCTATTTATTTTGAAAATGTCAACTAATAGAGACATTTAAATGGTTATTTCATGTTATCCACTTCCAAACTAGTGGACGTGAGAAAGCTAAACCCTTTCTCAGCCTGAACACCAGAGCTGATGTTGTCAGAAGAGCAAAATATGAACACATATGCCAGAAGATTGCCTCATTTGGACATAAAAGGGTTTAGAAGGAGGCATTTTGTCAGCATAAGAAAGGAATTCGTGCTTGAGGGTGGATGAGTAGGGCGGGGAGTCCACCTTTAATACAAACATGCATTACACATCTGATCTCTGTAGAAATGCAGCTTTGGAAGGAAGGAAGCATGTATCTGAAACCCCATTTCTTCTTTTGCAGCAGGGAGGGGAGAAGCTGCCTACACTAGTAGGGAAATGGTTAATGCCCCTCCCTGCTGCTCAGCTGTCAATCATGCCCTCCTAAGGCTGCCATTTTTTTGAAGAGAGGATCAAGGGCTGTTGCATGTAACATCTGGTGAATGAGTTGCCATTTGGATAGGAAGAAAGCAAATTAACCTGGGAAGTTACTTTCCACTTGCCCTGTACTTTCCTTCCTTAGCCCCATTTATAGTATCATCTGACTCCTTGCCCTCCAGTGTAAATGGGTGGCGTTGAGAGGTGATGCGTGGGTAGTTCACGAATCCCTTGGGGCTTTATTGGAGGTCGGAATGAGAAATTGCATGAAGAGGTGTCTCCTGGTAAAAATGGCAACAGCATGTAAATCTCCTCTTCCTTCCCTCTGTGTAAGGTTGAGTCTATCCTAGCCCCATGTCTTGGTATCATTACCGCCAGTGTTTTCCCTTCCCAACCTCACTGATAGTCAGTGCTGGGGGCAAGGAAGTAGGGAATCATGGTGACATCACAACACAAAGCAAGTTTTATTTAACCATACAGATGGGGGCGGGGAATAGTTTATGCGGAAGCTGTTTTCTTCTAAAGCTGTGTTGTTTCATTCTGACCAGAGTGCTGGAGTCATGTCTTGCTCAGCATAAACATTTTCCAACTTTGCATTTCTCATCCTTTGTAGACTTTTACCAGAGAAAGGATAGGTGCAGAAGTCCATTAGAATTTTCTGGAAAAGTACTAACAGATCCACAGGCTGGATGACTCAGATGTGTTTAGGAAAGTATCTACATGTCACAGCACAGCCTTAAAAGAATACAGAATTGCCTACAAAATCCCTTGAGTATTTTTTTATAGGTATAGCACACTCTAAATCCACTGTTCAAAATTGTTTCATGCCAATGCATGGAAAGTAGTCAGTACAGAACAGTCTTCCCCAACCTGGTGCCCTCTGCATACTCCCACCCAGCTAGCATGGGAAACTTTCCAGGAGTTATGGGAGTTGTAGTCCAAAGCTTGGGGAAGGCTGGTGTAGAACTTTAAGAGCATAGCAGGCTTGCCAAGCAGAGGGTATGCTTTGATCCTGTATGATAAAGGGTGCAAGGTGGCAATTTTGGTAACTCCGAAAAGGTCAAGGTAGAAGAGAAGCCAATCTCTGCTTCCAAGATATGAAAATTAAGTTTTGTACTTGGGGCCAATTTGAATGAATAGCTTGGGGGATTAAAGAAGATGACTCGGATTCCTCAAATGCTAACAGAGTAATATGAAATGAGTATTGTGAAAAGCTATGTGTGCAGGAGCAAAACCCGAGAGAAACTAACATTTGAGGGGGAAAGATGGTGTAGGCCCAATTTGTCCACAATATTGATGGTCTGTCATCACTTTCACTGTCTTTTTGTGTCTCTAGAAATTTTATTGATGGCAGTTAAAGTGGCAAGGCATAAAATGGTAAAGCTCACTTGTGTGTGTGCGTGTGTGTATTTTTTTAAAAAACGATGGTTTATATTATTTTTAATGCTGTATTTAATCAATAAAGAACTAGATACGTTTCCAAAATGTCTTCTGTTTTGTAATTTATTTTGTCAGTTGCTGGATTTGTTTTTGTTGATGAGAGAGGTTCTGTGAACTAAAAAAAACAACAACTGGGAAAGAAATGGTTTTGTAGTAGAATAAGAAGGAATGTAAACAGTATGAAAACACACTTCAATAGCTAAGAAGGCGAGTAAGCAAAGACCCAGAAAGAGATACAACGTGGGATCGAGACATGGTTTTCAAACCCTTTGTTGGTCTCTCAACCAGTGGCCTTAGAAGTACAGTCCAGAAAACATCCAGTTTTGTTCTAACATGAAAAGGGGTTTTGGCTCTCGATTCAACTTCCAGATTGACAAATCACCAATAAGCAGTGGTGGTGCAGAACCATCATCTAGTGTCACTGCTGTTTACCTGGTTACAAGTAGTTGAGGCCAAGCAGTTGCACCAGAGGAATTGCTGGATTGGCCAGTCTCTTAACCTCTTGCCCAGCCTGGTCCAGGTAAGAAACAACAATGCTGGAGTTGGGAGGGAGATTCTGTTCCACCACACGCACACAGCCATTGTGCTGTTGTCAATAAGAATAAGCAAAACGATGACTCCAGAACAATTTTAAAAAATGAATCAGATTAGCAGTGACAATAAAATACTATGATTTCAAATTGGTTCTGCTCAGATGACATTCTGGAATAAATAACATTCCCCAGACCCCAAAGAAAAATGTCTTCCCTTGCTGCTGATAAATTTTGCACCAGGCAAGCCTTCCTAGGTAGTGACATTTGTTGGGATACTGCCAGGGAGATAAAGTCCACCATGGCCCCAAAGCTGGCTGCCGGACGATCCATCGATCTCCCGTAGGCACGCAGTATCAGCAATTAGTGACATGAGCTCCAGAAAATAGCCTGCCACATTCTAGAGCCGATGCACACTCTCTATCAGCAGATAATGCACAGCGAAAGTTGCACGCAGGAGAGCATTATTTACAAGTTTTATTCAGCGTTGATCAGAACAAAGAAAAACATGACTGCCTGCTTCAGTGTCTCTGACACACAGAGAGAAACGAAAGCAATAGAAAACATAAACTTCCTGTGAACAGGAAATGCGCAGACTCTGTGACTCACAAAGCCTGCTCCCTTTTAAGGTGGAACGGAAATATCCTAACATCCTCCCCCTTTCTGTGTAACCTGTAGTACCTGTGGTTCAACCCAATTGCAACCTCTGTACATAAACCTTAAGTTGTTCTCTGTTAACAACCTTAGACAACAGATCAGCAGGAATTTCATTTCCTGCCATGTAGGACACCTGAATGAGTCCTTTCTCAATACACTCTCTTGCACGATGTAGCTTAATCTGCAAGTACTTGGTTCTTTGCTTGCAACTCTCTGAGTTCAGCAAAGCCAAACAGGATCTATTGTCTTGATACACTTGTATAGGACATTTCACAGAAACTCTGATGTCCTTAAACAGTTGCATCAACCATTCACAATCCATGAGTGAAAATGACAGAGCATTGAGTTCTGCTTCACAGGAACTTAGGCTCACTGTCGTCTGCTTCTTGCACAGCCAGTCAAACAGACAGTGGTTGTACATGTAGCATACTCCAGAAGTGCTTGTACCATCCGTGGTGTCACTTCCAAAACTAGCATCTGCAAAGATTTCAAGACCTCCAGTCTTCTGACTGGTGAACCTCAGCCTGTAGTGCATAGTCCCTTTCAAATAGCGGGCTATGCGCTTCAGAGCTTTCCAATCCTGAACAGTAGGATTGTTGGCATGTCTGCTAAGCAGGTTACAGCTTACAGCTATGTCAGGTCTTGAGCATCTAGCAATGAAATTCAACTTGCCTAGAATGCATCTGTACAGCGTTATGTCAGAAAACGCTTCAGCAGTACTATCTACCTGGTAACCTGTCACCATCGGTGTGTCTGCTGGGTTTGCATCAACCAAATTCAACCTGGTTAATACATCAGCAATTTTCTGTGTTTGGTGTACCAGAAAATTACCTGCTTAGTCCCTCTCCACCTGCAGAGAAAGATAGTTGGATATCTCACCAAGATCCTTCATGTCAAACTGCTCCTTCAGCTGAGCTAGGGTGCTTTGGTACAAAGCCTGATTCTTCCAAAACATCAGAAGATCATCAACAAAACATAAACAATACAGTTTGTTTTGCCCCTCCTCCTTGACAAACACACATGGATCAGCTTTGCCCTGGTGAAAACCTAGAGAAAGCAATGTCTCAGTGAGTTTTGTGTTCCAACACCTGGCACTCTGCTTGAGACCATATAAGGATTTCTGCAGTTTACAGACCATTCCCTTCTGTATCTGCATCCCATCAGGTGGAAGCATAAACAGCTCCTCCTCCAAAATCCCGTACTAAAAAGCTGTATTAATGTCATGATGGGAAACATGCAGTTTCTCCTCCGCAGCAATCTTGAGCATCAGCCGAATGCTCTCATATTTGACGGTGGGTGAGTAGGTCTCGTGGTAATCCTGTCCTGGTACCTGTGAAAAACCTCTGGCAACCAATCTGGCTTTGTGTCTGACAACCTTGCCATTCTGGTCTGTCTTGGCCTTGAAGACCCATTTGCTGCCAACCAGTCTCATTCCTGGGACTACCGGTACCAGTTCCCAAGTTTGGTTCCTGTTCAAGGAATCAACTTCAGCCTTCATGGCATTTAGCCAAGGCTCAGCATCTTTAGAGGTTAACTCCTGAACCTCTTTGAAGCTTGAAGGTTCCCACACCTTCTCTGAGCTACTAAGAACAGCAGTTGCTGTCTTAGCAAACTCATCAGCAAATCTCTTTGGAGGTCTGCCCTTCGTCGCTCTTTCAGATCTGCGTACTAGACGCAAGTCTTCTGCACTCATCTCCTCCTTCTTAGGAGAAAAGTGACCAATGGTGAACAGTGGTTCTTCCAGTTCATTGTCAGACGCATCAGATGGTCTGACTGAGGCCTTTGCGCTCTTGTAGTCTGCTGTGTCATCACTGTCACTGACACCAGCAGCAGCGCCGCCCACTGAGCTGGAATCCGAACTCTGCTCATCATCATCCTCAGCTCCCTCTTCTGCCTCAACATTATCTGCTTTCTTGACATCACCTTCATCCTCCTCTGGGTAACTCTGGAAAATTCCCACATTTCCCCCCCACTTAGGATTGTACTCAACACTCTTTGTGAACTTAATGGACTTAGAGTCAGTCATCCATACCCTGTATGCACCTTTTTGTACCCCATGAACAAACCATGTGCCCCACGCTTCCCAAGCTTGTTGCTTTGTGGGGTGTGTACCCACATGTCAGAACCAAAGATTCTCATGTGCTTGACGCAAGGTTTCTTACCAAACATCTTCTCGTAGGGGGTACAACCAATAGGTGATGACAATCTGCGATTAAAAGTGTAAACAAAAGTTGACAGAGCCTCCCCCCAATACTTATCAGGGAGATTGGCATCATGCAACAATGTTTTCATTCCTTGCAGCAACGTTTGATTTGCTCGCTCCGCAAGTCCATTCATCCATGGCGATCTAGGCATTGACAAGTCATGCTGGATTCCCTTCTCAGTCAGAAAAGCTTCAAACTGCTGAGAAGTGAATTCCCCGCCCCGATTAGTAAAGAGACAGCCAATACGTTTACCGTGAACATTCTCCAACCAAGCACAGAATGCCTTGAACTTAGGAAACCCTTGTGATTTCTGCTCGAGCATAAACACATGAATGTACCTGGAAAAAGAATCAATTAGAACCATGAAGTACCTTGCTCCACCCAAAGAGGGCGCAAGTGGACCTACCAGGTCTGCGTGGACTAGCTGGTAGGGTTTGGAAGCCTGCCTGCTAGACTCCTTGCCTTTTGGAGCAACCTTCACCTTGTTCTCTGCACAAGATACACACTTCATGTGAAACTTACAGGGTTTGATGTTCAAATCCTCAACCAACTTAGGCATCTTGGCCAGCGCCTGCCAAGACATGTGACAAAATCTTCTGTGTGCATCATGAATGCATCCTGCATGAAGAACTTTGCTAGTTTGTGCAACACAACAAGAATCAACATTAGACACAACAGCACCATTGTCATCATAAGTCATACGGAACAATCCATCTATAAACTTTGCATGCAAAATGTCCTCTTTGCCTTTCCTGATGACACAGACGCTCCTCTTGAAGGAAATCTCAAAACCACGCCCAGTCAGCTGTGGGACACTGAGCAAGTTGTCTGCAGCACCTGGAACATATAGTACATCTTTGATGGTCGTGTGCAGACTTGCCAGTCTCACAGTCCCTTCTCCTGCGATTCGCAATGTCTTTCCATCAGCCAGGTGGATCTCACCTTCTTGAGGTTTGAAGGAGATAAAGACATGCCGGTCTTTCGTCACATGGCGGGTGCTTCCAGAATCAATAACAAACCTGGCCTTGGCCTTTGGAGCAGCTTTTCTGGCAAGCAAAACCTTGTTTTCCACCGGCGTGGGCTTTTGCTGCTTGCCCCCCTGCTCCTGGCCATCAGACTTGCCTTTAGCCTTTGGTGAAGCTGTGCCAGCAAACAAAGCCTTGTTTTCCACTGGCGTGGGCTCTTCACCCCCCTTCTGCTTCGGGCCATCTGCAGGCATCTTGCTCTGTTTACCTTTTCCCTTCCAGCCTCTGCAAAGGCGATGACCTTGGTTCTCACAAGAAACAGAGTTCTCAGCTGCCAACTCCTTGGCTCCCCCTGGAGGCTGGAATGCTGCCTGGGATGACATCACAGTCAGCTCCCTCTGCAGCTTGCAAACGGTGCCCTCGGCATCCCTGCATTCACCCACACTCTGGGAAACAGCCAGGACCTCCGATGCAGTCAAACTCTGGGCTGGGATGACTGGCAGATGGGTGATCTTCAAAGCATTCCACATCTTACGTGCAGTCACGTTGCCAGCTAACGTTTTAATTTCCTCTAGACAAGACTATTACGTCTATGGCCCTCGAATTCTGGGCTTTCCATCTATCTGTCAGAGGAACTGGAGGGGCTTCAGACACAGTATGCCACACTCCAAACTGACGCAGCAAAC